AGCGAGGATCCAGGCATTCAGCAGATTCAACGGATCCATGAACTTATACGACGCATCGCGTAAATCAGCCCGCCGATTTCTATGGCTAGTCTTACCTCATACGTCACGGCCATTTGTCGGTTCGATTCCCAGACTTGCTACTTCTGAGACTTGTCAAACGCTCCTAATCGCATCGCGATCTTATGTTCCTTTCTTGCCAAGTCTCGATCGGATCGGATCGAATCCAAAAGAACCTGAGCGAAACGCGTCTTTTCAGCTCCGAAACCAAGGCCAAAACTTTGAGGCGCCTCAAAATACGGTTTCATTCCACGGCCGAAGCTTCGTGGCGTGGTCAGCCGCTGCTGCGTCTTCCAGGCGAGTAGACACAGAAGCCTCCGAGGAAGAGACTGTTATCTCTGGGTCGAAATTATTTACCAAAAACAAGCCTCTAGTAGCAGTGCAAGCGGAGCTTAAAGCGCGTACGGTGAAGGACGAGGAGAGGGGGAATGGGGGAGGAGGTCAGAGGAGAATCAGGAAAGTAAAAGGGGGAGTCAAGGGAGGTGGGGATGAGAGAGTTGAGAGGATAGTAGCGGGGAATGCAGCGGGGAAGAGTGAGGGAGGCAAGGGGAAGAGTAACGGGACGAAAGGCTGCAAGGAGGAGGAGGAGGCAGTGGCAGTGATTGCTGGAGTGCTGAGGGAGAAATTCGGGTTTCAAATTGTGAGAGAGGAGTTGGAGGAGTGGGGAAGTGGGACAAGAAGCAGCGAGGACGAAGAGGGGGTGGGGAAAGTGAAAGAGGAGGAAGAGGAGGAGGAGGAGGAGCAGGAAGCAGAAGAAGAAGCAAATGAGGAGGACGCACCACTCACCACATCTCCTCCCACACACCCTCCTCCATTGTTCAGCCGGCGAGTCGTATCTCCCTCCTCCCTCCTCTCCCTCTACCGCTTCTTCTCCTCCCACCTCGGCATCTCCTCCCCTTCCACTGTCGCCTCCCTCCTCACCTCTAAGCCCCAACTCCTCCGCTCCAATCCCACCAATGACTTCCTGCCACGTGTCCATCTCCTCCAGTCATATGGCATATCTCATGCCGATATCGTTCACATCACTGAGAGTGGTCCAGCCTGGCTCCGAGTCCCCCTTGCACAGATTCAAAACACCCTTGAGTTTCTTCTGGCTCAGGGCGTCCGCCGAAGCAGATTGGGCTTTGTGCTCCGACGTGGACGCAATCTACTCTGCTCAGAGGCACGTTCAACGAACCTGGACATTCTGGTGAAGAAGGCAGGGGTTCCTGTGGACAAGCTGGGTGTGGTTTTAGCAAGATATCCGGCTATCTTGACTCGGAGTATTGAGGCAGTGAATACTCAGCTTGAGATGCTGTCAGCATATCTTCAGGCGAAATCTGGAGGAAAGGTAGAAGCAGATAGCATCAGCACAAACCCCCTGAAGCAGCGACTTGATGAGCCGCTTTTGGACACGAGCCACCTAAGCAGGGTTATCATGAGGTTTCCATCCATTCTCTCTATTCCTACCTATCGCATTGCAGGGAACATTGCCATCCTCCAGTCCTTCACTCCCCCAATCACGCCTTGCATTGCGAGCTCTGTGCTTCGCCGTGCCCCCAACATCCTCCATTTCAGCGAAGAAGCTCTCATATCTAAGCTCCAGTACTTTGTGGAGCTGGTTGGGGAGGAGGCAACGGGAAGAGTGGCGAGAAGTCACCTGACGGTTCTGAGACTATCAGTGGAGAACCTGCAAGGGAAGGTGGCAGTATTGGGTGATTTGATTGGCCGAGAGAATGCTGTGTGGGTTGTGGCACGATTTCCTTTGCTACTGACTTCTAGTGAAGTTAACATGAAGAACAGCTTCAAAGAGCTTGTGCGAGAAGTGGAGGAGGCACTGGAGATCATTGGAAAAGAGGAAAGTGGGACGGGGGCAGGTGATTTGTTGGAAGAGGAGAATGAGTTTGGGGCAGAAGGCGACAAGAGACACAGAGCTCGTCGGTTAGTTGTGGATTTGGTGGTGAAGTGCCCACAGTCTATCTACTGCAGTTGGGAAGCGAACCTGAAGCACAAGGTGGAGTACTTAAAGCGGGACATGGGGCTTTCCATTGCAGAGGTGCTTGCATTTCCGAACTTTCTTACCTACAGCTTGGATCGGCGAATCAGACCGCGGCATTTGGCATTGTTGCAAATAGGCTATGTGGTTATGGCACATGAGGCGGTTAGACGGAGGGGTGTTGAAGACGGGAGGGGTGTTTTGATTGGAGCTGGGGGAGAGGGGAGCAAGGTGGGTTCTTATTTCTCATTTTCTGACGAAGTGGAGGGAGTGGAGGGGATGGAACGGGGAGCGGAAGAAACGAATAGCGAAAGAACGGGTGACAGGCAAGAGCAGCAGGGCGAAGGGGATGATTCGGGTAGTGGACTGCTGATTGAGAAACTCCTAGGACATGACAAGCCAGTGGTGGGAACTGATACAAATCAGCAGCTTGTGAATTTGGAGGCGACAAGGAGAACGGTGTGTTTGCACCAATTTCTTAAATGCACAGACAAGCAGTTTGAGAAGAAGTTTGGGGTCAAACTGTAGGGCAGTGCTGATAGGCTTCTTCGGCTTCCAATGTGCTACGGGCCTCAAAGTCCATGCCTGAGTGTGAGGGTGTGTGCCAATGCCTGAGTGCGATGGTGTGTGGCAATGTTTGAGTGTGAGGGTGTGTGGCAATGTTTGAGTGTGAGGGTGTGTGGCAATGTTTGGTTGTGAGGGTGTGTGGCAATGTTTGAGTGTGAGGGTGTGTGGCAATGTTTGAGTGTGAGGGTGTGTGGCAATGTTTGAGTGTGAGGGTGTGTGGCAATGTTTGAGTGTGAGGGTGTGTGGCAATGTTTGAGTGTGAGGGTGTGTGGCAATGTTTGAGTGTGAATGCCTGAGTGTGAGGGTGTGTGCCAATGCCTGAGTGCGATGGTGTGTGGCAATGTTTGAGTGTGAGGGTGTGTGGCAATGTTTGAGTGTGAGGGTGTGTGGCAATGTTTGGTTGTGAGGGTGTGTGGCAATGTTTGAGTGTGAGGGTGTGTGGCAATGTTTGAGTGTGAGGGTGTGTGGCAATGTTTTGAGTGTGAGGGTGTGTGGCAATGTTTGAGTGTGAGGGTGTGTGGCAATGTTTGAGTGTGAGGGTGTGTGGCAATGTTTGAGTGTGAGGGTGTGTGGCAATGTTTGAGTGTGAGGGTGTGTGGCAATGTTTGAGTGTGAGGGTGTGTGCCGATGTTTGATGTCTGTGTGTGTCTCCCTTCCACATTAGCCCCTCTCTTAAGTAATCACCATTGCATCAACCACTGTGGGGGGGATGGGGACGCGGAGAGGGGAGTGTTAGCAGAGGGAAATGATAGCTGATGGAAGGTGATTGCGGCAGGGGCAGCGGTGGGGGCTATTCTATGGGCTCTGCTTTTCTCTCTAGTTATGTTTTTTCTACTGGTGCTGGAGGAGAGGGGGGAGGGGGATTGCCAGAACTAGCAGCAGCAGCAGGAGCAGGAGGAGCAGCACGAGGAGGAGGAGGAGGGGATATTGTGAGTGCTACAGCCTTGCTGCTGGGTCCTTTGTTGCTGCCTGATGGGACTGGGGAGGGTGTGGCTGCTACAGCTGCCTCTGCTACAGCTGCCTCTGCTACAGCTGCCTCTGCTACAGCTGCCTCTGCTACAGCCGCCGCAGTCCTGCTACAGCTGCCACTGCAAAGGCGGAGGAATTTTCGGGCTGCCCGATGAAAGGAACAGCGGGTAGTTAAGTTAGGAAGAGACGCGGTGGGAGGGGAGGGATGGTTTGAGGGGACAAGGAGGAGGAGGGGAGGGGGAGGGGGGGGGGGGAGGTGTTGGCTTCGAGAAGGAGGTGGAGGAGGGAGAACAGGTGCCGGTTGTCAGAGACTCTCTGTGTGAGCCCCCTTCCATCGTCCTGGTTCAGCCTTCGGTCTAGCACCATATGTAGCCAACCGCTCTGAGGGAGAGGAAGGAGATGAGGGGAAGAGGGGAGGGGAGGAGGGGAGGGGGAAGAGCAGGGAGAGCAGCGGGCAGCTGTCAGTCACTCCCTGCGCGAGCACCCTCCCATCATCCTGGTTCAGCCGCCGATCCAACACCATCTCTATCAGGATTGAGAAGTAGAAGAGAGAGGAGGAGAGAAGGATAGGGGGGAAGGAGGGGGGGGAGGGGAAGGAGGGCACGGTGAGGAGGCTGTTAAGCAGATAGAGTGACCAGTTTTATTTCTTTAAAAACAGATGGTGAGGAGAAGCTGTTATGCACACAGCGAGACCAAGAGGTGAATCACGTTGAGAAGGCGGGAAAGAGAGGTCTTCTTGAGACTGGCACATTCCATGGCGTGGCGAGTGTGAACAGAGAAGCGCAGGCCCGAGGGGTGTTGCAGGAGCGCCAGGGCAGGCATGGAACGCGGGCGAGTGTTTCTCTTCTCACCGTCTGAAAACCGTCAGGTCCGTGTGAAAGATGTTGCCAGACCTGAAGAGAAATGCATGGGGTGTATGAGACAGGCATGGGGCATGGGACATGGGGCATGAGGACGAGAGGGCGGGAATGGGGTGTATGAGACAGGCATGGGGCGTGGGACATGGGGCATGAGGCATGAGAAGGAGAGGGCGGGCATGGGATAGAAGTGGCCCTGCAGGGGAATGCGGGCGAGTCCCTTCCCTCCTCTCCATCTGAAAACCGTTCAGGTCCGTGTGAAAGTTGCATGCAGGCCTGAAAGATGTTTGCAGACCTGGGGTGGTGGTGGTGAGGAGGTGCGGATATTATGAGAGTGAGGAGGTGAGTGGATGAGAGGGCGAGGTAGCGCATGGGTAGAAGTTGCTTTGCATGGAAATGCAGGAGAGGGTTTTCCTTGGCCAAGGGAAATGCGGGATAGGGTTTGGAAGCCGTTTAAGTTTGTGTGGAAGATGCTTCTAGACCTGCAGGGGTGGTGGGGGGAAGGGGGGGGTTGCAGATAAGAGAAGGGGAGGGACTTGGCAGGTGAGAGTTGATTAATTTTGGGGCTTGACAACATGGGAGGGCATGTGAGGACGACGGCAGGCATGCAGGCAGGCATGGGGGCAGGCATGGGGGCAGGCATGGGGCCAGGCATGGGGGCAGGCATGGGGGCAGGCATGGGGGCAGGCATGGGTGCAGGCATGGGGGCAGGCATGGGTGCAGGCATGGAGGCAGGCATGGGGGCAGGCATGCGGGCAGGCATGAGGGCAGGCATGGGGGCAGGCATGGGGGCAGGCATGAGGGCAGGCATGGGGGCAGGCATGGGGGCAGGCATGGGGGCAGGCATGAGGGCAGGCATGAGGGCAGGCATGGGGGCAGGCATGGGGGCAGGCATGAGGGCAGGCATGGGGGCAGGCATGGGGGCAGGCATGAGGGCAAGCATGAGGGCAGGCATGGGGGCAGGCATGGGGGCAGGCATGGGGGCAGGCATGGGGGCAGGCATGAGGGCAGGCATGGGGGCAGGCATGGGGGCAGGCATGGGGGCAGGCATGAGGGCAGGCATGGGGGCAGGCATGGGTGCAGGCATGGGTGCAGGCATGGGGGCAGGCATTAGGGCAGGCATGGGGGCAAACATACTTGAATTTGCTACAGCTGTTCCTGTGGGTGGCGGTGTCGCCGGCTGTAGCAGAGGAGTTACTGTTCAGAGGGCTGCTGCTCACGGCCCTGCAAGAGTGGATCGGCAGGTGAGAAGCTTGGCAGGAAGCTCGGTGATGAGGTTGGCAAGGGCTTACTGCTACGTCCTTCTTTCCGGTTTGATAACTTCCTATATTTTCGTAGCCCACACTCACTAACCAATCTGATGTCACTGTTCTTTCCTATCCTCACACGCTTGATATCGTCTCTCCTGTATTCCCCTCCTCTCCTCCCTGCATTATCCCCTGCCTCTCTCCCCTTCCCTGCCTCTCTCCCCTTCCCTGCCTCTCTCCCCTTCCTCCCTGTTTCCCACCAGGATCGACGCTGCCATGCTGTCTGCAGCCCTCTTCGGCCCCTCTCCCTCTCGCTGCTCTTCCCGAACATGGCCCTTGGGCAGCCTGCTCGCTGTCTACTCCAGTAGCGTCTTGCCAGCTGTCGCTCTGCATTCCGCTTACAATGCTTCTGCTTTAATCTACGCACTCATGGCTACAATGATTGCTTCTGTTTAGCAGGCGGTAGTACAAACAACTGGTTCCTTCACAGGTGTGGAACATCCTGAAAACAGGAAGAGAGTGTGCACAACGCCCAACAACCGCACCGGCGTTCGGTCTGGACGAAGCCTGGTTCGTGCCTCCAAGTTGGTATCGACCATGGTGTCTGGATGTTTCATGTCAGTTCTCCACGATAGCAACGTTTGTTGGGTAAATGAAACAGTGCGAACACGGGTTTGATGAGCCCAAAAAATTCCTGATGGGTGCACGGTCCACACCATTTATATCGAGAATAAGTGGGATGAAAGAACTCAAAAACGGAAAAAGTGGGATGAAATAACTCAAAACACTCATAAAGGAGATGAGATACAGGATCACAACTTAACGTATACCGAAGCGCTGCTTTCCCGAGGTGAAACTCCCGCCATCCAGCAGCAGGGAGCTTGGAGTTCGATTTCGTGAGCAGCATTGCCTCTTTCGCTGGGCACCATCCACAGTTACAGTAGTTGGCGAAAACAGCGTCGGAGCGGAGCTCCTTTTTGTTCAGTCGAGCTTCGGTGAAAATCTCTCGCCAAATCCCAGGGCATTCGCTTAGCACCTGCTCAACCACTCCGTATTTGACAGTTTGTAAACGCACAGCACCTGATCGAGCCGCAGCTCTTGGCCTTTGTAATCGTCACACTCGTCTCGTCGGTAGCCCCGAGAAACCCAGGTTTCCAAAATTGAATCTGTAGCATGATCGCCCGTCATGGAGCAGCTAGAGAGATGCTGGATAGATGAAGCTAGATAGCTATTCTAGCTAAATAAGCGCTCGAGGCATCAACCATCCATTGAGATAATATTCAAATATCGGTTTCCTAATCCGTGCACGCGAAGCTGACTTCACGTTTCGCGTCGCCAGCCAGCCAAGGTTAGCGACGGTCCTGGCATACACGAAGAATTGGACGGATTGGACGAATTCGACGAAAGCAACGAGATCATAAACGAAATCATGAACTTCTACGCCGCCTCGCGAAGATCAGCTCGCCGATTGCTATGGCTAGTCCCACCGCATACGTCACGGCCATTCGTAGATCGAATTTCCAGATACATTGCTCGTGAGACATCTCAAACGCACCGAATAGCGTCGCGATCTTCGGTTCCTTCCTTACCAAGCCTCGATCGGATTGGTTCGGATCGAATCGAACCTGCGCGAAACGCGTCTTTTCAACTCCGAAACCCAAACCGAAGCTTGGAGGTGCCTCATGAGGCTTTATCATCCCACATCCGAAGCTTCGCAACATGGTCTGCCGCTGGTGCGTCTTCCAGAGCAGCAAGCGCAGAAGCTTCCAAGGCGGAGACTGCTATCTCTGGGTTGAGATCACCCTCCAGGATCAACCCTCAAGTAGCGGTGCAAGCGGAGCTTAAAACGCGTACAGTGAAGGCCGAGGAAAGGGGGGACGTGGGAGGAGGCCAGAGCAGCACCAGGAAAGTGGAAGGGGGAGAAAAGGGAGGACGGGATGAGAGGGTGGAGAAGGTCGCAGCGGGAAATGCAGCGGGGGAGAGTGAGGAAGGCGGGAGGAAGAGCTACGGGACGGGAGGCTGCGAGGAGGAGGAGGAGGCAGTGGCAGTGATTGCTGGAGTACTGAGGGAGAAATTCGGGCCTCGGATTGTGAGAGAGGAGGTGGAGGAGTGGGAGACTGACATAAGAAGCAGTGGGGACAAATTGATCATGGGGACAGTGAAAGAGGCGGAAGAGGAAGAGGGGGGAAACGAGGAGGAGGAGGAGGAGGAGGGGTGTGTAGAAGGGTTTGAGGGGGAAGAAGAAGACGAAGAAGCAGAAGCGAGTGAGGAGGACGCACCCGGCGCCACATCTCCGCCCACACCCCCTCCTTCTTTACTTAAAAGCCGGCGGGTCGTATCTCCCTCCTCCCTCCTCTCCCTCTACCGCTTCTTCTCCTCCCACCTCGGCATCTCCTCCCCTTCCACTGTCGCTTCCCTCCTCACCTCTAAGCCCCAACTCCTCCGCTCCAATCCCACCAATGACTTCCTGCTACGTGTCCGTCTCCTCCAGTCATACAGCATTTCCAATGCTGACATCGTGCACATGACTCTGAGAAATCCAGCCTGGCTCCGATCCTCCCTGCCACGGATTCAGGGTGTGCTTGAGTTTCTCTTGGCTAAAGGCATCCGCCAAAGCAGATTGGGCTCGGTGCTTTTGTACGGATGGGGCTTACTCTGTTATGAGGCTCGTTCAACGAACCTGGACATTCTGGTGGAGAGAGCAGGGGTTCCTGTGGACAAGCTGGGTGTGATTATAGAGAGATGGCCAGACATCTTGACTCGGAGCAAAGAGACGGTGAGTATGCAGCTTGAGATGCTATCAGCCTATCTCAACGAGGGATCTGGAAGGAAGGTAGAAGCGGATACCACCAGCACAAGCCCGCTGAAGCAGCGACTAGATGAGCCGCATCTGGACAAGAGGCACCTTAGCAGGCTTATCCTGAACTGTCCAATCATTCTCTCAACATCTCCATATCGCATTGCAGAAAGTATTGCCATCCTCCAGTCCTTTACTCCCCCAGACACGCCCTCCATTGCGAGCTCTGTGCTCCGTCGTGCCCCCAACGTCCTCTGTTTCAGCAAAGAAAATCTCTTAGCTAAGCTCCAATTTTTTGTGGAGCTGGTGGGGGAGGAGGCAGCTGGGAGAATGGTGAGGAGCCACCCGACAGTTCTGATTCTATCGAAGGAGAACGTGCAAGGCAAGGTGGCGGTATTGGTCGATTTGATTGGCCGAGAGAACGCTGTGCGGGTGGTGGCACAAGCTCCATTGCTAATAGCTACCAGTGAAGATGTCATAAGGGAAAGTTTCAGAGAGCTTGTGCAAGAAGTGGAAGAGGCATTGGAGAGCAGTGGAGAAAAGGGAAGTGGGAGGCAAAGGTGGGGGGAAGGTGATAAAGGTAATTGTTTGAAAGGGGAGAATGATTCTCAGGCACTTAACCCAGCACTAAGTGTCAAGCAATGCAGGGCTCGTCAGTTGGTGGTGGATTTGGTTGTGAGACACCCACCGTCTATCCGCTGCAGTTGGAAGGAGAATCTGTTGCACAAAGTGGAGTACTTAAAACGGGACATGGGGCTCTCTATAAAGGAGGTGCTCGCCTACCCTATCGTTCTTAGTTTAAGTTTGGATCGGCGAATCAGACCGCGGCATGTGGCACTGGTGCGAATGGGTTATGAGGTTGTGGCACACGAGATGGTTAGTCGGACGAGTGTTAGAAACAGGAGGGATGTTTCAATGGCAGCTGGGGTACAGAGGAGCAAGCTGGGTTATGTGTCTGACAAAGTGGAGGGGGTAGAGGGGATTGAATGGGGAGCGGAAGAAGGGAATGATGAGCCAGGGGGGGGAGTTGCTACAGAGCGTCAGCTTCTGGATTTGGAGGGGTCAAAGAAAAGGGTGTGCCTGCAGCAGTTTCTTCACTTCACAGACAAGCAGTTTGAGGAAAAGTTTGGGGTCAAACTGTAGGGTTGGTGCTGATATATTCTTCTGTGGCTTCTAATGTGCCAGGACCTCAGTCCATGCCTGAGTGTGAGGGTGTGTGCCAATGCCTGAGTCCGTGCCAGCACACCATGAATCTCTATCTGTCAGGCGGCCAGGTGTGAGTGCCACAGCATTATTGCTTGCTGGGTCCTTTGTTGCCGCCCGATGGGACTGGAGGGGGTGTGGCTGTTACAGCTGCCACTGCTACAGCTGCCACTGCTACAGCTGCCACTGCTACAGCTGCCTCTGCTCCAGCCGCTGCAGCCCTCCTCCTGCTGCGCCTGCTACATCTGTTCCTGTGGGTGGCGGTATCCCCATCTGTAGCAGAGGAGCTGCTGTTCAGAGGGCTGCTGCTCACGGCCCTGCAAGAGAGGCTTGGCAGGTGAGAGGCTTGGCAGGAGGCTCGGTAGTGAGGTTTGGCACCACCTTCTTTTTGAGTCCAATGGTTCCTCCATTGCCATAGCCCACGCTCTCTTTCATCAATCCAATGTCACTCTTTCCTTCCTATCTTCACGCGCATTATATCGTCTCTCCTGTCTCCTTCCCCTCCTCTCCTCCCTGCACTATCCCCTTCCATGCCTCTCTCTCCCTCAGGATGGTTGCTGCCATGCTCTCTGCAGCCCTCTTCGCCCTCTTCCACCTCTCCCTCCTCTTCAGTTTTTTGTGGGGCAGGTAGGGGAGAAAGCAGCAGGGAGAGTGGGGAGCAGCTGCCGCAGGTTCTGCAACTGTTGAAGGAGAATATGCAAGGCAGGGTGGCAGTATTGGTTGATTTTTTTAGGAGAGAATTCTGTGCGGGTGGTGGCATTCCTTTGTTCCTATCTTCTAGTGAAGACAACATGAACAGTTTCAGCTTGTGAAAATAACATGAACAGTTCATACCTCTCTGCCTATGCCATCTGAAAGGTCCCACGAGTCAGCAATTAATGACCTCATCAGGGTTCAGGATAGGTTCACTAAGCAGCTATTGCATAAGTATAGGTATACTGTCATTCATCCCGTATGGACCATAGGGAGCCAGTTTTCAGCCAAGCTATTTAAATGACATCAATCAGAGCCATAAATTGCTAAATTTTGAATGTTTGAAAGGTATTTTGTAGGTGTTCCAGAAACGAATCTGAATGACTAAGTAGATTTGTGAAGTGATGTGGAGAATGTACCCACCTTTTATTTCTTAGAGCAGGATAATGCGTGGTATATTTTATGCACTCGAGGCTGGGTTTTCTTAAATGGCGGATGCGTATGGCAGAACTGACAGTATGTATCACAAGTATCAGGCGCCAAAGCGACTTCACTAGAGGAATTGTGGTATTTCGAGGCCCCAGGAGAGGAGAGCAGGAGCGGGAGAGTAGGATGAGGAAGTAGGCTTGGTTGGGCTGTACGGCGATTAGACCTGCGCGTGGCATTAGTAGCACTAATAACGCCTCTTCTCCTGTGGTACGTTACGTGCATGTCGGGCAGCACCGCCTTTTCCTCACTCATTTGGCCATGTTAAGGATTGCTCAGAGATAAGAGAGCTATGCAGTTGCTTGCAGTTTCTGCGATTAGCGTTTCTTGCGATAGCTGGCACCACCCGTTGAAGGTTTCTTCGCGAAGATAGTTCTTTCAGGAAATCATGAGACGAAGTTTCTAGTAGTTTTCAAGCAATCTTACGGAGTAAGAACCTGAAACAAGAGATTATTAACGATGTGGAGCCGTAAGCGAAAGCCGCGACTGGCGAAGATCGAAGACGAGTTTCCCGCTAGTGAAGGGGACCGAAGCATCCAGGAAACCGACCCGTCCGTGACGTCATCCCTAGAAGGTGGATCGCCAGCGGCGTCATCTGCAGCAACAGAAGCGGCGCAGTCGTCTCAATCAGCATTAGAAGCATCCGCAGCAGCCGCAGGAACAGCTTCAGCAGCAGTGGTGCCAGCAGCGACGCCTACGAGTCCAGTCAACGCAGCAATCCCACCAGCGAGCGTTGTTGAAAGATCCGGGGGGAGATCGGACGCTGGTTTGAACGTTGCTAAAGACGCGGAACGAGCTACTGCTGTTGCTGAGGATGACAATCCGGTCACCGGGTCCAGAGGTTTTGGAAGTGGTAACGCTGGGGAATTGGACGGTTCTGGTAATAGCGTCATGGTTCTCCAAGAAGAAACTGAGAATAGTAGTGGCAGGGCGTTTGTAGATTCTAGAGCGGGCGACGGAGGAGGAAGTGAGCAGGAGCATGTGGCAGGCTCCACTTCGACTGCTGCTGCTGGTGCTGATGGTGATGCTGCTACTGCTGGTGCTGGTGCTGGTGTGGGTGATGCTTCCGAGTCTCTAACAGAAGCCGTTCGTTACGTTCCGCTGGCTTTTGATACAGTCACGTCCGGTTTAGAAGACGAGATCAGCTTGCTGGAGCGTCTAGTGGCGAACCATTTGATATTGTCACAATTCGAGCTCGCCAGAGCGGCTGTCAGGGACCTTGCACGGCTCAGCCCCTCCCGTGCGATTTCTCTGCTGAGGAATGTGATTGTAACGGGGGGAGAGATCTCCGGGGCTGTGTGGTCGGCATCTGTACTGTCTGCCGCCCATCTGACGTGGCTGTGCGTTGGGGAATACCGAGAGCTGCGTAAGGTGCAGGGAGAGAGGGGAGGGCGAGGAGAGGGAGGGGATTGGGAGAGGAAAGAGAGGGGAGAGAGGGGAGTGGGAGGGGATTGGGTGAGAGGAGCAGAGAGAAGAGGCTCTGAAAGGGGTGTCTGGACGGCGGCTGCTGCAGCTGATGAGGACGGACAGGGAGAGGAACAGGAGGGGGAGGAGGAGGTAGGACACGGGGATAGGATGGGGGAAGAGCAGGAGGAAGAAGAGGAGGAAGGAGAGGAGCGAAGAGGGAGGGCCACAGGCGATGGTTCGGAGGAGGAGGAGAGAGTGATGGTGGATGAAGCGGAATTTGACCTGTACCTGGCCCAGCTCTCACTCAAGGTGCATGAATCTGCATTCTCACAAAGAGTGGATCGTCCTGTATCGCGTACAGGCGAGCAGGAGGGCTCATCTGGAGCAGGAGTGCAGGAGCGACATGGGGAGGAGCGAGGAAAGGAGGAGAGAGAAGGGAAGGAGAGAGAAGAGGAGGCTTTGAGGAGAGGGGAGAAGATTCGTGCAGCAGTCACACTGCTTCATGACCGATCAGTCTGGGGCCTTCCCAGTATACCCCTGGTTGTGGGGAGTAGGCTGTGTGCCAGTGAGATAGGGGAAGAGGCGAAAGAGGCAGTGCTGGTAGGGTCAGAGCTGGTTTTTGAGAATTCTCAAAAGTCAGCAGGGGCAACTGAGTCAGTTAGGGCAGCAGTGGTTGAAGAGAGAGGGGAAGCAGCAGCGGAGCAGGGACAAGGGCATGTTGAATCAATCATCCCTGATGCGACACCTGTCGGCGTCTCATTGGTTGTTGGAGAATACCCTGAGATCCTGGACGAGCTTTCCAGGAACGTTCTGCGCCAGAGACGGAGGAGCAGGAGGAGGTCGACGTCAGGACCTGAGAGGCTTGAAAGCGAGGGTGATTTACCCTCACAATCCTGGCCAGAAGGAGTGCCAGCTGTGAGATGGGTGCAGGAGGCTCATCTGGGGGCGGTGACATCTATGCTAGAGGCGGGGGACGTGCAGGGAGCAGCTGGTGGCCTGAGGTATCTGAACGTGGAGTATGGGGCTGTGGAGGAGGAACGATACAGGTGAGGATACACTGTATCGAGATGCCTGTAAGCTTGAGCATAAGATGCACTGGGATTCGTTGATACGTATGCAGAGGACGTGAAAGGAGCAGCAAGTCGCCTATGGTACTTGAACGTGGAGTATGGGGTTGTGGAAGTGGAAGAGGCGCATTACAGGTGAGCACTGAGCAGGGAAGAGGCTTTAAAACGCGGAACGGAAGAGTCTCTGATGGAGGAGGATGCGCAGTGCAGAACGTTGAGTGATCAATAATAGAAGTTGAGTTTTGAGAAGTCTCAAAACTCAACTTTTATCACGAGGAGGAGGAGAAGTGCATGGACATGCTTTTTAAGGGTGAGCATCCGAGCGTTATGCTAAGATGCCAACTGTTTTCGACATTACTTCCTTTTGTTTTTGCTTTTTTTTCCTGGCAGGTCTGCCCTGCACCAGTTGGTCCTCGCTCTGCGCCCCGAGGTGGCCCAACAAGCGCCGTCCTCCAGCACTCCTGTTTGGACGGCAGTGAGGAAGGAGGAGACAAGAATTGCCGTTCAGGAGCTGCTAGCTTCGGGTTCGGCCTGGCTCATCAGGCTGTTCCAGGTACGGATGGCATGATGATATGGAATGGGGTTGCGATGACATGGGGTTGCGATGGCATGGGGTTATGACGACATGGGGTTATGATGACATGCGTTGTGATGACATGCGTTGTGATGACATGCGTTGTGATGACATGCGTTATGATGACATGCGTTGTGATGCCATGAGGTTTAATCTACATACATTCTTCCATCCATGTCATCACTTTGTTGTTCCACCCATCTCCCTTTCTACCCCTCCTTTCTATCCCTCCTTTCTCTCTCCCTCTGTTCTCCTCCAGGCTGTATGGGACGACCACATTCACAGCGAGTCTCAGCAATCCGCTCGTCACTACCCCATCGCCCCTCCCTTGGAGGCCTTACACGCCCTGCTGCTGGCACACGGGCAAGATGACAGCAACCCTGAAGCAGAATCGAATCAAGCAGAGGACAGCCCAGAAGCGACTGAGGGAGAACCTGAAAAAGAAGCGATACACTTGGAATCGAATGAAGCGTCTGAAGTGGAGGGCGAAGGGGAGGGAGAGACTAGGGACGAAGGAGGGCAGGCGATGGGGGAGAGGGGAGATGGTGGGGAGTGTGAGGGGAGAGTGGATGTGAGAGGAGAGGGTGTGAGGAGGGAGAGTGTGGAGGAGAGGTGTGTGTGGGAGCTGGTGGAGCATGCGAGGGTGGAGAAGCGGGTGGTGGTGGGGAGTGTGTTGGAGGGAGCTCTGGCTGCTGTGCATGCAGGCCAGTTCGCCAAAGCCAACCATGTGAGTATTTCTGCTCAGAGCCCCTGTGAGTAATTCGGCCAAGGCCAACCGTTTCCCGACCAACCAACCCCTCAACGGATCACATCACATATTCACATCGTGACATCGTCATCCGCTTTTTTGAAGCTCTCAAAGGTTTTTGGTTATGGGTTTCGGGTTTAATCTGATCACTCCCCTAAACCCTGCTCTTATGCTGGACTGGACGTGCCTGTTTCATTCGGCTGAATGGTTTAGCCATCTTACTCACCTCTCCGGCCCCCCGTTTTGCTCCCTACCTGCAGATCGTCCGTCTGTGCCCCCCTCTCCGTCCCCTCACCACGCTCATCGCATGGGACCTCCCCCTCTCCCATCCACCCTCCTGCCTGCTCACGCCCATTAAATTTCTCCCTCCTTCCTTCCCTCCCCTCCCCTCCCGGCAGATCCTCCACTTGTGCCCCCCTCTCCGTCCCCTCACCACACTCATTGCCTGGGACCTCATAGGCCCCTCGCACCCCGCCACCCGCCTGCGCCTGCTCTGGGCTCTCTGGCCCATCCAGTCCTCCCGTGCCCTGCTGCCACATGAAGGTGCCAACACGTCCCTGCTGCCTCACGTGTCTTGCCAAGATCTGCTGCCAAACAAGCCTCTCGCTGCCAACCTATGGTCGTCGCAGCTCCTGCAGCATGCTGGGGTGTCTTGTGCTCACCTCATCTACCACGCACATCTGGCCTTCCTCGTAGCCGCTCGCCATGCTACCTTACAGCAGCAGCAGCAGCAGCAGCAGCACCCGAGGTCTTACCACCACCATCCTCAGCTCGATCATCAGCAGCAGCAGCAACACCTGCAAAACCAGGATCAGCAGCTGCACGCCTCCTCCGATGTACCACGTGTGTGGAGCCCTAAGGAGGAGGCCGCACATTCGTTGAGTTGCAAGGAGGCGACACGTGTGTTGAGTCCTAAGGGAGTGGCGCACATAGTACGAGCAGCTGACCCGTTCGTTGCACGGCTGGCATTGGAGCTGCTACAGGTGCAGCCGCCCCTGCACGTGCTGCTCTCTCTGGGACACGGTTTCCAGCCAGGGTGGATCATTCAGCTGCTGCAGGCCCAGCCGGGAGCTGGGGGCAACGTGCTCGGTGGGACATCTGGCAGGTGAGAGGTGGAGCAGTATGGTGTGGTGCGGGCAAGCATGTTCAGGTGCAACCGCCCCTGCACGTGCTGCTCTCTCCAGGCATTCACTGCTTCCGCTCAGGAGAAGTCATTCAGCTGCTGCAGGCCCAGCCGGGAGCTGGAGGCAACATGCTTGGTGGGACTTCTTCCAGGTGAGTTGGATGGATGGATGGAGGCAGGGGAGGGCGACAAAGGACATACATTGCACTGGAGCAGTTTCGGATCGCGTTTCCTCCTCTCCTTTGAATTCTCCTCCCTGCTCCTCTTCTTCAGGGACTGGGACGTGGAGCTCCTTCACATGCTGTTTGGCGCCCAGGCTGCAGAGATGGTCGTGCGTGCCATGGCAGGGAGCAGCAGGGGAGGAGACAGAAGAGAAGGAGAGGGGAGGGGAGGGGTGCAGTGTGGGTCAGCAGAGGCTATGAGGGCGGTTGAGTCGTTTGAGCATCATGCAGCCCGTGTTACCACTGCTGCTCGCAAGGTGAGAAGGGCAGGTTTAGGGAGGGATTTATAAAACAGCATGTAGTGCAGCAAGGCACCAACAGGGGCAGTTGCGTTTTCTGGTAATTGATTACTGACCCTTGTCATTTTGCTCCCTTGATCTCTCTGCGCTTCTCAGATCTGGATGGGCTACACTGTGCGCTCGCTGCTTCTTGCTGTTTTTTTAGGCGCCTCAAAATTTGCTCCCTTGCTCTGGCGTGTCTCAGATCTGGATGGGCTACACCGTGCGCTCGCTGCTCCTCGCTGCCTCGAAACCACCCTCCACGAATGACAGTCCAGGATTGCCATTCGTGGACGACGAGGATTGCCTGGCTGGTGTCACAATGGCCCGCCTTCAACTGCTGGCCAAGCACGATGCTGCTATTGGTGATGTTGATGCAGACGCTGCTGCTGTCAGTGACAGTGGTGTTGATGGGTCGAAGAAAGGTGGTGCGACTGCATCTGTAGCACCATCAGCACCCCCGGCTGTAGCATCAGCTTGCCCGGCTGTAGCGCCATCATCCCCCCCGGCTGTAGCAGTGATGGAGGCCTTGCTGGCGGCTGTAGCCAGGCATCTGCCGCCCCAGGGCACAGAGACGCACGGCATGGCCCGTCCTTTTCTGATGGATGCGTCTCCCTTGAGCGGCGTGGACAGGCGGGCGGCACGGGCACTGTTGAGGCGGAGGGATGTGGGGGAGGTGGGATCTCGTGGGAGTGATGTTGGTGGTGGTGCTGCTGATGCTCCTGCTGCAGCCACTGCTGTTGCTGCTGATAATAGTGATGGCTCTGCCACTGTTGCTGCTGCTACTGCTGCTGCTGCATCTGCTGGCCTGAAAAGAACAGAGTCAGAGGAGGAGCAGCTGGGACAAAAGGGACAGGGGAGGCCTGAAGGGGGCAGCACAGCAGAAACGATAAGTTTGCCTTACAGAAGGAAAAGGAGGCTGCTTAGTGGGGATGGGGCAGGGGCGGAGGAGCAGGAGGAGGAGGAGGAGGGTACGAGGATGGAAGAGGAGAGATTGCAACAGATAGGAGGGAAGGGTGAGGGGGGAATGACAGGAGGAAAGGGAGATGGAGGGTTGTCTGGGGAGGGTTTAGCTGAACGTGGTTCGGATTCAGATGCTTCGGATTCAGACACTACATTCGATGGTCTAGATGCTGGTTTTGCTGCTGAGCTGGATGCTGAGCTGGACGCACAGGCGTCTGACGTGGCAGCGGCGGCAGTGGAAGTGCTGGCTTCTGATTGGAAGCAGAGGGCGCAGGTGGTGCGTGATTGGCTGGACGACTGGCAGTGGCGACTGGCTGTGCTGAAAGCTGATTGGCTGGGCGTTCGTGTCAGACGGGGGGAAGGGGAGGAGGGGGAGTTGAAAGAGGAGGCGGTGTTGGAAGAGGTGGAAGGGGAGGAGGAGGTGGAGAGGGCAGAAGGCGAAGCGAGTGATTATGAGCAGGAGGGTGGAACGGAAGGACGTGAGAGGAAGGGAGGAGAGGTGAAAGGGCAGGCAGGGAAGGGGAAGGAGCGGCGCCTGCGGAGTGATTGGTCGGCATGGGGGTGGCACGAGGTGGTGGCATGGATGCGAGTGGAGCCCTCTGCTCTCATCTCCTGGTGAGTCATACCATGCCATTCTCTCTGGGTCATTCTTTTGGTCTCTGATGCGCCCATTCTTGTTCCCTGGGACGTCTCAAAACACAAGGGAGCGATGGCACGAGGTGGTGGCATAATTGCGAGTGAGTTCCGTAGCCCGCTCATTCCCTTTGTTCCTCCTGTTCCCCCTGTTTCCCCTGTCATAATGCAGCTGCCTGTTAGTGGGCGACTTCTCTCTCTGCGCCTAAATCTGATGCACTCAGAGGCACGACTGCACCTCTCTGCCTGCCGTGCCTAAATCTCTAGGCTGATTCTCTCGGTCCCCCCTCTCCACCCTGTCATTTGCAGCTTATCAGTGGGCGACTTCTCTCTCTGCGCCTCGCTCACTCGACACTTCCCATTGGCCGTGCACTCAGAGAGGCACGAGTGCAGCTTTCCGCGTGCCTGGCTCGCCTCACTCACTCCTGTCCGCCGTGTCCCTCCCTCTTGTTCCCCCTGTATCTCCTGTCCCCCCTGTCCTTTCTCGTCAGCTGCCTATCAGTGGCCGACTTCTCTCTCTGCGACGCGCTCACTCGTCGCTTCCCACTGGCCGTGCACTCAGAGGCACGAGTGCAGCTTTCCGCATGGCTCGCCCGCCATGATCAATCCAGAGTCGTCCGGTGGGACAGTGGAGGAGGGCGATTGCACGCCAGCAGCAGCAGCGATGGCGGTGGTGGTGGTGATATTGCTGCTGGCAGTGGTGGGAGTGGGGGGGGAGGTGGGAGCAGGGGTGGGTTGGAGAGGGTGGGGAGTGTGGAGGCGAGGGAGAGGCGAGTGAGGGAGAACGAGCAGGTGGACACGCTATTCTCGCTCTTCTTTGCTCCATCACAAGCCATGTGGGAGATGTTTCCGGCCCTTGACATGGTATGTGTGGAGAATACGCTCCCCGCCTTTGAGGTGGTATCACTGGTATGTATGCGCTATTGAAGTGCCTCGCAAGAGGGAGAACGAGCAGGTCGACACGCTATTCTCGCTCTTCTTCGCCCCGTCCCAGGCTATGTGGGAAATGTTTCCGGCTCTTGACATGGTACGTGTGGATGGTAATATGTTTCTGTCTCTGGACATGCTATGTGGAGAAGGAAAAGTTTCCTCTCTCTCGACGTGGCATGTGCGAGTACTGGTGAGATAAAGGATTTTCACTCCCCGCATTATCTGCTCACGTCTCAATGTATTTCCCTGCTTTCTGTGTTTTCATGCAGGTGGCCATCCTGCTGGATGCAGCAGCAACACAGGCTCGCACCGCCCCTGACGCCCTTGTTCTGCTCGACCAGGTATTTCCTCATGCTTTCAGGCGCCTCTAAAACTGAAACAACATTTTTTACGCCTAAGAAATCGTTCTGGATGGAGCAGCAGCAACACAGGCTCGCACCGCGCCTGACGCCCTTGTTCTGCTCGACCAGGTATGGTTGCATTCTCATTCTCATTCTCGTTCTCGTTCTCGTTCTGGTTCTCGTTCTCGTTCTCACTCTCACCGTCATTCTCACTCTCACTCTCACTCTCACTCTCATTCTCATTCTCATTCTAATTTCTCGTCTCATTGCTCTTACTTAGAGTCATGAATACACGAAGACCTGATTGTCAGCATGACCTTTTCATGCTTCACTTCAACCTTTGAGGCGTCTCAAATTTCATTCTTGTTCCTTTATTTCCATGCTTGCGTCTCAGACCTGGCTGTCAGCTTGCCCAAACAGAGATATATTGAGTCGATTAAAATCAAGATTCATGCGTTTTCGTGTCGCATACCCCTTCCCCTCCTCCCTTCCACCAACCAACCCTGCAGGCTCGCACTGTTTTGACAGCCTGGCAGGCGGACCAGCAAGGACTGAAGGATGAAGACAAGGGCCGGGGGGGAAAGAATTGGCCGGGGAAGCAACACCAGCAGCAGCAGCAGCAAGAGCGAGAGGAAGACAGTAGCAACAACTTAAACTCAGTGCAGTGGGCGACAGCAGAGCGGCTGCTGCAGCGGCTGGAGGCCATTCAGAATCAGGACCCCACCACGCCTCTCCCGAGCCTGCTGGCCGCCGTGCAGCCGCACCTGTCTCCATCCCCGGGCCTGTCAGGCTCGGCAGGGGTGCGTCGGGGCCCCAAGGCTCGGGCGGTGATGGCGCTGCAGCAGGTGGTGGCAGATTGTGAGGCAGGCACGGCACAGTTTGTCAGTGGTGCGTGATGGTTAATGAGAATGGGTGCGCTTCCCCTTTCAGTAGTATGTGGAATTCAGAGGTCCTTGGGGCCCCAAGGCTCGAGCGGTGATGCTGCTGCAGCAGGTGGTGGCAGATTGCGAGGTAGGCACAACACAGTTTGTCAGTGGTACGTGTCAGGATTGTTGAGCATGGTGTATGGTCCATAGCCCGTCGGCATGCCGTTTTTTCAGCTGAGATGGAGTGTTTCAAGGCTCGGGCAGTGATGGCGCTGCAGCAGGTGGTGGGGGGTTGTGAGGCAGGCACGGTGCTCGTTAGTGGTACGTCGTGCTACCCCTCTTCCCCTCCCCCATCCCTGCCTCCCTCAACCTTTTTTTGAGTCGACTAAAAAATAGGCTCCTCACGCACAGTGCTCGTTAGTGGTACGTCGTGCTACCCCTCTTCCCCTCCCCCACCCCTCCCTCCCTCAACCAGGCAGGCATCCACAATCTCATCCGAGCCTTGAAAGATCTCGAACCAGCAGCAGACCCCCTCTATTGCCACTCTTTTCTTCCTCCTTCCCACAACCCCCTGCATCTTGCCATCCACTCTTCCTTCCTCTCCTCCCCACCTCCCCTCCACCACACGCCAGGCAAGCTGCACAATCTCATCCGAGCCTTGTGACACCCCGAACCAGCAGCAGACCCTCTCTAATGGCCCTATGTTGCTCCTCTCCCCCCTACCCACAACCCGTCCGCCCTGCTTCTTGTTAATACCCCTTCAGGCAAGCTGCACAATCTCATCCGAGCCTTGGAAGACCCCGAACCAGCAGCAGACCCCCTCTCCCAGGTCATCCCCGCACCTGCCACGGCTGCTGGCCAGTCAGGGTCCGCCACGTGTCCCCCTCCTGGCAGCGGGCTTGGCTTTGGCATTGGGCTGGACGTGATCTTGCCAGATCAGCTTGCTACAGGTGATGCTACAGCCGATACTGCCACAGCCACAGCAGACTCTACAGCTGCCGCTATAGCCGGTGCTACAGCTGGGCTGAGTACTGCACCACCAGCAGCAGGGGTAGCAGGGGCAGGGGATGTAGCACCAGCGGCTGTAGCAGCTGCTGCCGCCAGTGCAGCAGGTGCTGCTGGTGCAGTGGGTGCTTCCGGTGCAGGTAGTACTGGTGAAGGGGATACCCTGGGTGTTGCTGGTGGTGCTGGTGGTGCTACTGCTACTGCTGCTGCTCCTGACGCCGCTGCAGGTCCTTCCTTGTCCTCCTCCTCCTCCTTTTCTCTCTGGCGAATGTTGCATGGGGGAGGAGGAGGAGCAGCAGGAGGAGGGGGGCCAGCAAGTGTGCCTGCAGTATCAACCCGAACCGATTCCCAAGGCTCGGTGGCTGCTGCAGCTGCGGTGGCGGGCTTAGCTTCGGCAACAGGTTCGGGAGGAGTGGGATTGACAACAGGGTCTCCTGTGCACACACCCCCTCTCTCCCCCCGCTGGACCCGCTCCTCCTCTAGCCTTGGCCTCTCCGCTGCTGCCGCTGCTGCTGCTGCTGGTTCATCGGTGGCAGCAGCAAGGGAAGGTGCCGGTGCTGCTGGTGCACTGGACGCAGCAGCAGTGGCAGCAGCAGTTGAAGATCTCTCTGAAGGAGGTTCAACCAGATCTACCTCCCTCCCTCTTCCCTCCACTGCCGCTACCACTACCACTGCATCCTCTGCTGCTGCTCCGTCGCCCCTTTTAGGACTATCACGCTCTTCTACTGGCGCTGTCAGCATGCCCCCTCCCTCCACAACCACCACCATCACAAGCGCCCCACCTGCTGCTGCATCTGCACGCATATCTGCTCCTCCAGTTCCAGGTGCCTCGTCAGGTGCTTCTTCAGGTGCTTCCTCAGGTGGGGGTGGGGCTGCCAGGGCGACTGCGCCGCTCCCTCCTGTGCCGCGATCGTCCATGCCCAGTCTCTGGCCCTTCTCTTTCAACTCAGCCAACGCGAAGCAGCCTACTGCAGCAGACGGGCAGGGAGTGGTGGGGCTTCAGTCCCTTCTTGGTTCAGGTACTGGTGGAGAGACAGCAGGAGCATCAAAAGTATCAGGAGCAGCAGCAACAGGAGGAGGAGGAGGGACAGGAGGGGGAGGAGAAAGAGGTGGAGAAAAGGGAGGAGGGGCGGCAGGAGCATTATCATCATCAGCAACAGCAGCGGCAGCAGCAGGGTTGCGAGGGCCAGGGAAGCAGCCTTGGGATCATCCCAAGGGTTACCTGCCAGTCTTCTTAAACTACGTGGTTCAGATTGGGGATATTGTCGATGATAGTGACCCCAGCCACCCCTTTAACTACTTCTCTTTACTAAACGTCGACCCAGTGGAGCTTTTAAGAGAGCTTGTGTTTGTGAGAGGGGATATTGCTGCTGCGTTGCATGTGGCTGGGATCATGGGTAGGGAGTCCTTACCTGCCGACATTATCCCCGCAGCTCTCCCGAGCCTGTTGCCGCCGGTGCCGAGCCTGAAGCTCTGTTCCATGGCTCGGCGCTTCCGAAGCAGAGTTCTGGACAGGTCCGGAGGAGGCTCGGGACAGGGTAGGGGCAAGGTAGGAGAGGGAGGGCCGGAAAGTGCGGAGAATCTTCTGATGCCTTCGCCGTATGAGCCGCCGCGATTTGCACTGAGTATGGACGTGGTTCAGCTGCTTGCGAGAGAATCCATGGTGCATGCTGTGTTGGCTTGTGTGCTGGGAGCAGAACAGCAGATCGTGCAAATGCACAGACGCAAGGAGAGAGAGCGTGATCTGAAAACAGTCGGTGCATTTTCCGGTGGTGGTGGTGCTGCTGCTACCGGTGGTGGTGCTGGTGGTGTTGGTGGTGTGGGTAGGGCTGGTGGTGTGTTGGGCGGTGATAGGAGCAGGGGCAAAGGAGGGGGAGTGGGAGGTGTGGCGAGTGCAGTGGAGGCGGAGGAGGAAGCTGCAAAGAAGCTGATGGAATATGCACGCGTGCACTCTGCTGGGTGAGTCAGACCCTGTGGGGTGTCTGCGGCATGATATTCGCATGCATGAGTCATGACCTTTTAGCTCTGGATTGTGTGTGTGTGTGTGTGTGTGTGTGTGTGTGTGTGTGTGTGTGTGTGTGCAAGTCCCCTTCTTCCTTCCATCCCTCCCCCCTTCCTTCCCTCCCTCTTCCCTCCCTCCCCCCTTCCCTCCCCCCTTCTCTCCGCCATTCCTTCCCTTGCTGTCTTCCCACTCTCAGAAACCCCCCCAATAATGCCCAGCCAGCATTCTGTCTGCTTTTCACTCCATCGCCATTGCTGCCTTTTAAGTCGCCTCCAAAGTCGCCTCAAAAGTCGCCTCAAAAGTCTCCTCAAGAGTTTTTTAGGCGCCTCAAAAGGGCATCATTCTGTCTGGTTTTCACTCCATCGCCATTGCTGCCTCCAAAGCACCTTCCCTCCTCCTGTCTCTTCCTCACCCCTTCCTACCCTCCCTTTTCCCATACTCCCCTCTTCCCCCCACCTTCCCCAGCACCCCAATCATCCACCGGTGGGTCACTCTGCAATCTGCCATCCACTCTATCGCCATTGCTGCTGCTAAAGCACCCTCCCGCGCTCCCAAGCAGCAAGCACCAGCAGCAGCAGGAGCTGCAGCAGGCGTGGGGTCATCAGTGGGGGGAGGAAGCAGAGGCGGGCCATTGGGTGCTGGAGCTGCAGGGATAGTGGGGGTTGCACGGTTGAAGGGATTCGAGGAGGGAGGAATGCAGAGAACAGCAGTGTCAACAGGGAAACAGGAGGTACTAAGGGAGCAGCCCTTGGGTTCAGGCGGCTCTAGCCTTGGAGGGACCTTGGCTGTGCATTCGCCTGGTAACAGTAGCAGGAGGGGCGGGAGGGCGTTTACAGGGTCAGCTCTGCTGCTTGCAGGGCAAGAAGGGACACCAAGGAGAGTGAGAGGTGCGAGATTGCCTGGAGCAGGAGGGGTAGCTGAGAGTTCCAGCGGGCTGGTGGTGGGTATAGAACAGGTGGGTGAAGGAGGAGGAAGAGGGGAAAAACGGCGTTTTGCTGCTGAAATCGATGCGGTTGAGGCGGGAGACGGGGAGGGGGGTTCATTGTCTGTGGGAGAAACAGGACGTGTGGATGCTGGTGTTTCTGTGGACCACGTCTCAGATACACTGGGTGACACAGACGAAGGGAGAGCGAGAGGAGGAGTGGGGGACGAGCAGGGAACTGGTGAAGGGGCAGCAGAGGCGGCAGGGGCAGCGGCAGCAGCAGGGGCGGTAGAGGCAGCAGGGGCGGCAGGAGTGGCAGGGGTAACAGCAGGGGCAGCAGCAACAGCAGGGGAGGCGATGGCAGGTGGTCGGCTGGAGGCTCTGTTGACTGAGTGGGAGGATTTGCGGCCTGTGAGGATTCACCTGGAGAGGTGAGGAGTTAAAAAACAATGAAATACATCAGGATTGTTACGCGATGCACATTTCATCTGTAGATGATTTTGATTACTGTGTTCTCTTCTTTTCGTTTTTCCTTCTACCCTTCCCCAACTCCCCTCTACCCCTCTCCCCCACTTCCCCTCTCCCCCTCCCTATAACCTCTTTTTGTTTTTTCTCGCAGCCTGATTGCTGATTCGCGATTGGCCGAGGCCCTTGAGCTGGCAGACACGTGGCTGCCTGAGGGGGCGCCAGATCACCTGCTGTGTCTGCTCGTGGAGCAGGCTGAGGGCCCTGATGGTGCTGCTGCTGCTCACACGCACTTGACAGGGGTAGCAGGAGTGGCAGGAGGAGACGTGATGCGGTTTCAAAAGGCGCCTGTAACAGGAGTGTTACAGGCAAGCAGGCTGCAGCAGAGCCCCCGGAGTGGAGGCGTAGGGTTTGCAGGTCCTGGCGGTGCTGGTGTTGCGGGTGCTGCTGCTGCTCCTGCTGGTGGGGGAGGAAGTGAGGGTGGGATTCGTGGTGGCAGTGCTGGCAAGGGCGTGAGGAAGCCTGTGACAGCTGGCGACAGCTGGCGGTTTGTGATTCGTGTGGCTGACAAGGAGTTTGCAGCGGCGCTGGCTCTGAGGTGAAACGGGGGGTGGGGTGGGATTCCAAAAACTCTCTCAAATATCTTTTGAGAATTCTCACAAGGGTGGATCTGTCTGTTTCATCATGCCATGCCATGGGGTGGGGTGTGTGGGGTGTGTGGGGGTGTGTGGGGTGTCTGGTGTGTGTGTGCATATGTGCGATTTATGAGTCTACTAAAAAATGCCTTTTTGTGTGGGGAGTGTGGGGGGGTGTGTGCGTTTGTGCTGCTGTGTTTGCATGCATGCACGTATGTTCTCTGTGCATGCCTACCCGCACCACCACTACAGGTATCACCATAGCTGGCAGCTGTCACACATCCACACCGTATTCAACACCTGCCTCTCACACCTTCCCACGCATTCGCCCCTGCGGGCTCAGGTATGCTCGAAGCCACCTATGTGATCGCATCGCTGAATTTGTTTTCTGAAAATTCTCTAAAAACAGATTCCCCACGCACTCTTGCCCCTGCGGGCTCAGGTATGCTCGAAGCCACCTATGCGATCGCATCGCATCTGCTGCTCCTCTCTGTGCATGGTGCAGCATGGAATTGCATGCGATTCCCTCCACAAACTGGGGCAATTTTGTTTTTCTCATGTCGTTGCTCCCGTGAAAAAAGGAGTGTTTTGAGACGTCTCAAAATGCTGCAGCATGGAATTGCATGTGATGTGATTTGGGGCAATTTTGTTCTTCTCGTGTCGTTGTTCCCGTGAAAGTTTTTTGAGAATTCCTCAAAAAACTATAGCTCAGCCTAGAGAAGATTAGGACGAGTTACCTGTTGGATCCAGGTCGAAACTATTTCAGCATGGAATTGCATGTGATGTGATTTAGGGCAATTTTGTTCTTCTCGTGTCGTTGTTCCCTCCCTCGTCCCTTCCTCTCTCCCATTTTCCACCTCCACTCCCCATCTCTCTCCTGTATTCCCTCCAAGCCATCTGTGGACCAATACGCTCGCATTCGCTCCATTCTGCTTCTCACCCCTCCCCGCTTTCTCTCATGTCCCTCTAAAGATCCTCACCTGCAAGTCATCAGTGGATCAATACACTCGCATCCGCTCCATCCTCAATGACAGAACCCTTGCCACGTGGCAGCAGGTGAGTCCCTCTTCCCCCCCCCCCCCCCCCCCCCCCCCCCCCCCCCCCCCCCCCCCCCCCCCCCCCCCCCCCCCCCCCCCCCCCCCCCCTGCTCTGGCCTCCTATGCATTCTCGTTCATACATGGCCACTTCGAATTCCTGCTTGTCGTCAGCTGACGCAACATCAGTGTCGCCAGTTGAGAAGTTTCAAAAGGGAAAGAGGTCAAAGAGGCCAAAGAGCTTTCTTCCCTCGCATTCCCCTCCAGCTTCGCTCACTCTGCTCCCATTTTCCACCTTTTGAGAAGTTTCAAAAGTGAAAGAGGTCAAAGAGGCCAAAGAGCTTTCTTCCCTCTCGGTTCCGTCAAATCTGGCTAGGTTCACTCTCTCAGCTTCCTTGATTTCGAGTCAATCTCCCACCAGCTGGCCGCAAGGAGATGGGGTCAAACAGGAGGGAGATTGACCATCTCCTTGCGGCCACCTGTTCTTCTAGTAGAACCTCTGCCCTTTCGTGTAGAAAGTTGATTCTTGAGACGTCTCAAAAATCAACTTTCTACGAGTAGAACCTCTGCCCTTTCTCGTCCCCGCTCTCCACTCCCCCTTTCATCCTTCCCCTCCAGCTTCGCTCGCTCTGCTTCCTCGAACCCGAGTCTGTTTGTCGCCAGCTGGCCGCCAAGGTCTCAAAAGTCATTACTTCCCCCTTCCCTTCATTCCCCTCCAGGTTCGCGCAATCTGCTTCCGCGATCCCGAGTCTGTGTGTCGCCAGCTAGCTGCCAAGGGAGCAGTCAAAGAGGCTGTTTCACTGGCAGAATCACATGCCACTGCTGCTGCTCCTGCTGCTGCACCAGCAGAAACACCAGGAGCAGGAGCTGGAGTGGAAACAGTAGCTGCTGCTAGTGCCGCTGCTGCTAGTGGTGCGTGGGGAGCAGGTGCTGCTGAAGCAGCACAAAGAGCAGCACTGGGAGCGGCACCAGCAGGAGCAGTAGGTGCAGCAGCAGCAGGAGCAGGGTCAGAAGGGAGGGTGGGGGGGGCGTTACTAGCAGAGCTGAGGGGGCGCTATCTGAGTGAACTGATGGGTGGGGATCCGTTGCAGGGTGACTCAGGGCCTGCAGTGGGAATGAGGTATCTGGAGAGACTGATGTTGGAAGGGGCGAAGGGGCGTGATAGCAAGCAAAAGGGTCAGAGAGACGGGGTCAGCATGGATTGTGGTTCTGCTGCTACTGGTGATGGGTCTGGTTCGGTTAGTGTTGGTGGTAGTGGTGGTGCTTCTGCTTCTGCTGCTGCTACTGCTTGTGTCGCTTCTGGCGGTGGTGATAGGAGGGGCGGAGAGGAAGGGGAGGAGGCGAGGGGGAGAGTGGAGGGGAGGGAGGGAGTGATGGGTGTGGTGCTGTCAGCCATGCGGTGGGCTCCGTCCCTGCACGCCAAGAAGCTCATAGTACGTACCCCCATGTGCTTGCTTGCGTCGTTCCATCCAAGTGACTTCCGATTCAACTCAAAGGTCACCTTTGCTATCAGCCATGCGGTGGGCTCCGTCCCTGCACGCCAAGAAGCTCATCGTACGTACCCTCATGCGCTTCCCTTTTTCCATCCATGTGACTAGCCACCTCACCTCACCTCACCTCACCTGCCTATCGGCCATGCGGTGGGCTCCGTCCCTGCACGCCAAGAAGCTCATAGTACGTTGCGTGAAGCCACTTTGAGGCGTCTCAGTAACCCCATGTGCTTGTTTCTTTCCATCCATCCATGTGCCTTGTGAGTTGCGCATCCATGATGTTGCCTCATCATCCATGAGGGTGTTTTTGAGAATTCTGCTGAGGCAACATCATGTGCCTTGTGAGTTGCGCATCCTGCAAATCTGCATCCTGCTGTCATCATTTCTTAGGCGCCTAAAAGATACATCTTCATACCCACCCCTCCCCTTCCCCCACGCCTGTCAATAGGTGAATTTTGTTCTCAAGCGGGCGGCTGAGGCAGATCTGCCTCTTGCTGACGTGGCGGACGCCAAGCAAATCCAGCTAGGGCTGCAGCTTCTGGGAACCTTCCCTGCGGAGTGGCAGCAGCGGCTGGGAGGGCAGCATGTGGCTGTGCTGCTGAAGCCGGAGCTTATAGTGGAGAGCCTTGTAATGGAGAAACACACCTCTCTGCTGCCCCAGGTAGGGTCTAGGGTTTACATTCATTCATTCATTCTGTACGTATTATGTTACCCCATTACCCCGTGTTATCCCCTGTTGTTGACCCAAGTTAACCTCTGTTAACCCTCCTGTTATCCCCTGTCACCCCTTGTTATCCCCTGTCACCCCTTCTTCCTGCACCCCTTGCAGATCTTTGCCAAGTTCCCCGCCCTACGCAGTGACGCTCTTCTCCTCTCCTATGCACGCAAAGCCCTCATCCCCTCCCCTCTCTCCCCCTCCTCCTCCTCTTCCTCCTCCGCCTTCGCCTCCTCTCCCTCCACCACGCACCCATCTGCCACCTCCCCCCCTCCCCCCCCTCCTCCTCCCCTCCCCCACCAGCAATCCCTCCGCTCCTCCTCCTCCATCCCCCGTCCACCCTCCATTCCCCCCGCACCCATCACCAGCAGATTTCTGCGCATTCAGCAGGAAGCCTCCCGTGTCTTTCCCTGGGGGGGTGCTTCTGCTTCCTCCTCCTCCTCCTCTGCTGCAGCTGCTTCCAATACTCCACCTTTTGCCAGCCCTGTGCCGTCACCCCGTGGTGGTTCAGGGTTTAGAGGGGCAGGAGGTGGGAGAGGAGGAGGGGGAGGAGGAGGAGCAGGAGTGGGAGTAGGAACGGGGAAAGGGAGTGGGGGGACAGTGGGGGTTGATCGCCCGCCGACGCTTGCAGAGGCAGCAAAGTCGCGACTTTCATCCTCCATTTCTCTGGATTCTCCTGCTCGTAGCGCTGCTTCTCACCCTGCCTCTGCTGCTGCTGCTGCTGGTCGCACTGGTGGTGGTGGTGCTGCTGCTGCTGCTGCTGCTGCTGCTGCTGCTGGTGCTACTGGTGCTGGTGGTGTTGCTGGTACTGCTGGTGCTGCTTCTGCTGCTGGTGCAACCCGTTTTGGCATGCTAGGCAGGACAATCAGCAGCGGCACTGCCAGCCTGCAAACCAGCCTGCGTCCAGGTTCACTGAACCACCCGCACGGCACAGGTCCCGCTACAGCCGCTACAGCTGCTAGAGGAGCTGCCGGCCAGGTGGTAAATTCCGGGCGGCATCTAAAATCCGCTGTTACAATAAGCTCCATGTCTCTTCCTGAGCTGATTGGCCGGCCCGTCGGTTACCTGCCAGGTGGCCGCACGGGATTGGACGAGGTGTGCGAGGAGGGGGGTGGAGGAGGGGAGGGCGAGGAGGGAGAGGAGGAGGCAATGGGGAGGCTAGGAGCGCGGGACATGCAGCACGGAGCGATCTTGATAGGGGAAGAGGTGCAGGATAATGAGACAAGAGCAAACCATGTGTTTCCAGACACACCAGATGTTTCGCTGTTCCAGTCGCTTGCTTCGCTGTGTTCGAGAAGATTCTCGGTGGTGAAAGGGCTGCTGGCGGTGGTGGTGGAACAGGCTGGCATGGCTCTGGCCAAGGAGAGTGTGCCACGTGGCACCAGCTTGCTGTCGCTGACTCAGTCGGCTTTTTATTCAAAAGCCTACCTCAAAGTGAGTGAGAGCGAACAAAGGGGGGGGGACAGGGGGAGAGTTGAGGATACAGAGAGAAGGAAGAGGAAGGAATGAGATTCAGGACCAGAAGTGCTGAAACAGCTATGGGAGGTGACTTCATGATTTCCTTAATTTACGTCTCCTGCTGCATCTGCCCCTTCCTCCCATTACAGGCGCTTACCATTGTGAGAGACATGCTCTTGGCATTCCAGGTGCATCTTGCCAAGCCTGGACCTGCCACCCGAAGCACAGGGTCGGCACGCGAACCTCCAGCCCAGGTTCGTTCGAGAGGCTCAGCGCAGGTTCGGGCGCGAGACCCGGCGCAGGTTCGGGCGCAGCTGAAGACGCTGAAGCAGCTGCTGGTTCGGGCAGAGGCTTGGATCGCACGGGTGAAGCTTCTGAGAAGGTTCCTGGCGGACAATGTGGGGGTGGGGATTGACGAGCTTGGGGGGGGTGACCCTGACTTCCAGCCTGGTTCTCCTGGGTTATTTGCCTCTCTGCACATTCACTCAGTGATGGGAGGAACAGAGGAGAGGGGTGTGGGAGTGGGAAGGGGAGGAGGAGGGGGAGGGGGAGGAGACATGGGCTGGGGTGGAGTTACTGGTTGTAGCGCTGAGATGCAACAGCAGCAGCAGCCACACCAGCAGTGGCGGCACCACCAGCAGCAGCAGCAGCAGCAGCCAAGGCAGACGCAACAGCAGCAGCAGCAACCGAGGTCGATGCAGCAGCAACAGCACCGGCACGGCTCAGCACAGCCCCGGCTGCATCCCGAAGCAGAGGCAGAGGCTCGGGAGGCGTCCCTATCCGCGACCCTGGCGCTCAGGGACGGGTTGGTGAAGGAGGAGTGCTATGAGCTGGCAGCTGCTCTGTGTGACACGTGTCACCATGTGGACCCCTGTCCTGTATACAAGGCATGGGCGATGTCACTCATTCGAGTGAAGAACTACACCCAGGCCCGGCATATCCTAGAGTGAGTATGAGGATGGGTAGGGCATGCATACATCGAGTCATGTGGTGTGGTGTGGACCCCTGCCCCGTGTACAAGGCATGGCCGATATCACTCATTTGAGTCAAGAGGAGCTACACCCAGGCCCGGCATATCCTGGAGTGAGTATGAGGATGGGTAGGGCATACATATATGTCATCATGTAGACCCCTGTCGTGTATACAAGGCATGGGCATATCCGAGTCAAGAGCTACACCCACCCAGGCCCAGCATATCCTGGAGTGAGTCATCGTGAGGAATGGTTGAGAGATGACAGTAGGATTTCACGAATCATCAAAAGCCAGCTCTATTTTTTATTAGCCATTTAAGTCTTGCAATAGCATGTCCTTGTGTGAGCTATGAATCCGCTGCCAGCCACCCTCTGCCCTTCTCAACCTTTCCTCTCCCCCCACAGGCGACTCTTCCTCTTCCTCAACCCAGCCTCCAGCCTCCTCTTCAGCTCCCAACACCGCTCCTGCTGCTTTTTTAGTCAACTTGTGGAACATCTCTCAACCTTTCCTCTCCCCCCACACCACAGGCGACTCTTCCTCTTCCTCAACCCAGCCTCCAGCCTCCTCTTCAGCTCCCAACACCGCTCCTGCTGCTTTTTTAGTCAACTTGTGGAACATCTCTCAACCTTTCCTCTCCCCCCACACCACAGGCGACTCTTCCTCTTCCTCAACCCAGCCTCCAGCCTCCTCTTCAGCTCCCAACACCGCTCCTGCTGCTTTTTTAGTCAACTTGTGGAACATCTCTCAACCTTTCCTCTCCCCCCACTCCAGGCGACTCTTCCTCTTCCTCAACCCAGCCTCCTCTTCAGCTCCCACCACCGCTTCTGCTGCTTCTGCTACTTCTGCTCCTGCTGCTGCTGCAACAGCAGTTGCTGCAAGCACATCGGGCAGGCGCGTTTCCTCCTCCTCCACCTCCTCCTCTTCCTCTGCTGCAGCTACTGCTGCTGCTGCTGCGAGTTCACAGGGAGTTGTGGTGGGAGGGGGAGGTGCAGCGTCAGCAGCAGGAGGGGGGAGAGAGGGGCCAAGGAGTCGTGGAGGTGTGGGGGCAAGCACAGGACAAGCAGGAGGGGCAGGAGGGGCGGTGGGAGCGGGAGTGGTGGGAGGAGTGGGAGGAGTGGGAGGAGGAGAGAGGATGGCAGTGGTGGCACGGGAAGTGGTGCGGTTTATCGAGACGTGCATTCCTGCCGATGTGCCCGGCACTCAGTTGCTGTGAGTGTGCATTATGAGCAGGATCGTTTTTTGAGTCGTCTCAAAATATATTGAGACGTGCATTCCTGCCGATGTGCCCGGCACTCAGTTGCTGTGAGTGCGCATTATGAGCAGGATGAGTTTTGAGTCGTCTCAAAATATATTGAGACATGTATTCCTGCTGATGTGCCCGGCACTCAGTTGCTGTAAGTATCATTCTTTTGGTGGGATGGTTTTCCATTGACATGATATTGCAAGCAAGCATGCTGCTTGGCTGCTGCGTGGACAACACGTGCTGTTTCCAGAACCATGCAACTCAGAAACTTTCTTTTCCTTTTCCTCTCCTATCACCTCTCACTCATCTCTCTCAGCCTATCCCAAACAGAAAAGGCAGTAGCAGATTCATTCCAAGACTCCCTAACAGCAGAGTCGTACCTCGGTGCTCTCACCTCCACCTCTTCCCTCTTCAGCTCTCCCACTCTCCGCCCCTCCTCCTCCTCCACCTCCTCCTCCCGCCCATCCTCCTTAGCACCACTCCCCGCACCTGCATTCGGTGCCACTAACAACACTCCTTCCGGTCCCACTGCTGCTGCTGCCACTTCTGCTGGTGTTTCTCCGATCCTAGGAGCCATGCCCCCCTCTGCTACTTTGTCTTATGACCAAGGAAGAGCGGGAGGAGGGCGAGAAGGTCAAACATACGCCCGCCAGTCAGAGGAGTTTGGGGGACGAGGGTGGGACGCTTCAGGGCAGGGAGAAGGGGGCGTTGGGGGGCGAGGGGATGGCCTGGGGGGAGGGAATGAGGGGCAGTGGGAGGGACAGGGAGAAGGGAGGGAGGTGCGAGGGGAGGGGCAGGGAGAGGGGGTTGCAGTGGTGGAGGATGAAGAGAGGGAGACATTCTCTTACTTGGATGATGAGAGGTTCAACGAGTGCACTCAGCTGCTCAAGAGAGTGAGTGGCTGTGACTCTATTTTGACTCATCAAGCAGGGTTCGCCCATTGTGTTGTGTTTCTGCATCTCTGTATTTTGAGACTTTGTTTGGTTTTGAGATGTCTCAAAACTGGACGTCTCAAAACTAGACGTCTCAAAACTTTTGAGACATCTCAAAACTTGTGTTTCTGCATCTCTGTATTTTGAGACTTTGTTTGATTGAGCTCAGATTACTTCTCTGTAGCTACCTATCCAATATGACTGATTGATTACCCAACCTTGGCTCCCGACATTCATACCTGCCTGGCTTATTTGCCCTTGTCTCGCGATCTGCCCTACTGTCTCCCCTGCAGCATGCCCCTCGGGATCTCCTCCCCTTCATGTTCAGACACGGCCGCTACCGCTCTGCCTGCTGGCTCATCTTCTTCCCCCCTCCTCCTCCTCCTCCTCTCCGTCCTTCCTCCTCCTCCTCCCCCTCTCTCTCGTCCACCCCCGAACACAGCAGCAGCACCACCACCACCACTGCCACTCTCCCAAACCCTCTGGCACCTCAGCCGCCTGCCTTTTCCCTCAGCCCAGCTAGGCCCTCCCTGTCCTCGTTATTAGACTGGGATCCGCTAAAGTCAGAGTACGCTACTGTAGAAGAGCTGTGCGCGTTGTGTGTGTCGTACGGAGCAGTTGAGGTGCTGGAAAGGGTGGTGGCAGAGGCACTAGGAGGGAGTGCGGCAGGAGGAGCAAATGGTGCTGGTGGTGCTGCTGCTGCTGCTGCTGCTACTGCTGCTGGTTGGAGTGTTATATCTGTTGCACCATCATCAGCAGCAGCAGCATCGCCAGCGTCAGCAGCATGGGCGAGTGGCAATGTCAAGTGCCTGGCAGCTCTCTCTCGCATCTGCACTTTCTTCGAGTCCCAAAAGAATTTCCACTTCCTCTTCCGATTCCTCGTAAGCTCCAATTGTCCCTTTCTCTGTTTCCTCTTCCTCTCCCCGTTCCTTGTAAGTCACACTCGTCACACACACACACACACACACACACACACACACACACCCACACACACACACACTTTCTGTTTTGTTTGTGGTGAGACCAAGTTAGCCCGAGTCACGCTGTAATGTCTTACCTATCTCAAGAAGCATCCAAGGAACAACAACGTGTAACAGACAGGCAGAATGCCTCTTCTCTGCTTTTAGGCGGATAAAACAATTGCCCCTTTTACCTTTCCCTCACTTCGTCAGCTGCAAGCCAGGGACAATGTAGCATCACTCAATCCTCCCTGGCTAATCCAGTCTTTTCTGTTCTTCCTTGTCCCCCTCCCCTCTCTCCCCTCCTCTCTCCCCAATTTCCCCCCGCCCCCTCTCTCTCAGCTGCTAGCCAGGGACTACGTGGCAGCAGGGCTGTGCAGCATCCAGCTCTTCCTCTACTCACCCGATCTTCGCACCGCAGCAACGCACCTGCAGCAGGCACAGGTGGAATTAACTGGATGCGCCTGTTGTATCCATTCATTTGCTACATTAGATTAGAGCCGTCTTAGAAAGCACTTGCACCAGGCACAGATTGGATTGAGTTGGCTACCACTGGTACCTCTTGAAACGTTTCAAAAGTCGTGCACCCGGCACAGGTGTGATGAGTTGGTTACAGCCGGTGCTCGGTTTGCCCCACTTCTGATGCCTGTGTGTCTGCATGTTTTCTGTTCCATTTCGTAAATAATGCTCCTTCCCTCCACCTTCTCCTTCCGCAGCTGCTCTTTGAGAAGGGCACGGAGGCAAGGCAGAACGCAGCAGCAGACCTGGCAGCATCGATTGGCCCTCTTGCTGCTGCCGGCAAGAGACTCGCCGTCTCTGCCGCCTCTTCTTCCTCCTCCGCTGCTGCTGCTGGAACTTCTGGCGCAGGCACTACTGGTGCAGGCGTAGCTGCAGGAGGAGGAGGTACCAGCAGCAGTGGCAGCACCACCACCACCACCAGCAGCAGTAGCAGCAGCACTGCCACCAGCCTGGCGCTAATTGCCAAGCAACGGGCGGCGACAGCAAAGATATCGGACGAGGATCTGCTGCGGCTGCAGCGGCTGGCAGAGGTGCAGGTGGAGGTGGTGCGGGCGGTGGGGGCGTGCAGTGGCAGGGACAGCAGCGCCGTGCCTCTCGTGGGGGCTTCCCGGAAGGCGCCTTGGAGCGTTGCGTTGTTTGGTGCTCCTAGTGATGGACGGACGAACAAGTGAGTTGGTTGAGAGGGTGCGTGTATGGGGATGTGTGGGTAAGCGTGTGCTTCGTGCTTGAACAGGCTGCACTGGCTGGCAGATCTGCAACATTTGAGCCGCCTCAGAAGGTGGAAGGTGAGGATCTGCTGAGGCTGCAGCGGCTGGCAGAGGTGCAGGTGGAGGTGGTGCGGGCGGTGGGGGCGTGCAGTGGCAGGGACAGCAGTGCCGTGCCTCTCGTGGGGGCTGCCTGGAAGGCCCCTTGGAGTGTGGCGCTCTTTGGTGCTCCCAGCGACGGGCGGAAGAACAAGTGAGTGGCTGTTTGGGAGAGAATGCAAGGGAGTATGTTCTGGTGTATGTGAAGGAGTGTGTGGTTCCCTCTTGTGGGGGCTGCCAGGAAGGCCCCTTGGAGCGTGGCCCTGATTGGTGCTCCTAGCGACGGGCGGATGAACAAGTGAGTGGCTGTTTGGAGGGTGTTATGCGAGGTGGAGTGCGAGATTAGAGAGTGTGTGAGCCAGTGGATAGAGTGGAAGGGACAGAGTTGAGTTCCTGGTCGAACGGGAGTTTGACCTGGCGTTAGAGGTGATCGACTTTCTGCACCTGCCAGCCGTGGGCAGTGGCTTGTTTCTATGTTTGCACGTGCTCCCACGCACTGGCTAATCATGTACCCTGGATTTCGAGGTGACTTTTGAGTCGACTCAAAAGTCACCGCAGTGGCTTGTTTCTATGTTTGCACGTGCTCCCACGCACTGGCTAATCATGTACCCTGGATTTCGAGGTGACTTTTGAGCCGACTCAAAAGTCACCGCAGTGGCTTGTTTCTATGTTTGCACGTGCTCCCACGCACTGGCTAATCATGCACCCTGGATTTCGAGGTGACTTTTGAGTCGACTCAAAAGTCACCGCAGTGGCTTGTTTCTATGTTTGCACGTGCTCCCACGCACTGGCTAATCATGTACCCTGGATTTTTCTCTTCTTGCTCCCTATCAACAGGTGGCGTGTTGATGTGACAGAGTTCCTGGTAGAGAGAGAGTTTGACCTGGCATTGGAGATGATCAACTTCCTGCACCTGCCGGCTGTGCACCTGCTGATTTCTCTGTGTCGCTCCCCTGCCTTCCCCAATGACAGGCGCCGTGTGGAGGTTACTGAATTTCTCGTGGAACGGGAGTTCGATCTGGCGCTGGAGGTGATAACTTCCTGCACCGGCCAGCCGTGCATGCCTGTCTGCCAGCTGATGCGCAATATTCCTTTCCCCATACTCCTCCCTCAATGACAGGCGCCGTGTTGAAGTTACCGAATTTCTCGTGGAACGGGAGTTCGACCTGGCATTGGAGGTGATAAACTTCCTGCACCTGCCAGCTGTACAGATCTACGCCAGCGTGGCAGCCTCGCTGGCGGAGAAGCAGCAGCACCGCGTGCTGTTTGAAGGGCTCATGGACCGGATCAAATACATGCTGCCGCCCGCTGACATGGATGAGGTGAGCTGCGATGAGACGACTCAAAAGTGAGCTGGGAGACAACTTTTGATTCGATTCAAAATTGAGCTGGGAGGCGAGTGCATTCCTTGCTCTGAGGAGTCTCTCTCTCCATTGCAGGTCTTCGTTCATCGTTTCCCCCTCCATCGTTTCCCCCTCCTCTGGAATTCCGCACACGTGTCCACAGGTGATTGGAGCAGCAGTGATGGTCTACACCCACACTGCCGTCAAGCTCTCTACTCTCTCCCTGACCTTCACCGGGCGGCAAGACATGTCCCGATCTGTGAAGCTGCCAAAGGAGCAAATTGACCGACTCATCCACATGCTGTCAGACGAGCACAAGTGAGTGTGTTAGCATTGTTAAGTGGGTGTGTTTTAAGTATTTTTTTTAGTCCTGTGAGTGAGTCGGTTGATCTGCGAAGCTTCGCAAGGACAAAATTGACAAAACTTCTCACATGCTGTCAGACGAGCATAAGAAAGCCGGTCAGCTTAATTAAGTCTTTTAGTCCTCTGCATATGCCGTCCAACGAGCCGTTAGTTGCATCTTTTAGTCCTGTCAGTGGATCGGTTGTTTTGTGAAACTCCCCAAGGAGCTTATCGACCAACTTGTCCACATGCTGTCAGACGAGCATAACTGAGTATGCTAGCTTCAGTTATTTTCCAGTCTCGTGCATATGTTGTCCATGCACAATTGTTCTATAATTGTGGCATGCTAAGTGACATGCTTTCTAGCAGTCTGGTACCCATGCTTGCATGCTAACCCCTGCTTCCCCCCTGCTCGTGCCTCTCCCATTTCTCCCCACTTTCCAGGAAGGTTCTCTTCAACGTGGCATGTCGCAGGCTGCGCCTCGCCTTTCAGATTGCCACAGGCCACTTCCAGCCTCAAACGATCAGTGCTTCGACTCCTGCTGCTGCCAGTGCTAGCAGCACCAGCACTGGCGGCGGCGGCGGAGCAGGGTTTGGGTCAGTATACCCGCTGCAGAGTCGCATCAACGATGTGATTTTCATCATGCACGAGGCTCGGAACGCACCCAAGGTCCGCGAGCTGTGTCGTGAATGGCTGGCGGCTCGCGGCGTTGTGATCGACAATGTGGAGAGAAACGCACAGGCGAACTTGCTTCCCCACACTCACGCATGGCCTCTCGGGCACGGGGCACAGCCGCCGCCACAAGCCCTGCGCTAGTACCTAGTGTCTTGCCACCCTGTAGCTTGTCATGTGGTGTGGCTGGGGGCTCGGGGAGTTGTGATTGACAATATGGAGCCGCATGCACAGCCTCACTTGCTCCCTCACACCCACGCATGGCCTCTCCGGCACGGGACACTGCCGCGCAAGCCTTGCGTTGGTAGCCTTGCTGCTGTATGATACTCTGTCAGATGTCTGTGTTTTATATGTTACTGTTTTATAACAGAACATAGCAGTGGAGTGTCCTATTGAGCCTCTACATGTGCCTTCCCAATGTCACAGAAGTATCATATTATTCACTAGAACCTACAGAAGCCTATCGGCACAAGCCCTACACTATGGCCCCAAACTTTTCCTCAAATTTCTTGTCTGAACAGTGAAGAAACTGGTGCAAGCACACCATTTTCTTCCTCACCCCCAAATCCACAAGCTGCTGCTTCGTAAGAGCTCTATCCCCTGGCTCGCGTGCCACAACAGCATAGCCCATTCGCACCAGTGCCACATGCCGCGGTCTGATTCGCCGGTCCAAACTCAACCCAAGAAAGATAGGGAAGGCAAGAACCTCCTTCATAGAGAGACCCATGTCCCGTTTTAAGTACTCCACCTTGGGCTTCAGGTTAGTTTTCCAACAGTAATAGATAGATGGCGGGTACCTCACAACCAAATTCACAACCAATTGACGAGCCTTGCATCCCTCAACACTTAGTGCTCGGGAAATAAAATCTCCTTCCAAACAATTACCTCTATCACCTCCCCCCAACCTTTGCATCCCATTTCCCTCTTCTTCACTGCTCTCCAATGCCTCTTCCATTTCTCGCACAAGCTCTCCAAAACTTTCCTTCAGGACATCTTCACTAGAAGCTATTAGCAAAGGAAAGTGTGCCACCACCCGCACAGCATTCTCGTAGCCAATCAAAACAGCCAAGACCGTCACCTTACGTTGTAGATTCTCCTTTGATAGTTTCAGAACCTGCGCGTAACTCCTCGCCACTCTTCCTGCTGCTTTCTCCCCCACCAGCCCCACAAAAAACTGGAGCTTAGATGTAAGAGTTTCTGAGCTAAGGGCAAGGATGGTGGGGCCTCGAAGGAGCACAGAGCTCGCAATGGAGGGGGTGCCTGGGGGAGTGAAGGACTGGAGAATGCGGATATTCTCTGAAATGAGGTGGGACGAATAAGCGAGGATGGATGGAAACTTCATGATAAGCCGAGTTAGGTGGTTCCTGTCCAGATGCTGCTCATCTACTCGCTGCTTCAAGTGGCCTGTGTTGCAGCTATCTGCTTCTACCATCCCTCCACATCCGGCCTTAAAATAGGCTAATAACGTCTCAAGCTGAGAATTTACCGCCTCTTTGCTCCGAGTCAAGATGTTCGGCCATCTCTCTATAATCACACCCAGTTTGTCCACAGGAACCCCTGCCTTCTCCACCAGAATGTCCAGGTTCGTTGAACGGGGCTCTTTGCAGAGTAAGCTCCATCCACGTCGGAGGACCAAACCCAATCTGCTGCGTCGGACGCCTTGAGCCAAAAGAAACTCAAGGGTGTTTTGAATTTGTGAAAGGGAGACTCGGAACCAGGCTGGATCGCTCTCAGTGATGTGGACGATGTCCGCATGACATATGCCGTATGACTGTAGGAGACGGACACGTGGCAAGAGGTCACTGGTGGGATTGGAGCGGAGGAGTTGGGGGTTGGAGGCAAGAAGGGACGCGACACTGGAAGGGGAGGAGATACCGAGGTGGGAGGAGAAGAAGCGGTAGAGGGAGAGGAGGGAGGAGGGAGATACGACCCGCCGGCTCTTGAGTGGAGACGGAGGGGGTGTGGAAGGAGATGTGGCGCCAGCTGCGTCCTCCTCACTCGCTTCTGCTTCTTCTTTTTCCTCCCCATATCCTTCTACACCCCCCTCCTCCTCCTCTTCCTCCTCCTCGGTTTCCCCCTCTTCCTCTTCCGCCTCTTTCACTGTTCCCATGACCAATCTGTCCCCACTGCTTCTTATATCACTCTCCCACTCCTCCAACTCCTCTCTCACAATCTGAGCCCCGAATCTCTCCCTCAGCACTCCAGCAATCACTGCCACTGCCTCCTCCTCCTCCTTGCAGCCTTTCCTCCAGTAGCTCTTCCGCTTGCCTCCCTCACTCTTCCCCGCGGCATTCCCGGCTACTACCCTCTCAACCCTCTCATTCCCACCTCCCTTTTCTCCCCCTTCCACTTTCCTGATCCTCCTCCGCCCTCCTCTCCCATCCCCCCACTCCTCGTCCTTCACTGTACGCGTTTTAAACTCCACTTGCACCGCTACTCGAGGGTTGATCCCAGAAACAGCAGTCTCCGCCTCGGAAGCTTCTGCGCCTGCTGGCCTGGAAGGCGCAGCAGTGGCAGACCATGCCGAGAAGCCTCGGTCGTGGGATGAAAACGACTTGTGGGACGCCTCGAAGCTTCGGCCTGGGCTTCGGATCTGATATAGCGCGTTTCGCGCAGGTTCGTTTGCATTCGAATTGATCCAATCGATGCATGGCGAGAGAGGAACAGAAAATCGCGATGCGATTCGGTGCGTTTGAGACTTCCCACTAGTAATATATCTGAAAATCCGTTCGACAGATGGCCGTGAGGTATGAGGAAGGACCAGCCATAGCGACCGGCGAGCTGATCGCCGCGAGGCGGCGTAGAAGTTCATGAATTCGTTAATTTCGTTGCATTCGTCGAATCCGTCCAATCCTCCAAAACGTGTATGCCTAGATCCTTCGTGTGATCTTCGTGTGACCTTAGCTGGCTAGGGACGCGAAACGTGAAGGCGAATTCGCCTGTACGGATAAGATTATCGCAATCTGGAAACTTTCAGATAATACTATCTTAGTGGATTATCATAGCCTCTAGCTAGCTTCTGGGCCAGTCCGTGATCTGCGTAGTGCTCTTGTTCAGTGTTGAAGTGCTCGGTTCCTCAGGACTACCGATCAGGCAAATGAGATGATCATGGGGGTCAGGTGGAGCTTCATCAGGTGCTTCACGTTTTGGAACGCTCGAATATGTATACAGAGTGGTGGAGTTGGGTGCTAAGCAGATTTCTGTTGTCCTTCCTGATGCGAACTCTACTACGAGGGCAGCCCTGGGGATTGTCAGCACTTTTCGAGAATCAATTTTCTGTAGGGGCTTGTCAAGAACGAGCGAGCTGCTGATGCTGGTTTCGCCAGACAATGTACTGTGGTTGCTTCGCATCTCTGCATCGCAAGATACATTCAATAAATTTTGTTCATCCGGCCTAGAAGCATGATTCGCATTGTCGCAAACGAGTTGTAGCGTGTGGCCATGATCCCCGGATATACTATCATATTTTGACGAACATTTTCCCAACAGCCACCTCAAGTCTTGCTGTGTTTTGTATGGTGTTATTTATGCACGCAAATAGAACTGCCTAGCTCAAGGTGAACTCAAATATAAAAAGCACTTCAAACTCACTTTCTTTGTATCACCGCATACACAATGTGACACCATGTCCAACATACACCAAGAAATACAGTATCTTACTAGTTCTGCCATAAGTGCTCCACTAGCTGTCTTGTGGTCCACACTGGAGGAATCACAGTAGATTTATTCCATACTGACGAGATACTTGATTGTTGACTCATGGGACCTTTCAGAAATCAGCTCAATTATTACAGTTTGACCCCAAACTTCTCCTCAAACTACTCGTCTGTGCCCCAAAGAAACTGCTGCAAGCACACTGTTTTTGTTGCCTCCTCCAGATTCACAAGCTGCTGCTCTTGCACATCCCTCCCTCCTGGCTCGTCACTCCCTATCAAAACCCCAAGTACCAGTCCCTTGGCACAATCCTCCCCTTGGCACTGCTGCTCTTGCCTGTCACCTGGTCCTTCACTCTTTCTTTCTTCCGCTCCACATTCAATCCTCTCTACCCCCTCCACTTTGTCAGACACAGTACTCAGCTGGCTCCTCTCCTCTCCAGCTCTCGTCGCAACCGCCTTCCTGTCTCCAACACAGCCATAGCCCATTCGCACCAGCAAGCAGGCCGGCGGCAATCCCAAGGGTCATGCTGGGGAAGAGGAGGGAGAGGGAGAGGTGGAAGAGGGCGGAGAGGGCTGCAGAAGGCATGGCAGCGACCATCCCGAGGGAGAGAGAGACATGGAAGGGGATAGTGCAGGGAGGAGAGGAGGGGAAGGATTCAGGAGAGACAATATAACGCGCGTGAAGATAGGAAAGAAAGAGTGACATTGGATTGATGAAAGAGAGCGTGGGTTATGGCAGTGGAGGAACCTATTAAACCCAAAAAGAAGGTGGTGCCAAACCTCACTACCGAGCCTCCTGCCAAGCCTCTCACCTGCCGAGCCTCTCTCGCAGGGCCGTGAGCAGCAGCCCTCTGAACAGCAACTCCTCTGCTACAGCCGGCGCCACCGCCACCCACAGGAACAGCTGTAGCAGGTGTAGCAGAGGCAGCTGTAGCAGAGACAGCTGTAGGAGAGGCAGCTGTAGCAGCCACATCCCCTCCGGTCCCATCAAGCAGCAACAGAGCACCCAGCAAAAAGGCTGTAGCACTCACACTATTCCCTCCGCCTCCTCCTCCTGCTCCTGCCGCTCCTGCTAGTTCTGCTACCCCCCCTGCCGTCTCCTCTCCAGCACCTGGTTTAATCGAAACTAGAGTGAAAAGTAGAGCCCATAGCACAGGACCCCCCACCGCCCCTGCCACAATTGGCTAATGTGGAGAGGCACACACAGACATCAGGCATTGGAGCACACACCCTCTCACTCAGGCATGGACTCTGAGGCCCGGGACACATTGGAAGCCACAGAAGCATATATCAGCACCAGCCCTACAGCTTGACCCCAAATTTCTCCTCGAACAGCTCGTCTGAACATTGGAGTAACTGGCGCAAACACACCATTGTCCTTGCTGCCTCCACATTCACAAGCTGCTGCTCTGCAGCAGCTCTCCCCACTGGCTCGTGATTGCCTGGACACTCCTCAAGTAACACTTCAATACCACCATCCTCCCCTTCGCCCTGCTGTTCTTGCCTGTCATCCGTACTTTCGCTCTTTCTGCTTTCCGGCCCCCAATCAATCCCTCCCACTCCCTCCACTTCGTCAGAAAGCGAGGAGCAAACAGAACCCAGCTTGCTCCTCTGTTTCCCAGCTCCAACGGAAATATCCCTCCTGTCTCCAACACTCCTCCAACTAGTCGCCTCATGTGCCACAACTGCATACCCCATCTGCACCAGTGCCACATGTCGCGGTCTGATTCGCTGGTCCAAGCTGTAGGTAACATAGTTCGGAAATGCAAGCACCTCTGCAAAAGTCAGCCCCATCTCCTGCTTTAAGTACTCCAACTTGTGCTTCAAATTGGCTTCCCAGCTGACTTGGATAGCCTGCGGGCACTTCACCACCAATTCCACCACCAACCGACGAGCTCTGCATCTCTTGTCCCCTTGTACTCCAGACTCATCCTCCTCTACCAAAAGTTCACCTCCACCCAACCTTATCGTCCCACTTCCCTCTTTTCCACTGCTCTCCAATGCCTCTTCTACCTCTCGTACAAGCTCTTTAAAACTATTCTTCATGTTTGCTTCACTAGCACACAGTATCAGAGGAGATCGTGCCACCACCCTCGCAGCATTCTCTCGGCCAATCAAATCAACCCATAAAGCCATCTTGCCTTGCAAATTCTCCTTTGACAGTTGCAGAACCTGCGAACAGCTCCTGGCCACTCTTTCCGTTGCCTCCTCCCCCACCAGCTCCACAAGGAACTGGAGCTTAGCTAAGAGCGTTTCTTTGCTAAGGCAGAGGATGCTGGCGGCACGACGGAGCGCAGAGCTCGCAACGGAGGGTGTGCCTGGGGGAGTGAACGACTGGAGAATGGCGATATTCTCTGCAATGCGGTGGGACGAACAACCGAGGATGATTGGAAACATCACAATAAGCCTACATAGGTGGCGCCTGCCCAGTCGCTGCTTCAAGTGGCCTGTGTTGGAGCTATCTGCTTCTGCCCCCACCAAGCCCAAGCTGCTTCGGCGGACGCCTTGAGACAAAAGAAACTCAAGCGTATTCTGAATCCGTGGCAGGGAGGATCGGAGCCAGGCTGGATATCTCAGAGTCACGTGCGCGACATCAGCATTGGAAATGCCGTATGACTGGAGGAGACGGACACGTGGCAGGAAGTCATTGGTGGGATTGGAGCGGAGGAGTTGAGGCTTAGAGGCGAGGATGGAAGCGACAGTGGAAGGGGAGGAGATGCCGAGGTGGGAGGAGAAGAAACGGTAGAGGGAGAGGAGGGAGGAGGGAGATACGACCCGAGGGCTGGTGAGTGGAGGAGGGCGTGTGGGAGGAGATGTGGTGGGTGGTGCGTCCTCCTCACTCACTTCTGCTTCTGCTTCCTCCTCCTCCTCCTCCTCCCCCTCCTCCAACTCCTCAGCTGCCAATCTCCCCATCCCCTCTTCGTCCTCGCTGCCTCTTATCCCATTCCCCCACTCCTCCAACTCCTCTCTCACAATCTGAGGCCCGAATTTCTCCCTCAGCACTCCAGCAATCACTGCCACTGCCACCTCCTCCTCTTCCTTGCAGCCTTTCGTCCCGTAGGTCTTTCCCTTGCCTCCGTCACTCATTCCACCCACATTCCCTCCTCTCCCCTCACCCCTCACATCTCCACCCCCCGTTTCTCCTCCCCCCTCGTCCCCCACTCTCCTGATGCTCCCCTGACCCCCTTCCCCACTCCCCCTCTCCTCGTCCTTCACTGTACGCGTTTTAAGCTCCGCTTGGACAGCTATTAGAGGCTTGCTCCTAGTAAGTGAATAAGACCCGAAGATAGCGGTCTCCGCCTCGGAAGCTTCTGCGTCTGCTGGCCTGGAAGACGCACCAGCGGCAGACCATGCCGAGAAGCTTACGACATGGGATGAAAAGTTCCTTTGAGGCGCCTCGAAGCTTCGGCATGGGTTTCGCGCAGGTTCGTCTGGATTAGATCCGATCCAATCGAGGCTTGGCAAGGAAGAAACCGAAGATCGCGATGCGATTCGGTGCGTTTGAGATGTCTCACAAGTAAAAAATCTGGGAATCCTATCGACAAATGGCCATGACGTTTGAGGTAGGACTAGCCATAGCGAAAGGCGGGCTGATCTACGCGAGGCGACGTAGAAGTTCATGAATTCGTTACTTTCGTTGCGTTCGTCGAATTCGTCTAATCCGTCCGATTTTTCGTGTATGCCTGGATCCTCGCTGACCTTGGCTGGCTGGTGACGCGAAATGTCAAGTTAACTACGCGAGTACGGATTAAATGATGGATATCTGAAGACTATCTCAGGGGGATTGATGCCTCGAGCTCCTATTTAGGCTAATTAGTTATCTAGGTACCTCTCATTTAGAGCTAGCGTCTAGCTGTTCTGTGATGTGGGCTGGGTTTCCAAAGGGACAAAACGAGACGAGTGTGATGATCAGTAAGGTCCAGGAGTGCGTTTACAAACTCTATAATTACACAAAGTGGTTGAGCTAGGTGCGAAGCGATTGCCATTTTCCGTTCTGGTGAATGCTTCCCCCTAATCGTCAGCCCGGGGGATTCTCGAGGTGAGCACTTCCACCCAACTGTCGGAATTTGACCGAACAAAACGAGCTCTGATAGTTTTGTCGCCAGGACAGGTAACTCTGGTTGCTGCGCATTTCTACATCGCGGGGAAACACACATCTTTCGTCAGGCCTATGGGTTGTCGTTGTCGTCTCGTCGCTACGCTAGCGAAGAGCCAGACTTTGCCGTCGCGAAAAAAGTGCGTCGCGAGGAAATGCTCTTCGGAATATGCTCTTCGCGAGTTTGATCGAAGTGTTTGAAAGGACCCTCGGCGGTTGGTTCGACCGATACAATCCGATCCGACATACACACAAAAAAAAGGAACAGTAAGGTTCTACTAAGGTTTATTCCAGCAAAACACAGGGTCGACTGGCTGTCCGTCTATTATCGACAGCTCTGCGATTTTCATAGTGCTGGTCAAATTTCGCGTTTTCCTTTCTGAAAAATAACGAGCGTAGGAGCATTAGAGTGTTTCGGGCAGTATAGAGCACGAGCTTAGGAGCATCGGAGCGCGCGCCGCCATCATGTGGCACGAGGCGCGGCGGTCGGAGAAGCGCGTGCACGAGATGATGGACGCGGCGAAGAAGCGCGCCGAGCGGCGCGCGGATCAGCGGTCTCGGCGCGCGGGGGACCCGACGCAGCTGCTGCGCGTGGCGGGCACCAAGCTCCGCCTGGCGCACGACTCCGCCGTCTACCAGTCCGCGCAGGACCTCTCCGGCCTGTCTGTGACCCCCTATCCCTCCTCTCGCTCTCCGCAGAGCCTTGCCGAGGCCTGTCTGTGACCACTTATCCCCTCCTTTGATTCGCCTCACGCCATGGCGGTCATCGCCTGATAGACATACCCCCTGACCTGGCTTTACGAAATCACAAAGCGGTGCTCTAAGCACAGACCCCTTGATCCCCCGAATGATTTGCGTCTCGCTGTGGCCTGTCCGTTAACCTTTTCTCCTTCACCCTGTCTTATTTCCTTCCCATGCATCCCACGTGTTCACTTCCCTTCCCTCCTCCCCTTTTTCCCCCCCCTCTCCACTTCTCTTCTCCCCATCCCCCCACACACCCACCGCCCTTTCCCCCTTTCCCTCTCTTCCCTCTCATACCACCTTTTAATTCTACCTCCTAACCTTGCCTCCTCTCCTGTCTTCGGTTTTCTCATGTAACACTCCCATTTTCCGTTAGCCATTCTATGCATCACCTATCACCTGTAACCTGTGCTGGCAATGTCTAATCGACTAGAAGTGCAATTCCAGTCAATAACAAATCATGTTCTGTGGTGAATTTCCTTTTTGCTAACTTACCTGCTAGGCTCTGCCCCGCGCATATTCCCGTCACGTGTTCCCTATCCTAATGCCCCTCTTTTTTCTTGCCCTCCTGCTCCCCTCCCTTTTGTTTCTTTCCTCTGCACCTCGCTTTTCGCTGCACCGCGCTTTGCTGTTTCTCGCTGCTCCTCGCTCCTTTCGCTGTGCGCCATGCCCCGTGCTCCTCTCGTCTTTCTCTGGTCTGCTGGTCTGCGCGTTTTCTTCCGTCCACCCCGCTCGACCGCGCTGCAGCATCCCGTGGAACAACAGAGAAGACACGCTCATAGACAGGTAGGGTGGGTGAGAGTTGTTATTCATGGGATAAAATTACTGGCCAGGGCATGCTTATGGGCAGGTTTAATTTTGAAATATACATTCCTTTAAGGTATGCTGTATAGAATGTGTGGCTGCTGCTGCTGGTCCTTCTCAACTTGACATGCCTGACAACAATGGCTGCTCTTGGCAGTCTAACATGTCATTCCTTCATAAGCGCAGGCCAGGCCATGGCATTGGCAGGTATGATTGATGCCCCCCATATTCGTTCCTTCCATGCTTGGTGTGCCTATGTCGTGACACTTATGTATCTGAAGTGCATCTCCCACGCAACCCTACCCATTTCCACCACCATTGACCGTTTTCTGGCACAGGTACGACGGCCGTGCGATGCTGGATTTTATTCGGGAATACGATCCGCACAGGCACGGGTTGAGGGAGATGACAGAGCAGCAAGAGGAGGAGGAGGAGGCGTGTAACTTTGAGCGGTATCGGGATCTTGTGCGATTGGGCTGGCATGCAAGTGAGTGTCTGGTATCCCTGCCGTGGTCACACTATAAAGAATCACAGCCCGTCACATTGCAGAGCACACCAGGGATATTGCTTGTGTTCTCCGCAGTGTAACACTCCTTTTTCGTTGCTGTCGGACCATATACCCCCATCATTGACATTCACAATGGCAGAGACTGAGGAGGAGGGATTGCAGCAGGTGGAGTGGAGAGAGTGACATCCCCCATGTTGTCACACTCGTTATCCGTTTCTTATTCTCGTTTTGTTCCCACCATATACCACCATCATTGACATTCACAATGGCAGAGACTGAGGAGGAGGGGTTGCAGCAGGTGGAGAAAGAGATGGAGGCGCGAGCCCACGCTCAGCTCAAAGCCAACAGGTACCCACTCTGTGTGTTTGCTTGAGGGGAGTAGGTAGCAGCTTCACAGTCATAGGGTTAGCAGATGGAGCGAGAGATGGAGGCGCGAGCCCACGCTCAGCTCAAAGCCAACAGAGGTAGCACTGCGTGTGTGCTTGAGAAGGCAGGTAGCAGCTTCACAGATTGAGACGCAGGAGAGACCGGTGGAGCGAGAGAAGGAGGCGCAAGCCCGGGCTCCGCTCCTTCTCTCCTTGCCAACAGGTACCCACTCCTTGCTCTGTGTTCTCATGTGGCACCTGACGAGTCCGAGGAGGAGGGATTGCAGCAGGTGGAGCGAGAAATGGAGGTCAGAGTCCATGCTCAGCTAAAGGCCAACAGGTACCCACTCCTTGCTCTGTGTTCTCATGTGGCACCTGAAGAGTCCGAGGAGGAGGGATTGCAGCAGGTGGAGGGAGATGGAGGCAAGAGCTCACGCTCAGCTTAAAGCCAACAGGTACCCACATTGTGTTTGCTCAAGGCTAGCAGTAGCGCTGTGTGTGTGCTTGAGAAGGGCAGGTAGCAGCATCACAGTCTGAGAGCAGGAGGAACAGGTGGAGTGGGAGATGGAGGCGAGAGCTCATGCTCAGCTCAAAGCCAACAGGTTGTACTGTGTGTGGTTAACAGGTGACACCCGCTCTCGCAGATAACACCTGCCCTCGCAGATGGCACCTACCCCCACAGGTAGAGCACTTGTTGTTTCTCAGGTAGTACTCGCTTTTGCATCCCTCTTTTTACCCATCTTTCCATCAGTGCACTGCATATCACCCATCGGACTCTCCTCCTCTCCTTTCTCCCTTCCCTCGTTCTTTACCCCAGGCCAAAACTGCTTGCTGCGGCTACTCTTCTGATCCTTTCTCTCTTCTCTCTTCCTTTTCCCCAGGCCAAAACTGCCTGCTGCTGCAGCAGCATCCGCAGTAACACCAGCAGCAGGCAAGGGGGCTTATGCTAACATGCCGTTTTCTTATGGAAGCAGTGACACTAACGCAGGTGACTGTAACGAGGATGAGGAAGAGGAGGATGAGGAGGACGAGGAGGAGGAGGGGGAGGGGGATGGGGGGGAGGGGGGAGACGTGGAGGAATACGGGTGGATGTCTCCTGGTGGGCGGCAGCGTTTGGCAGATATGGCGGAGCGGTACGGCATAGAGGAGTACGGGCGGCACATGGATTTGGCAGTATCTGCCAAGGAGAAAGAGAAGAGGCTGCGACAGATGACAGGCAATGATTCGGTGAGCGAATTTTATACCATTTGAGTCATGATAGATTTGTTTTAGCAGGTAATGTTTTGGTAACGTCTGTGTTTAATCTTGATGTCTGTATCTTAAAATTGATGTGCCCCATGCTCTAATGTCACTCTCGCATTCAGTTTCCCATTCACCCTCTCCCTTTCACTCTCCCATGCCCTTTGTAATGGTATACCTCTTTCTACTTACCAGCGCCCTTCGCTTTTGAGTCGACTCAAAAGTCAACTCTCCCATGCCCTTTTGAGTCAACTCTCTCATGGCCTTTGCAATGGTATACCTCTTTCTACTTACCAGCGCCCTTCACGCAAGGAGAGGAAGAAGCTTGCTCGGCAGGGGAAGGGTGCGGGAGCACAGGGGAAGGGGGGACCTAGCCCTGTTTCCCTCTCATCTCCTCTTTCATCAACCCTCTGTTCTCTTCTGCCATCTCTGCTTCCCCACCAGCGTCCCTCACGCAAGGAGAGGAAGAAGCTTGCTCGGCAGGGGAAGGGTGCGGGAGCACAGGGGAAGGGGGGACCTAGCCCTGTTTCCCTCTCATCTCCTCTTTCATCAACCCTCTGTTCTCTTCTGCCATCTCTGCTTCCCCACCAGCGTCCCTCACGCAAGGAGAGGAAGAAGCTTGCTCGGCAGGGGAAGGAAGGGGGAGGGCAGGGGAAGAAGCAGCAGGGGAAGGGGGAGGCTTGGAAGCAGCAGGGGTTGGTGGGGGTTGGGGGGCACACAGATGGGCAGAGGGGGCACGATGACAGAGGGAGGGACAGGGAGAGAGAAAGAGGTTGGGATAGGGATAGGGATAGGAGAAGGGAAGGGGACAGGTGGGACAGGGATTTAGACAGAGGCAGGGACAGGGATAGGGACAGGGATAGGGATAGGGAGCTGGAGAGGGGTAGGGAAAGGGATAGGGGCAGAGGGGAAGACGCAGGGGGGAGGGGGTCAAGAGGGGTTGGGGAGAAGGAGGGCGGGATAGAGTTTATCACCCAGTTTGGCGGGGGTGTGGGTGAGGATGAGGGCTTTGGCAGGGAGAAGGAGAGGAGGGGAGGTGAGGAGGAGAGGAGGAGAGGGTACGGTGGAGAGCGGTTCGAGAGGGGTTTGAGTGGGGATGTTTCGATTGGCTCCCCATCGCCTGCCTCTTCCAAGCAGTCGCCAGCTCTCAGGTGGGCTCATGGTGTGATGTGATGTATGCTTGTGTTTGTCAGGTGTTACCTGCTTGTGTTTGTCAGGTGTTACCTGCTTGTGTTTGTCAGGTGTTACCTGCTTGTGCTGCTTGTCCCACTGTATGTGGTATGCTTATGCCACATGATTGAGACATCTCAAAACATGAGAGATTGCCATCTCAAAACATGATTGAGACATCTCAAAACATGATTGAGACATCTCAAAACATGATTGAGACATCTCAAAACATGAGAGATTGCCATCTCAAAACATGAGAGATTGCCTGCCTAATGCGACACTTGTTCGTGCCTACCCAACTCTTCTTTTTTTTTTTCTTCTTTTTTTTCTTTTTTTGTTAACTTATCAATTGCCGCAAAAGTTTTTGGAGTGCCCCGCGGGTCACATAACATTTTTTTCCCGTCCCCACGTCCCCATTCTCCCTCTTTCACTTCCACCCATCCTCCCCTCCCCACAGCCGTCGCTTGCTTGCGCCATCCACACTTCTTCGAGTGGCAGGCGGGGGGGGGGAGGGAGCCGAGGGAGGGGCGAAATAAACAGGACTTTTGAGACAAATCAAGAACTGTTTCCTCTCCCCACTCCCCTCTCTTCACTTCCACCCGTCTTCCCCACAGCCGTCGCTTGCTTGCGCCATCCTCACTGCCTCGAGTGGCAGGGGCAGCAGGCAAGGGAGCAGAGGGAGGGGCGAAGGAGACCCCGCAGGAGAGGCTGAAGCGGCTGATGGCGAAGCAGCTGAACAAACACAGTAGGTTGGGGGTGAAGGGGGTTGAAGTGGGTTGGAGGTGAAAGTGGGTGAAACTAGGGGCTTAGCACGTTGTTGTATGGAGAGAGGGGCGAAGGAGACATTGCAGGAGAGGCTGAAGCGGCGGATGGCCAAGCAGCTGAACAAACACGGTAGGTTGCGGGCATGTTGGGACTTGCTGGGCTCTGTTAAGCTGTATTCAGCCATCATGGGTCGTGTTAAGCCGTGTTGGGTTGTTCAGCGACACGCTGGGATGCTTAACAGAAGGCAAGGGCACAGTAGGCTGAAATTGGAACCTTAACAGAGGTTGAATTTGGAACCTTAACAGAGGTTGAAAGTTGTCATTCTTCTTGAGCGCCTCAAAGCTTGTCTCATCTCTCGTGACAGTAGGCTGAAGAGAGCTCAGCTTCAGCCTTATTCCATGGCCCATGTTTGTTCTACCATGCTTCTCCCGTACCCTCTTGTGTGTGTCAGTTAAAAAGGATACAGCGGCAGAGAAAGCGAAGAAGGAGGAGCAGGAGAGGTTGAAGCGAGCTATGCTGGAAGAAACCCGGCGTGCTGCTGCTAGGTACCGTGATAGGAGCAGAAGCAGGAGAGATAAAAGAGAGCTAACCTTTTCCGTTCTCCCTGTGTCCATTCCTCCACGTTTGTCCTTCCATGCTTCTCCCGTACCTGTTTGTGTGTGACAGTCAAGAAGGATACAGCAGCAGAGAAAGCGAAGAAGGAGGAGCAGGAGAGGTTGAAGAGAGCTAAGCTGGAAGAGACTCGGCGTGCTGCTGCTAGGTACCGGGACAGGAGCAGGAGCAGGAGCAGGAGCAGGAGCTGGGACAGGGACAGGGACAGGGACAGGAGCAGGAGCAGGAACAGGAGCAGGGACAGGAGTAGAGACAGGGAAAGGGGCAGGAGCAGGAGCAGGAGTAGGAGCTGGAGTAGAGACAGGAGCACTAGGGGAAGAAGCAGGAGCAGAAGCAGGAGCAGCAGCAGGAGCAGAGATAGGAGCAGGAGGGGCAGAAGCAGAAGCAGAAGTTGGAGCAGGAGCAGGAGTAGCAGCAGAGGCACGGGCAGGAGCAGGAGCGGCAGTAGGGAAAGGGGCTGAAGGAGCAGCAATTCGGTTCTGTAGCTTAGCCTGTAAGGTTTCTAGGGTTCACTTTGTCGTCAACGGATTAATCGCCAACAGGCACGTCGAATCGAAACCCCCTCCCGTCCGAGGCGCCTACAATGCTTGACTGAGGAAGGGACGAGTTCCCAGCATGAACGAGGACGATGCTTTTTCAACTGAAATCGGGTTCTGAGACGTGTCATAACACGCCTCAAATGCTTGACTAGGGACGAGTTTTTGGCACGGACGAGGACGATGCAATTTCAATATTGAACCTGGAATCTCTTCTCAAATCCAATGTCTCTGTGTCCAGGCAACTGAATGAAGCATACCGCCTCGCCTCCTTTTTGAGGCACATTTAAAGCCTAACTAGTGACGAGTTCCTGACATTTGCGGCGCCTCGGAATCTTGATTAGGGACAAGTTCCTGGCATGAACGGTGCAAGCTCTGCTGATACAAAAAAATTGCGACAGTAGTAGCCAACAAAGCAAATCGAGGGAAGCTATAGTTCAATCAGGAACTTATCCTCAAAACGCTTATCACTACAACTAAGGAACTGAGACAAGCACACCGGCTTCTTAGCCTGCTGTTTTTGTGCGCTCTCTAACCCGCCTCTTCCTCTAGGCTCGTCGTTACCTTCATGCGGTCTTACCAGAAGCTCACTACTCTCCACCTCACCCTCCTCCTCTTGCCACTCGTCCTCCCCATTCCCCACATCTGCCCGACCCTCCCTCCCCTCCCGGTCCACATGCTCCTCCCGCCTTCCGCTCACCTCACTTCCATTCGTAACCCCTTTCCGATTGCTACCCAGTTTTCGAAGAGCCACCACCTTATGTGGTACAACCTCATAGCCCAATCGCAGCAGCGCCGCATGCCGCATCTTGATTCGCCGATGCAGGTTAAACCCCAGGAACGGAGGGAAGGCGAGCACCTCCATTATAGAGAGACCCATTTCCCGCTTTAAGTACTCCACCTTGTGCCTCATGTTCCCATCCCAGCTGTAGTAAATGCAATGCGGGGACTTCACCACCAAATTTACCAACAACTTACGTGCCCTCTCCTCAACTCCATTCACAGAACCTTCAACCATGCCCAAAGCACCTTCTGGATTTCCATTTTGGATCCTGTACTCTCCATTCCCGTCCTTCCCTTCACCAATCCCACGTGCCTCCTGTCTCTCAATCCCACCCTCGTCCCCTCCTCCCCTTTCCAACGCCTCCTGAAACTCCCTCAACAGCTCTCCATAATTCTGCTTCATGGTCTCTTCCCCAGAAGTCAGCAGCAGTGGGAATCGCGCCACTGCAAGTGCAGAATTGTCCGGCCCAATTAAACCACTCAGAACCGCCACTTTTCCCTGCAGATTCTCCTTGGAAAGAGTCAGAACCAGCGGATGGCTCCGCACCACCCTCCCTGCTGCTTTCTTCCCCACCAGCTCCACAAAGAACTGGAGCTTAGCTAAGAGATTCTCCGAACCGAAACTTAATATGGAAGGAGCGTGGCGGAGAACAGGGATGGCAATGGGGGGGCTGTCAGGGGGGGTGAAGGACTGGAGGAGGCTGAGGATGGCTGAAATGTGCTCGGAAGAGGAGAGGAGGATCCGTGGGCAGCTCAGAAGAAGCCTCGTCAGGTGGTTTTTGTCCACACGGTGCCGGGTCAGGTGTTTCTTCAGGTGTTGCTTCAGGTGCCCTGTGCTGTTGGTATCTGCTTCTGTCGCCTTCTCTTCGTATCCATCTGAGAAGTAGTCTGATAACATCTTGATTTGATCCTGCATGGATTCTTCGCTTCGACATAAGATGTTCGGGCATCTCTCTATAATCACACCCAGCTTCTCCTCGGGAATCCCTGCTGCCTCCACCAGAATGTCCAGGTTCGTTGAACGAGCCTGCGAGCGGATGAGGTACGACGAACCCCGGATCACCATGCCTAGCTTGCTTCGGCGCACGCCCCGAGCCAGAATAAACTCAATCGTCCCCTGAATTTGAGGAAGGGAGCTTCGGAGCCAAGACGCATTCCTGATGGTGACGTGGACAATGGAGGCTTGAGAAATGCCGTATGACTGCAATAATCGGACACGTGGCAGAAGGTCACTGGCAGGATCGGAACGCAGGAGGGCAGGGTGGGAGGCGAGGAGGGAAGCGACAGTGGAAGGGGAGGAGATGCCGAGGTGGGAGGAGAAGAAGCGGTAGAGGGAGAGGAGGGAGGAGGGAGATACGACCCGCGGGCTGTTGAGTGGAGGAGGGCGTGTGGGAGGAGATGTGGTGGGTGGTGCGTCCTCCTCACTCGCTTCTGCTTCTGCTTCCAATTCTGGTTCTGCTTCCGCGTCTCCCCCCTCGTTCCCTTCCTCATCCTCTTCGGCCTCAGCTTCTGAGCCCTCTGATTCCTCATCCCCATACCCCACCTCGTCCTCTTCGTGTCGTCCCTTAGCGTCCTCCTTAACCGTAATCCTTCCGTTTGCAAACCCCTCCTCCTCCTCCTCCTCTCTCACAATCTGAGGCCCGAATTTTTCTCTCAACACTCCAGCAATCACAGCCACTGCCTTTTCCTCCTCCTCTGTCTCCTTGCATCCTCCCCTCCCTCCACGCTTCCACCCGCATCCCTCAATCTTTTCCTCCACTTCCCTTGCTCTCCTATCACGTCTTGTACGCTCTCCTCTGCCATCCACCTCCTCCCTTCTCACTCTACTATCGGTCATCTCTGACTCTCCTGCATCACTTTCTCCCTCCTCTCTTCCATCTGTACGCAATCGAGCCTCCATCCCAACCGTCACTTGCGGTACCGGCAGCACTGGGTTGCCATCAAAGATCGGATCAGATCGCACGTTCGCGCTCTCCGCCTCGGGAACCTCTGCTGCTCTGGCCGACGATCCAGCGGGACAGCTTATAGTGAAGTTCCGGTCAGGGGTTCGAATCCTGGTGAATGCGTTTTCTGGAGGTTGGTGTTGGTTTAGCCCAAACAGGGAGAGGCCTGGCGGAAAAGGAATAGCAGCTGCAGATGCGAATTCAGGCTTCTCTAAAAATGACTTGGAACGAGGCGTAGAGGGAATAGCAGCTGTGGATGTAAATTCGGGTGATAATGACTTCGAACGAAGATGCGTAGAAGATTGCGTCATGTATCTTAATGAGAATCTTAATCTGTTAATCCACGAGATGGGTGGCCGTGCCGTTCTGGTACGGTACGCCATATCGAATAGCCGATGGGTGCAACGAAACGGACGATGGATCACATGAACGACTTACACGCCTTCAGTGCTTGTCCTACGACGACCATCAGTAGTAGTGATTCCCGATCCCAAAATCGCTGCCGTGATTGCCAGAAAAATAACGTTCTTGTCGATAGTTACTCCAGTTACTGGCTGCAGACAACTAGCACTCTAGTAGCAAAATCTACAATACAAACCCAAGAGAACACCAGAGAAGTGCTCTGAGGACGCGTCACCTCTTTCGGTTTTGCACGATCGAACCTGCGCAGGTTCGAATGTTTACGGAGTTGAAAACGGTTCAAAAGCTATAAAACGTAGCAAGCAGATTTAGAGTGCGGTGGACGATCGGTTTTGGAGGATCGATCGTGCAAATTGAAAGAGGTGACGCGTCCTAATTGAAACCATGGTGAATCCGAATGAATGCAACAGATGGATCCTATTCTGGTCCCACCCACTGCCAGCACTGGGAATACCGAGCTGTGGGGTAACCCTTGCTGGCGCATCAACGCTATCTCCTTTCATGAGTGCATTGCGAGAATGAAACGAGGACTGGTTGCCACACTTGCGAAGAGTTCTGTGCACTCGCCCATCAAGTCCACAAGCTGGTTTGTGCCATATCGAATTCGCACCCGTTTACCGAATTTGTACCCGTTAACAGCAACTGTACAATAGGGGCCTGACGCAATAAGCAGTGCTGGCTGTATAAAGAGACCTTTTATGGAATCAGTCAGGTCAAATTTCGAATCCTGACATCGGGCATACCTGTGCCGGCTCATTGCCATTTATTTAGTTGGCCCAAATCCGCTAAGAGCCAATTTTTGAGTCGTTTAAAAAGTTAAAAGTCGAATCTTGCAAGTTGAGCGTGTGCCTCTTCCACGTCCTTCTGTGCTTTCTTCCTCCTATAGAATATGGGGCAGTCTCGACTGCCAGGGGAAGACAACAGGGGGAGGGTGGAACGGAGTGATAATTGGGATCAAGCAGCCAATGGCGGCACCCCTTCCATGTCCTTCTGTGCTTTCGTCCTCCAATACATTATGGGGCAGTCGCGACTGCCAGGAGGAGAGAACAGAGGGAAATGAGGTCATGCAGGTAAAGAAAAGTGGAAACTTGTGAATGAACTTGACAAATCTTGACTTGTAGAAACCCCACCAGCGTACCAGGTGCAGAGCACGTCTAACTGCAAGCTTTCCTGGCATCGCTGGCACTCCACCCACAGCCTTCCGAACTGCTCCTCAATTTCCAGTCGACTCAAAAACACCTGCTACAGTAGCACCATCAGTGTACCTGCTACATCATCACTATCCCAGAGCACGTCTTGATGCAAGCTTCCCTGACAGTGCTGGCCCTAGGTGCAACAACATAGAAAGCAGCAGCAACAACCCACGTGCTACAGAACCACCATCCCACATTTAGCTTACCTGGTGCAGAGAACGTCTTGATGCAAGCTGCCCTGACACCACTGGCACTCCACCCATAGCCTTCCAAACTGCTCTCCTCACTTATTAGCTGACTCAGACACCTGCTACGGTAACACCATTAGCATATCAGGTGCATAGCACGTCTTGATGCAAGCTGCCCTGGCATCGTTGGTACTAGGTGACTTGAGTCGACTCAAAACTCACCTCAGCGTACCGGCTATACAGCAGCAGCACCATCCCACCATGCAGCATACCTGGTGCATAGCACGTCTTGGTGCAAGCTGCCCTGGCAGCGCTGACATTCCATGCGATAAGAAATCAGCACCACCATCCCACGAGCAGCAGACCTGCTACAGCAGCACCATCACCCCACCTGGTGCACAGCACGTCTTGATGCAAGCTGCCCTGGCAGCGCTGACACTCCACCCATAGCCTCCCAAACTGCTCCTCACACTCCCGCACTGAATGCCAGGCAGCAGATGGAACAAGCAGAGAGGATAAGAGAGCATGAGGAGAGTACACAGCAAGAAACATTGCCGCATAACTCGTGCGGGACGAAATCATTGCCTCACACCATCGGCGCAAACATTTGGAATAAAGGATTAATGCCTCACCGTTGGATGTAATCCGTTGGTAAATCTCGCCCTCTCGATCCATACAGTGCACACACAGCGTCTGGGTATTGCCGCTGCAGGAGTGCGAACAGAGAGAACACGAAGGACGTTACGAGGAGAGGATAAGAAGGTGAAAAAGAGCGCACACGTGCGTACACACCAGATGTTGAAGAATACCCCAACATGCCATTCGGGTTACCTGAGAGGCGTCTTGCAGCCGAGGCAGGAGAGCCGGACTTTGGCAAATCGCATGATGCCACCTGTCGCGGGCGTGGAGATGGAGACTGCTCGCGTGTGCGCCCCACTCAGCAGCTCCTTGCTCGCATTCTTCAGAATGGGTTCAAATATCCTCAGGAGTGGCTGAAATGGAGGGGTTTGGGGTTTGGTTGTTTCAGGGTCGATGTGAAAACTGATTGCTCCTTGATGTGAGCTGCTTATTGCACGGAAATCAGCACCTCACCCTCACCTTGCTGAGTTGGTTCTCCAAATAATAGTGCGGGTCGATGGGTATGTTGTTCTCCAACACGTGAATGGGGTCCTCTGACTTCTCGTATGCCTGCAAATGGAATGAGACAGGACAAGGGATGGGGGCGAATGGTCACTGAATCAAGGCCACCAATCCATTCACCCATTCAGCAATTTAGGAATGTTGTTTTCCAGCAGGTGAATGGGGTCCTTTGACTTCTCGCATGCCTGACACGAGGGAATGCGAGCCGGCGAGAGCATACTGCAAGCTTCTGTTACAAGAGCCTGTGCATGCTGACCTACCAAAAGCATGAAGAAGGACCTCACCTCACCATGCCTCCCCTGGAGTCTATATGCTTTTTAATGCATGTGCATCGACCTCACCTTGCTGCCCTTGGGAGCCTTGCAGATGACATACGCCACTCGATCCCCGATGCCCGGTGCTGTGGCGGAGTCACGCTGAGAGAGAGGGAGGGGTAGAAGGAAGAACGAAGGTGGATCGCGGAAAGGGAAGGTGGAAAAGGATGGAGAACGGTGGAAAGTGTGGAAAGGGAAGGTGAACCTCACAATAGAATGAGCAGCTGCTAATGAATGCAGAGGCAGATTAGCGAAGCACAGCAACAGATGAGCAAAGAAGAACCTATTTGAGTCGTGATTTATTATCACCAATGACTTGATATCCATGGTTGTCACAAGGTGACAGAAAGCTCACCTTGCGCATTCTCTCTGCCAGCTGAACGTGGGCCGCCTTGACAGCGTAGTCATCACCTCCCTTGGTCAGCGCCTTGGTGATAACCAGCAAGGAGAGGTGTTCTGAGTTGACTCAAAGTCACCAGCACGAGCTCACCTGATTAATCGCATCAGAACCATGAGCTCACCTTGCGCATTCTCTCTGCTAGCTGCACGTGGGCAGCCTTCACTGCATAGTCGTCACCTCCCTTGGTCAGCGCCTTTGAGTCGACTCAAAGGCAAACTCTAGAGTCACAAGCAAGCTCACCTTGCGCATTCTCTCTGCGAGCTGAACGTGAGCCGCCTTGACTGCATAGTCGTCACCTCCCTTGGTTAGCACCTTGGTGATAACCAGCAGTGAGAGGTGTTTTGAGTCGACTCAAAGTCACAAGCGCGAGCCCACCTTGCGCATTCTCTCTGCCAGCTGAACGTGGGCCGCCTTGACGGCGTAGTCGTCACCTCCCTTGGTTAGCGCCTTGGTGATAACCAGCAGTGAGAGGTGTTTTGAGTCGACTCAAAGTCACAAGCGCGAGCCCACCTTGCGCATTCTCTCTGCCAGCTGAACGTGGGCCGCCTTGACGGCGTAGTCGTCACCTCCCTTGGTTAGCGCCTTGGTGATAACCAGCAGCGAGAGGTCGAGCTTGTTCAAGAGGAGATCCGAGATGACAGCCTTCACATATGCCACGGCACCAGGAATATCCCGCTCCATTAGAATGCGCCGCAAACACTCGTCCACCACCTGTGGGGTGGGGGCAAACCAGCGGGGCATGAGACGATACATGAGGTGTTTCAACATAAGAGGTGATAACGAGCAGCGAGAGGTCGAGCTTGTTCAGGAGGAGATCCGAGATGACAGCCTTCACATACGCCACTGCTCCTGGGATGTCCCGCTCCATGAGTATCCGCCGTAAGCACTCGTCCACCACCTGTGTGGGGGAGGGGGTGGGGGAGGAGGGAGGGGGTAGACCAATGCAAGGTGACTTCATGAGGTTGCTCCAGAAATGACAGCCTTCACATATGCCACAGCACCAGGGATGTCCCGCTCCAATAGAATCCGCCACAAGCACTCATCTGCAACCTGTGGGTGGGAAGGGGGTGGGGCGTAAATCTGTGAGGCATGAGAGGACATACGATGTGCCTCACGAAAAGATGACAGCCTTCACATACGCCACAGCTCCACCATAATCCGCCGCAAGCACTCGTCCACCACCTGTGGGGTAAACCAGTGGGGCATGAGACAATATTGGGGTCGCCTCTACAACATATGACAGCTGTTTTGAGTTTGAACACTGGTCGGAGCGGATGCGCTTTTGGGGTGATCGGTCGACTGGGAAAACGTGTTCCGTTCATGGTTTTTTTCGACGCATTTCGGATTTGAACATGCTGAAAACGTTCACAGTTGTTTTGGACTTCTCAAGTTCAACCCATGCGCCCTCTCACCTGGCGGACCAGCAGGCAGTTGTCTCTCCGAACCGTCTCGATACCTGAACGGTTGCAGAGTAGGAGACACGAGGAGGGAAAGGAGGGGGAAGGTTGGACTTATTTTTGAGTCAAAGGCCTTTGAGTTGGACACTTGATACAATCACACCTTTACTGGCACACCTAGGCCACGCCACCGTACCTTTGGTGTCCATCTTGTCAAAGGCCTTGGAGTTGGACCAGTACAGCCCCGCGTAGCATATCGCTTAGTGTGCATGTCACAATGATCACACCTTTGCCCTCACACCTCAAGCATCACACCTTTGGTGTCACACTTTGCACCGTACCTTTGGTGTCCATCTTATCAAAGGCCTTGGAGTTGGACCAGTAGAGCCCAGCGTAGCGCTTCTTGTTGATCAGCAGGTACGGGAAGTACACCTTCTCAAACTCCAGCCTGATTGGCTGAGAGGCAGAGGGCAGACAGGAGAAAAAAAAGTGTGTGGGTGTGTGTGCGTATTTTCTTTTTTAGGCAAAAAATTGGAGGTTAGAGAAATTGATGGAGCAGAATTAATCCTCTTTAGTCTCTATAATCCAGCAAGCAAGGGCTCTCACCTTAGGAAATGTATCAGAAATCTCCTCTGCAGCCTGCCTGCCCATGCGCATGGCCTCCTCAACAGTGTCCACGCCAAACATGACCATCACTGAGTCCGTGTCGCCATACACCACATCCGCATTGTGCTTTGAGTCGACTCAAAACATGAAGCATACCTTGGGTTGTTCGGTTTGGAGCATACCTTGGGGAAGTTGTCGGAGATCTCCTCTGCGGCCTGCCTGCCCATGCGCATGGCCTCCTCAACGGTGTCCACGCCAAACATCACCATCACGGAATCCGTGTCGCCATACACCACATCAGCATTGTGCGAGTAGCCGTTGGCGATGGAGTAGTGCTGCTCCACGAACGCCCTCGTGTGCTCTATCATCTGCCGCCCTGCACGTATGGACGCACACAAGCACACATGCACGCACGCACGCGCGCGCACGCACACACGCACGCACACACATGAGGAAGAGGAGGCAGAAGTGAGTTTTTGAGGTGCCTAGAGAGAGAGGCATTGTGCGAGTATCCGTTGGCGATGGAGTAGTGCTGCTCCACAAACGCCCTCGTGTGCTCTATCATCTGCCGCCCTGCATGCACGCATGCAGAAAGAGAGAGGCATCTGTGATGAGGAGTTCAGAGGCTTCTGTGAAGCATTGTGGGCCGCGTTTTGTCAAGACCGACCGACAACTAGCTCAGAAACGCAGCAGCACAGGCCTCCCAGCAGCAAAAGCAGCAACACATGCAGAAAACAAGCAGAAACCTCAACACAGGCAGAGCGTGAGTACAAAATCTGCATCCACGCATGTGAGTGAGTGACTCACCATAGGCAGTAACGCTGGGTGATATTTCCAAGCAGGGCATGGCGCTGATAGTAGCTCCAGTGAATCCATAGACAGATCACTCACCTGTCCGACCATAGGATTAGCTTTTGAGATGTCTCAAAAGCCAGTCACACATGTGCGCAACCCACCATAAGCAGTGACGCTGGATGAGATTTCCAAGCAGGGCAGCGCGCCGATGGTAGCCCCTGTGAAGCCGTAGACAGAGTTGGCACTCACCTGTGGTGGAGGGGTAAGGGGAAGGGAATGGGAGGAAGAATGAGGAGCAGAGGAGGCGTGGCAGCGGGACGGCAGAGGCAGGGCAGCGCGCCGATGGTAGCCCCTGTGAAGCCGTAGACAGAATTGGCAAAGGTGGTGGACAATGGAGAGACACACAAAAGGGTGTGAAAGCACTTAGGAAACAAAAAGGGTAGACCGGGAAGCTGAAATCTAGTTTGCTGTTATCCTACCTTGCATCCCAGATGTTATGCTACCTGGCCTGGAGTGCCAGCTGTCATCCCACCTTGAGTGCCAGCTGTCATCCCACCTTGAGTGCCAGCTGTCATCCCACCTTGAGTGCCAGCTGTCATCCCACCTTGACTGCCAGCTGTCATCCCACCTTGAGTGCCAGCTGTCATCCCACCTTGAGTGCCAGCTGTCATCCCACCTTGAGTGCCAGCTGTCATCCCACCTTGAGTGCCAGCTGTCGGCCGTCCAGCACTGCTTTCTCCAAGGGATCCGTGGCTTTCTGCAGGAGGGAAGGAGTGGGACGGGAGGCGAGGGGAGGGGAGGGGATGAGAGGGGAGGGGAGGGGAGGAGGTGGGGTGTTGAGTTGTGAGTAGGGTGACGTTAAGGATGGGGAAACGTGACCTGACGTTTTCTGTTCTTGAATGGGTATGGCTTTCTGCAGAGATGAACGGTTGGGATGCAGGCAGGCAGGGAGCGAGGGATGAGAAATATGAGGGTTTGAGATAATTATAAAAAGAACCATGCAATGCAACAAACACTCCCTCCCCCTCCCCACCTTGAGATCCGCCTTTGCTGTTTTCCTTGCTGCCAGCAGCTTCTCCAGAAACTCAGGCGCAATGCCCTTGGCTGCTGATAGCTAGGTGCCTTGAGGGAGCATGAGTCATGAGACATGCATTCAGCTACGCTCTTCGAGGAACCATGCAACAACCTCCCATCTTTCCCCCTCACCTTGAGATCAGCTTTTGCTCTCTTCCTCGCTGCCAGCAGCTCTTCCAGAATCTCCGGCAGAATGCCCTTGGCTGCTGATGCCTTCACGATGAGGAGACTAGAAGGAACCAGGCAACAAACCCCCCTCCCCCTTCCTCCCTTCCCTCCTACCCACCCACCCCTCACCTTGAGATCAGCTTTTGCTCTCTTCCTCGCTGCCAGCAGCTCTTCCAAAATCTCAGGCAGAATGCCCTTGGCAGCTGATGCCTTCACGAACAGGTCTCCTGTGGGCGTTTGCGATATCTGGTCGTCTGATGGCCTCATGCCGTGCTCCTTCTGAACCTGATGGGGTGAGTGGTGAGAGTTGTAGGGTGGGTGAGGGGGTGAGTGATGAGGCAAGTGAGATTTGAGTCAAGTCAAAAGTCACGAACAGGTCCCCTGTAGGGGTTTGCGATATCTGGTCGTCCGGTGGCCTGATGCCGTGCTCCTTCTGAACCTGATGGTGGGAGTGGTGGGAGTGATGGTGAGCATGATAGGAGTGGTGATGGTGTGTGTGTGTGTGAGTGATCTCCGGCAGAATGCCCTTGGCGGCTGATGCCTTCACGAACAGGTCCCCTGTAGGAGTTTGCGATATCTGGTCGTCTGGTGGCCTGGTGCCGTGCTCCTTCTGCACCTGATGGTGGGAGTGGTGGGGAATGGTGAGGAGTGGTGGGGCAACTTTTGAGACGTATCAAAAGTCTGTAGGGGTTTGTGATATCTGGTCGTCTGGCGGCCTGATGCCATGCTCCTTCTGCACCTGATGAGGCAAGTGGTGGGGAGTGGTGGGGAGTGGTGGGGAGTGCAGTAGCAGAGGTTATGGGCCATAATGATGGGCGATTACAGCGATGCAGAGTCAAGTAAAGGTGTACAAGAATATTTAGTATTCGAATACTATTCGATATTCGCTCGAATATCAGAATTCGTACGAATCCAAAACGTCCATATCTTCGAAAGTATTCGTGGTCAAAGTATTCGTCGATGCAGAATACTCGGCTCATGAATATTCGAGGTATTCGTTTCTATTCGTTATTCGAACATTGAAACCAACTACCTTTATGTATCTATAACTTCGTTTTTGGCAGGGACCCATGAGTTAGGCGAAACAACATGCACGCTTTTTTCCCCGTTTACATTCGAACTGCCACTTTAGCCGTCAAGGCGCTTGAAGTGAAGTGAAGACCCGAAACCAAGAGCCGGAATATTTCACCACAGAACGCCTCAATAAACATACAGAACATAATATCTAACTAAAGCCAAACACAATTATGTCATATGACAACGAGGATGAGCTCACGTATCCTCATTGTAAGCCCAAACATCTATATTCATGTACAGCAACATGCGTCCTTATTACCTTGAATTTCCCGATTACACCCTTTTTAGATATGCTTGGATACGGTTAGAAAAACAAGTGCGAGATAAGTTCTTTGGACATGTATCCGCATCCAAATCATACAACCCTAAACCCGTATATTTACTTACTCGCCAAGTATTCGTATTCGCCTTGGATTCGGCAATATTCGAATCGTATTCGTATTCGGTGTTGAGTCACTATTCGTACGAATAAGAAATCAGACACTATTCGGAGAATAGTCCTCTAAAGTATTCGTATTCGTATTCGTTTGTACACCTTTAAGTACAGCGATGCAAAGTCAAGAAGGTGCATATGCATGTGTCCCTGAGAGTATTCATGTGCGTTTCTCCCCTCATCCACCACCAGCGTTCAGCACTCACCAGAGTGCAGTACCAGAGGTTATGTGCCATCATAATCGATGGTACAGCGATGCAAAGTCAAGAGTAGCCACGGGGCGTTCATAGAACCCCTGCTTCGGCTCCAGCACTGTCGCCCCCTCATAGGTCGCATCTGCTCCTGCCCCGGCCTGCACCTTCATGTTGGGCACCAGCAACTCTCGCTGCCTCGCCTTGCGTAGGATTTGAGAGAGCACCTGGAGTGTGTGTGTGAGCAGGGAATAGGGGAAAAGGAGGGCGTTCATAGAACCCCTGCTTAGGCTCCAGCAACGTTGCCCCCGCGTATGCTGCTTCTGCTCCCCCGCCCTGCACCTTCATGTTGGGAACTAGAAGGCCTCTTTGCCTTGCCTTGCGCAGGATTTAAAAAAGCACCTGCAGTGTGCGTGACGAAAAGAGAGGACAAGAGGAAATGAGGAAGAGGAGGAGCATTCAAAAAACCCCTGCTTCGCCTCCAGCTTGCACCGTCGCTCCCTTATGTGTGTGCAGCTCCGCGTGTGTGGGGACAAGGGCTGTGACAGGTACCCAAACCTGACGAAGTACAGAGGAATATGCGTAGGGTAGAGAGAATAAGCAACTTGACGCTCTGGTTTTATCGGCGCGCGCGTGGACCAAGGCGCACGCGTGGACCAAGGCGCGCGAGCGGACCAGGGCGCGCGAGCGGACCAGGGCGCGCGCGCGGACCAGGGCGCGCGCGTGGACCAGGGCGCGCGCGTGGACCAGGGCGCGCGCGTGGACCAAGGCGCGCGCGTGGACCAAGGCGCGCGCGTGGACCAGGGCGCACGCGTGAACCAGGGCGCGCGCGTGGACCAGGGCGCGCGCGTGGACCAAGGCGCGCGCGTGGACCAAGGAGCGCGCGTGGACCAGGGCGCGCGCGTGGAACAGGGCGCGCGCGTGGACCAGGGCGCGCGCGTGGACCAAGGCGCGCGCGTGGACCAAGGCGCGCACGTGGACCAGGGCGCGCGCGTGGACCAGGGCGCGTGCGTGGACCAAGGCGCGCGCGTGGACCAAGGCGCGCGCGTGGACCAAGGCGCGCGCGTGGACCAAGGCGCGCGCGTGGGCCAAGGCGCGCGTGTGGACCAAGGCGCGCGCGTGGACCAAGGCTCGCGCGTGGACCAAGGCGCGCGCGTGGACCAAGGCGCGCGCGTGGACCAAGGCGCGCGCGTGGACCAAGGCTCGCGCGTGGACCAAGGCGCGCGCGTGGACCAAGGCGCGCGCGTGGACCAAGGCGCGCGCGTGGACCAAGGCGCGTGCGTGGACCAGGGCGCGCGTGTGGACCACGGCGCGCGAGTGGACCAAGGCGCGCGCGTGGAACAAGGCGCGCGCGTGGACCAAGGCGCACGTGTGGACCAAGGCGCGTTTTGGTCCACCTCGCGCAAGTAGAGACGAAATGGGAACGCCCGTGACTCTCGCCATGTCCACATAATTGTAGACCATAATGAGCTTCTCCAGCAGGCACTGTGGAAGGTAAGCGTCTTTCAGGCAGTACACGGCCAGCAGGAAAGATATGGGGACTCCAGTCACCCTGGCCATCTCCACATAATTGTAGACCATCATGAGCTTCTCCAGCAGGCGCTGTGGAAGGTAAGCGTCTTTCAGGCAGTACACGGCCAGCAGGAAAGATATGGGGACTCCAGTCACCCTGGCCATCTCCACATAATTGTAGACCATCATGAGCTTCTCCAGCAGGCGCTGTGGAAGGTAAGCGTCTTTCAGGCAGTACACGGCCAGCAGGAAAGATATGGGAACTCCAGTCACCCTGGCCATCTCCACATAATTGTAGACCATCATGAGCTTCTCCAGCAGGCGCTGTGGAAGGTAAGCGTCTTTCAGGCAGTACACGGCCAGCAGGAAAGATATGGGGACTCCAGTCACCCTGGCCATCTCCACATAATTGTAGACCATCATGAGCTTCTCCAGCAGGCGCTGTGGAAGGTAAGCGTCTTTCAGGCAGTACACGGCCAGCAGGAAAGATATGGGGACTCCAGTCACCCTGGCCATCTCCACATAATTGTAGACCATCATGAGCTTCTCCAGCAGGCGCTGTGGAAGGTAAGCGTCTTTCAGGCAGTACACGGCCAGCAGGAAAGATATGGGGACTCCAGTCACCCTGGCCATCTCCACATAATTGTAGACCATCATGAGCTTCTCCAGCAGGCGCTGTGGAAGGTAAGCGTCTTTCAGGCAGTACACGGCCAGCAGGAAAGATATGGGGACTCCAGTCACCCTGGCCATCTCCACATAATTGTAGACCATCATGAGCTTCTCCAGCAGGCGCTGTGGAAGGTAAGCGTCTTTCAGGCAGTACACGGCCAGCAGGAAAGATATGGGGACTCCAGTCACCCTGGCCATCTCCACATAATTGTAGACCATCATGAGCTTCTCCAGCAGGCGCTGTGGAAGGTAAGCGTCTTTCAGGCAGTACACGGCCAGCAGGAAAGATATGGGGACTCCAGTCACCCTGGCCATCTCCACATAATTGTAGACCATCATGAGCTTCTCCAGCAGGCGCTGTGGAAGGTAAGCGTCTTTCAGGCAGTACACGGCCAGCAGGAAAGATATGGGGACTCCAGTCACCCTGGCCATCTCCACATAATTGTAGACCATCATGAGCTTCTCCAGCAGGCGCTGTGGAAGGTAAGCGTCTTTCAGGCAGTACACGGCCAGCAGGAAAGATATGGGGACTCCAGTCACCCTGGCCATCTCCACATAATTGTAGACCATCATGAGCTTCTCCAGCAGGCGCTGTGGAAGGTAAGCGTCTTTCAGGCAGTACACGGCCAGCAGGAAAGATATGGGGACTCCAGTCACCCTGGCCATCTCCACATAATTGTAGACCATCATGAGCTTCTCCAGCAGGCGCTGTGGAAGGTAAGCGTCTTTCAGGCAGTACACGGCCAGCAGGAAAGATATGGGAACTCCAGTCACCCTGGCCATCTCCACATAATTGTAGACCATCATGAGCTTCTCCAGCAGGCGCTGTGGAAGGTAAGCGTCTTTCAGGCAGTACACGGCCAGCAGGAAAGATATGGGGACTCCAGTCACCCTGGCCATCTCCACATAATTGTAGACCATCATGAGCTTCTCCAGCAGGCGCTGTGGAAGGTAAGCGTCTTTCAGGCAGTACACGGCCAGCAGGAAAGATATGGGGACTCCAGTCACCCTGGCCATCTCCACATAATTGTAGACCATCATGAGCTTCTCCAGCAGGCGCTGTGGAAGGTAAGCGTCTTTCAGGCAGTACACGGCCAGCAGGAAAGATATGGGGACTCCAGTCACCCTGGCCATCTCCACATAATTGTAGACCATCATGAGCTTCTCCAGCAGGCGCTGTGGAAGGTAAGCGTCTTTCAGGCAGTACACGGCCAGCAGGAAAGATATGGGGACTCCAGTCACCCTGGCCATCTCCACATAATTGTAGACCATCATGAGCTTCTCCAGCAGGCGCTGTGGAAGGTAAGCGTCTTTCAGGCAGTACACGGCCAGCAGGAAAGATATGGGGACTCCAGTCACCCTGGCCATCTCCACATAATTGTAGACCATCATGAGCTTCTCCAGCAGGCGCTGTGGAAGGTAAGCGTCTTTCAGGCAGTACACGGCCAGCAGGAAAGATATGGGGACTCCAGTCACCCTGGCCATCTCCACATAATTGTAGACCATCATGAGCTTCTCCAGCAGGCGCTGTGGAAGGTAAGCGTCTTTCAGGCAGTACACGGCCAGCAGGAAAGATATGGGAACTCCAGTCACCCTGGCCATCTCCACATAATTGTAGACCATCATGAGCTTCTCCAGCAGGCGCTGTGGAAGGTAAGCGTCTTTCAGGCAGTACACGGCCAGCAGGAAAGATATGGGGACTCCAGTCACCCTGGCCATCTCCACATAATTGTAGACCATCATGAGCTTCTCCAGCAGGCGCTGTGGAAGGTAAGCGTCTTTCAGGCAGTACACGGCCAGCAGGAAAGATATGGGGACTCCAGTCACCCTGGCCATCTCCACATAATTGTAGACCATCATGAGCTTCTCCAGCAGGCGCTGTGGAAGGTAAGCGTCTTTCAGGCAGTACACGGCCAGCAGGAAAGATATGGGGACTCCAGTCACCCTGGCCATCTCCACATAATTGTAGACCATCATGAGCTTCTCCAGCAGGCGCTGTGGAAGGTAAGCGTCTTTCAGGCAGTACACGGCCAGCAGGAAAGATATGGGGACTCCAGTCACCCTGGCCATCTCCACATAATTGTAGACCATCATGAGCTTCTCCAGCAGGCGCTGTGGAAGGTAAGCGTCTTTCAGGCAGTACACGGCCAGCAGGAAAGATATGGGGACTCCAGTCACCCTGGCCATCTCCACATAATTGTAGACCATCATGAGCTTCTCCAGCAGGCGCTGTGGAAGGTAAGCGTCTTTCAGGCAGTACACGGCCAGCAGGAAAGATATGGGGACTCCAGTCACCCTGGCCATCTCCACATAATTGTAGACCATCATGAGCTTCTCCAGCAGGCGCTGTGGAAGGTAAGCGTCTTTCAGGCAGTACACGGCCAGCAGGAAAGATATGGGGACTCCAGTCACCCTGGCCATCTCCACATAATTGTAGACCATCATGAGCTTCTCCAGCAGGCGCTGTGGAAGGTAAGCGTCTTTCAGGCAGTACACGGCCAGCAGGAAAGATATGGGAACTCCAGTCACCCTGGCCATCTCCACATAATTGTAGACCATCATGAGCTTCTCCAGCAGGCGCTGTGGAAGGTAAGCGTCTTTCAGGCAGTACACGGCCAGCAGGAAAGATATGGGGACTCCAGTCACCCTGGCCATCTCCACATAATTGTAGACCATCATGAGCTTCTCCAGCAGGCGCTGTGGAAGGTAAGCGTCTTTCAGGCAGTACACGGCCAGCAGGAAAGATATGGGGACTCCAGTCACCCTGGCCATCTCCACATAATTGTAGACCATCATGAGCTTCTCCAGCAGGCGCTGTGGAAGGTAAGCGTCTTTCAGGCAGTACACGGCCAGCAGGAAAGATATGGGGACTCCAGTCACCCTGGCCATCTCCACATAATTGTAGACCATCATGAGCTTCTCCAGCAGGCGCTGTGGAAGGTAAGCGTCTTTCAGGCAGTACACGGCCAGCAGGAAAGATATGGGGACTCCAGTCACCCTGGCCATCTCCACATAATTGTAGACCATCATGAGCTTCTCCAGCAGGCGCTGTGGAAGGTAAGCGTCTTTCAGGCAGTACACGGCCAGCAGGAAAGATATGGGGACTCCAGTCACCCTGGCCATCTCCACATAATTGTAGACCATCATGAGCTTCTCCAGCAGGCGCTGTGGAAGGTAAGCGTCTTTCAGGCAGTACACGGCCAGCAGGAAAGATATGGGGACTCCAGTCACCCTGGCCATCTCCACATAATTGTAGACCATCATGAGCTTCTCCAGCAGGCGCTGTGGAAGGTAAGCGTCTTTCAGGCAGTACACGGCCAGCAGGAAAGATATGGGGACTCCAGTCACCCTGGCCATCTCCACATAATTGTAGACCATCATGAGCTTCTCCAGCAGGCGCTGTGGAAGGTAAGCGTCTTTCAGGCAGTACACGGCCAGCAGGAAAGATATGGGGACTCCAGTCACCCTGGCCATCTCCACATAATTGTAGACCATCATGAGCTTCTCCAGCAGGCGCTGTGGAAGGTAAGCGTCTTTCAGGCAGTACACGGCCAGCAGGAAAGATATGGGGACTCCAGTCACCCTGGCCATCTCCACATAATTGTAGACCATCATGAGCTTCTCCAGCAGGCGCTGTGGAAGGTAAGCGTCTTTCAGGCAGTACACAGCCAGCAGGAAAGATATGGGGACTCCAGTCACCCTGGCCATCTCCACATAATTGTAGACCATCATGAGCTTCTCCAGCAGGCGCTGTGGAAGGTAAGCGTCTTTCAGGCAGTACACGGCCAGCAGGAAAGATATGGGGACTCCAGTCACCCTGGCCATCTCCACATAATTGTAGACCATCATGAGCTTCTCCAGCGGGCGTTGCGGCAGGTACGCGTCCTCGAGGCAGTAGAGCAGACAGTGTGGAGGGTGTAGGGTAGAGAGTAAGTACCTTGATACTCTGCCCTCGGGCAAGCAAGAACGATATAGGAACGCCAGTAACTCTCGCCATCTCAACGTAGTTGTAGACCATCATGAGCTTCTCCAGAAGCCGCTGCGGCAGGTAAGCGTCTTTGAGGCAGTACACGGCCAGGCGGCGACGCGTCTGGGCGTCTCCGTTCTGAAGGTCGGCGATGATGGAGTGATGCACGTCCTCCTTCTGCTCATTACAAGCACATTCGGTAGAGACACACGGGGTAGAAGCACATGAGTTCCATTGAGGCATTAGACGGCCAGGTCTCCGTTCTGAAGGTCGGCGATGATGGAGTGATGCACGTCCTCCTTCTGCTCTTGTTGCGAGAAGGGGGGGGGGGAGGGAGCACAGTCCGCACAAGCATATTCGATATAAGCACATTTGGTATCGAGAGGGGAGACTCAACCTGTTCGTCGAGGAAGTGGACTGAGACGGATTTGAGGGAGTAGGAGCTGAGCTTGTGCTCCCTCTGAATGAATAATGGCCAGAAAACTAAGTGGTTGATATTTAGAAGTGAGTGCATGTAAGAACATAACCTGTTCGTTGAGGAAGTGAGCCGAGACGGAGTTGAGTGAGTAGGAGCTGAGCTTGTGCTCTCTCTGAATGGCCACCAGCAGATCAAACTGCACGCGCCCATCCAGTGTCACCTCCTTGGTTTCCCTCGTGCCATACTGCCTGCGTTGGAAAGAGGGAATAAGGGTGCAACGAGAGGAGGGAGGGAGGGACTGAATGGCCACCAGCAGATCAAACTGCACGCGCCCATCCAGTGTCACCTCCTTGGTTTCCCTCGTGCCATACTGCCTGCATTGGAAAGAGGGAATAAGGGTGCAACGAGAGGAGGGAGGGAGGGACTGAATGGCCACCAGCAGATCAAACTGCACGCGCCATCGAGTGTTACCTCCTTGGTTTCCCTTGTGCCATACTGCCTGCATTGGAAAGAGGGAATAAGGGTGCAACGAGAGGAGGGAGGGAGGGACTGAATGGCCACCAGCAGATCAAACTGCACGCGCCCATCCAGTGTCACCTCCTTGGTTTCCCTCGTGCCATACTGCCTGCATTGGAAAGAGGGAATAAGGGTGCAACGAGAGGAGGGAGGGAGGGACTGAATGGCCACCAGCAGATCAAACTGCACGCGCCCATCCAGTGTCACCTCCTTGGTTTCCCTCGTGCCATTCTGCCTGCATTGGAAAGAGGGAATAAGGGTGCAACGAGAGGAGGGAGGGAGGGACTGAATGGCCACCAGCAGATCAAACTGCACGCGCCGTCGAGTGTTACCTCCTTGGTTTCCCTTGTGCCGTACTGCCTGCGTTGAGAAAAGGGCGCAACAAGCGAAGGAAGAAACTCTCAGCTGCCAAAGGCTAATGTGAGACGAAACAGATAGTGCGCACGAAATGTGAGCTCAGGTCAGAAAGTGTTTCCAGATTGTGTTTCCAAATAAGGTGAGTAAGTCAGGTTCGGACCTGGATTGGAAGCGTGGGTGGATCGTGCAGCTTGAGCTGGGGTGGCTTTGTCCTGTCTAATTAATAGGTCAATGAAAAATCCATCAACATAGCTATTTGAGTGTCAAAGTCGGACCTGGATTGGAAGCGTGCATCGCGCATCTTGAGCTGGGTGTTGAGGATCCGACCGAGGAAGGGGAAGGTCTTCAGATTCAGCTTCTCCGCCCTCTGCGTGAGGAGAGCATCAGAGGGGCAGCAGTAGAATTCTAGAAGATATAGCAGATGCAGCAAAAGCAGCAGAAGTCTGTGGTTAAGAACAAATAAACAACATTGTCAGCAGCATTGCTTCAGGACAAGACCTGGTAATTGCTTGCACAGACTGAAAATATGCAACAATTATATGCAACAATTATATGCAACAATTATATGCAACATGGTGTATAGCATGCTGATGCTGTCTCGTCTCGTGACACATCACATCTCATCGTCCCTTGTGCAGAACCACCCACCTCAATCAGGTAGGGCAGATCAAACTTTTGGATGTTGTACCCGATGATCATGTCAGGGTCTGTTGCCTGGACGAGCTCCTGTGAGTTAAATAATGGGAAAAAAGGAGAGGGTGAAAGAGGGAGTGCAGGAACGGGTGGGGGGAATGGGGGAGGGAGAAATGGGAGAAAAAAAGAATTTCTGAGGATGAAGAGCAGGAGGATCGATAGAAACAGGTTGTGCCTTGGCTATTGAAACACGCACCTTCCAGGCAAGCAGCAGCTGTTGCTCTGTTTCAAAAGACACCACGTCGCAACCCACGATGGGCGCACACGAGTGGGTGGGTGCAGCACTACAGGGCAATGCTTTCAGTATCAGACACAGACACGTACCTTCCAAGCCAGCAGCAGCTGCTGTTCAGTTTCAGACGCCACCACATCACACCCCACGATGGGAGCACAGGAGCCGAGGGTGAGCATGGTGCGAACCAGCGGGTCGCTGCTGCCCTGCTGCGACACAATGTTGGCGATCTGAATCACCGGGTTGTGCTGCGACCGTGCTGCGGCTCTAATGGGTGTATAGTCTGGAGATACAGCCACACCCATCACCCGGCAACACTCACTCACAACCACGCTCAGTCCACGCACCTTCCAGGCGAGCAGCAGCTGCTGCTCCGTCTCAAACGCCACCACGTAACACCCCACGATGGGCGCACACGAGTGGGTGGGTGCAGCAGCACTACAGGGCAATGCTTTCAGTATCAGACACAGACACGTACCTTCCAAGCCAGCAGCAGCTGCTGCTCCGTCTCAAACGCCACCACGTCACACCCCACGATGGGCGCACACGAGCCGAGGGTGAGCACGGTGCGAACCAGAGGGTCACTGCTGCCCTGCTGGGAAACTATATTGGCGATCTGAATCACCAGGTCGTGCTGCGGCTCTGGTAGATACAGACGCATCCCGTGAAAACTCTCACACACACGCTCAGCCCACGCACCTTCCACACACCTTCCAGCCCACGCACCTTCCAAGCCAGCAGCAGCTGCTGCTCGGTCTCGAATGCCACCACGTCACACCCCACAATGGGAGCACACGAGCCGAGGGTGAGCACGGTGCGAACCAGCGGGTCGGTGCTGCCCTGCTGGGAAACTATATTGGCGATCTGAATGACCGGGTCGTGCTGCGGCTCCGGAAAGTGCCCCTTGCGCCCGCTGCACTCGATGTCGAAGCTGAGGATGCGGAAGGGGGCCATGCGGGACCACTGGCCCGTGCCCTCATGGCTGACTAGGTCCGTATAGCTGGTGGGTGTGGAACGACATTGGGGAAGGCAGGGAGGGAGAAAGGAGAGGCAGTGAGTGGACTGCAAGGGCTCTGAAAAGTGAGGGAGGAGTAGAAGCAGAAGCAGAAGGAGTGTTATTGAGTGGAGTCCAAAGCTCAGTGGTCGTTCCGAAGGAGGAGCAGCGGGAAGATCACCGGAGCAGCAGCGGAAGGAGTAGCGGGAGGAGCAGCAGAAGAGAAGATCAGATTACGTCACATAAAATCGTATTACATCACACGTCACTCACAGAATATCAACCTCCAGCTGGCACGCCGACAGCTTTGACAGCTCAGGTGCCTTCCCTCCCAATCACTTCACGTGTCATGTACGAATCATATCTTCCACACATCATCACATCACATCACATCACTCACGGGATATCTACCTCCAGCTGGCACGCCGACAGCTTCCGGGTGTCCTCGCGCACGCGGTACGTGCCAGCTGGCAGCGAGATCCAGTTGCCGCCGGTGACGTGGCAGTCAATCATGAAGCGCAGCGCAAAGAGCACGTTGCTCTCGTATGTGGTGGCGGGGAATTGAAACCCGTTCCACTCAAACCCCTGCTCAAAGTATGCTGGGTGGGGGAAAGGGGAGAGGACAAGGGAGACAGCAGTAACAGGACAGTACGGTCAGTCAGAAGTGGCAGCCAATCATGAAGCCCAGCACAAAGAGCACTAAGCACGTTGCTCTCGTAGGTGCACTTTGTGTTGACTCAAAACAATCATGAAGCGCAGCACAAAGAGCACATTGCTCTCATAGGTGGTGAAGGGGAAGTGGAAGCCGTTCCACTCAAAGTGCTGCTCAAAGTATGCTGGGAAAGGGGAGAGGACAGGGAGGCAGCAGCAAGAGGACAGTACGGTCAGTCACACGCTTTGACGTTTCTGGGCATCACCCATTAATAAAATTCATGGTTGTCAGCGTCCCACTTACCTCTGCATGGAGCCACCATAGTGGGAAGAGTGAGTGCGATCTATAAAGTTCCGAGGTTGCTCGGTTCTCGACAAAAGTTCTCACCCCGCTCAGATCAAATCATGAGAGGAAATTCTAAGGGAGGACCAAGCACTCAGGCCTGCTTACCTCTGCATGGAGCCACCATAGTGGGCAGGGCGAGTGTGATCTTAAGGAATGTCTTCTTATCAGGGCCTTGATAGTAAAGCAGCCCCTGCGCTTTTAGCATCTCCACTTTTATCACAACCACTCCCTTCGCCTGACCCCTTTCCTGCAGTCATATGTGCAGCACAGTACAGTTACACATGCTGTTAGTTACATATAGGTGCACATCCACAAGCACATGGACGCACGTAACAATATATTTCTGTGCATATAATGCATTTATGTATATACATATGTACATATGTAATGCATATTCAGAATGGGACTTCGCTAATAATGATACGTGCAACCTGGAAACGTCAAAACGTGTGACTGTACCGAGAGTTGGGTGTGGAAGGCAGCAACATCATCGTATGTGAATTGCGACGGTGCCATCACATAGAAGTATGGCAGAAAGCCGTGCACCATGGCGCACACGCTGTTTCCTGAAAGCATGAAGGGAGAGGAGACAGTGGTGAGACATGAGATATAGAGGTGAGAGATGAGAGCCATGGGAAAACAATGTAGCAAAGAGGGCACAATCTACCAAGGAAGCGAAAATAAGACAGCATGCTTAAAAACTAGGAGGAACTGACCATGCTCGTTGACACCAAAGATGCGGAGCACAGCTGAACTCTTGTAATGAGTTTTGAAGGGTGAGTCAGATGTCAAGTAGTAGTCAATGTCAAGCTGCTGAAACACTGAGAGACGGCGGGAGTGAGAGCGTGGGAATGGGGTATAACTTGGGTCGACTTAAAACTGGTTTTGAAGGGTGAGTCAGATGTCAAGTAGTAGTCAATGTCAAGCTGCTGAAACACTGAAATATGTGAGGGTGAGAGCAAAGAGGTGAAGAAACTCAACACACTGACATTGATGCACATCAGAATTCATCATGCATCTTGAAATATGCACATTGATATCCTTCATGCACATTGACATCCATCATTCACACTATCATCCAACGTGCACGTTGACATTCACCATGCACGTTTGACATCCAGCATACACGTTGTCAATGCAGACATCCACACACACAGGCTATCCGTGTGTCTGTGAATTTGTCTTATTCTGCTTATCCAGCGATAAGAGTTTTCACACGGCTCTGGATCGCTCGCATCAGGAGACGGCGTCATGACTAGCTTCCTCACCGTGCTTCACCATGTTCCCTGCAATATTTTAAAACACGCATGTTCGAGTTCCCGCTACACTAATCAAAGCTGGCCTTCTCACCTATATCAGTGGCTCTAGGGTCGAAATCCGTCACCGGCTGCCGCCGCCACTTAGCTAAAAGCGGCTGCAGCCGACCCATCTGTCCTACCCGCCGGGCCTCCTCCTTCGCCGCCTGCTCCGCTCTCCGAATCAAATCCGTCTTGTCTTCCACCATCATGATCATCATCGCCTCGTCCTCATCCATATCCGCTCCTCCCGCGTCGCCGCCGATCGCCATGGCTTCTTCGACCTCCTCCTCTTCCTCCTCCGTCCCTACCGCCATCGCCTCGCCTTCCTCCTCGTCGCGTCGCGACGCGGGAATTCCGCTGCCGCCGCCGCCGCGAGCGGGAAACGGCCGCTTCGACGAGGCTATCGGAGCGGGAGGGCCTCGCGGCCTCTTGCTTGAGTCCATGCCGATGACCGTGGGTTACTACTACTATCGACGACTGAAGTCTTGTTGGAGTCTTGTATGCTGGCAATAGACGCAGCGAACTTGTATTAGTCGATGATTAAAAGAGTTCTAATCTGGAACGAGAGTGCGTTGCATTCACTAGGTCAGGAGAGCAGGCAGTGAATGTCTTGGCAGGTTACCGCTTGTCAGAGGAAGCACAGGAAGCTGAGTTCAGTCTTGGATTCCGATTTTGAATTTTGAATTTCAACCTCCGGGCAACGGACTAGTGTTGGAGGCAACCTCGATAGAAGCGAGACAACCTCCAGGGCGGAGAGATTGGTTAGAATATAGCAATAAGAAGCACTACACCGCAAATGAATTAAAAGAATACTAGGTCAACAAAACCCGGCAAATGTGGCAGTTGCGGGATAACCCGAGCCAAGCCTAGGCCGAACCAAGGTACCTTCACTCTCTACGAACCTTGAAATCTCCGCACCGCAAACGACACTGCCGAACCTGACGTGGTAGGAGACCTTTTTTTGCCCGCCTCTCCAGCCACAGCACCAACCTCCCTTCTCCCTTCGCCTAGAAAGCTTATCAATTCACTTGGTGCTTCTTGGTTTCATACCTCAATCCTAGAAGCTCACATACTCTCCCACATAGTCTTTATGTAGTAAAGCTTTTCAATTTCCAGGGGTAGATAGACCTGAGTTTGAACAGGCATAGCTGGCTCATATATTTTAATTTCGAGTGGCCAAAAAAGGTGTGGTGTACTTTACGTGGTCACCGGCGTGGTACATCTGGTGGCGGTTCGGCTCGGAGCAGGTCGTAACTCTATGAACCGCGCCTTAAGCTCTTATGGACATGCTCGAGGATTTCAAGGGTTCCTCCTTCTGAGGCGCCTAAAAGGCCGTCTGTGAAACGCCCCTTAAGCTCTTATGGACGTGCTCCAGGATCTCAAGGGTCGCGCGAGGAAGGCGGCAGAGCAGCTCTCGCTGCTGCTCTCCCCCGGCGTTTCAGCCTCTCCTGCCCACCAAGCCGCGGAACACGACAACCAGTGCGGTGGCCCGAATCCTTCTACGGGGAACCGCGCTAGTAGCAGAAGAAGCGGAAGTAACGGCGCAAATGGCGCAGCTGCAGCAGGAGCAGCAACGGGCGCTTTCAGGAATGCCCGCTCGCGGAAAAAAACACCCGGACGGCGTCTGAATAAGGACGGGACGTACAAAAAGGGCCCAGGCGCATTTCAGTCAGGGAGGCAGGAGAAGCAAAAAGCTCCAGTAGATGATGACTCATGGCAGCGGGAGGTAGCGGAAATAGGTTCATATACAGCGCTAGCCCCGAAATATTCCCCTCAACTACCGTCACACGGTGCTCGGAATTCGCGGTCAACGTCGTCCTCGTCGTCGCCAGCGTCGTCGACTTCGCTATCGTCTCCGGCGCCGTCAGCTCACTCGCCTTCGCAATCTCCGTCGCTTGCTTCTTCCTCCCCCTCCCCCGATTCTCCCCCTCTTAACCCTCGTCTATTCCCACCGCGCTCCGCGTCCTTCCCCCCTCTCCTTCCGCCAGCCCATTCCCCGGCTCCTCCCCCCGCAATCCCCCCTCGCTCCGCCTCTCCGCGGGGGAATTCTTCCCCTCGCGACCCAAGATCTTCCCCGTCGTCTCCCGCGGTAATTAGGTCTTTATTTGAAGCGCCGCAAAAGTCTTTTCCCGGGCGGGAACTGGTCCGCGGGCAGCCGTCGCGGCACAGCCTACTTCATAGACTAGCGTCTAGGGTTTCGCGTCCTGAGGGGAGCTCTGAGGGAGCGGACGGGGAGGAAAATGAGGCAATCCCGAGGTGGGACGGCGGGTGGGAACGACGGCACGGCAGCTCTGCCGGCTGGTCGGCAGCAGACGGGAATTCTGACGGAGGACGCGGGATCCGCGTCAAGTCGGAGAATGAGAGCTCGCCATTGGTGGAGGTGGATTCGGCCAATGAGAGAGTCGAAATTCTGGTGCTGAGAGGTCCGGAGGGCAGGGTGATAGGCTCGGGAGGGGATGCGAGAGGAAAGAAGGGAGCGGCATCAGAGCAGGGGGGAAGAGATGGAGGAAGGGGAAGGGGTGGTGGAGATGATGGGGGTGGTGAAGAGACGCTGATTCAGCAATGGAGGAGGCTTCGTCAGAAGCAGCCTGCACAGCAGCAACTGCCTGAGCAGCGGCAGGAACAACAGCAGCAGCAGGAGCGGTTTTATAATGTGCACAGTAGGAGGGTTTCTGAGGAAGAACGGCAAGTTATATCTGTAGATAAGCGTATTTTTTCTGTGGACCGGCCTGTTGAAGCTGGGTCTGAAAGTGCGGATACAGATGGCCTAGGGCTCTTGCAAAAGTGTATCAGGCAAGTCTCGCGCCTATTACCGAACCAGAGCTGTAACGAGTACGGGGATTCCAGGCCCACCAGGGAGCTCGCGGTGTCATCTAGAACCCGTTTTAGAAATTCTCTTAGTGAGGACAGAACGAGAGAGGGTCTGGAAGAGGCTGGGGTGGGTCATACTCCTAGTAAACTGGGGTTATTTCGCAGGTTGCCCATCGGGAGGTGGAGAGAGGGGGCAAGTGCGGAGGAAGTGCGGGAGGGGATGGGCGCAGCGGAAAGACTATGGGGCAGAGGCGCAGACGTGGAATCAGGGGAGGGGAATGGGTTAGGGATGGGGATAGGCGGGCTGAATACCCAGTTTGGACGATCTACAGCCTCGTTCGCGAGAAGAAGAGCAGGAGGAGGACCAGGAGGTGCAGGATTTGGAGCAGGAGGAGGGGGGTTTGGAGTGGGAGGAGCAGGAGGAGGGGGGTTAGGAGCAGGGGCAGGGGGGAGGATATCAGTCATGCAGCTGCGTCAGATGGTAGAGGCCAATCCCGAGGCCTTCCTTCGTGCCTTTGATCACGTGGCGAAGCGGGTGGAGGCTGCGCGCAAGAGACGCACGGTTACGGTTACCAGCAAGTACAACTCGCGGACCGACATCCTCCGAACGGCACTCTCGTTGGACATCCCCTCACTGTCCCCCTTCCCGTTCCCGCTCCCGTCCCTCCCCCACCTTCCCTTCTTCTCGTCCCCTTCTCCCAACTCCTCCTCCTCGTCCCCCTCCTCCTCGTCCCCCTCCTCCTCCTCTCCCTCCTCTTCGACTTCCTCCTCCCCTCCCTCCTCCCGGCCCTCGTTCCCGCTGCGCATTAGAGCAGTGGCAGAGGGTCGTCCCTCCTCACCCTTCACCCGTTTCTCCATTGCTCCCGAAATCGGCCCTCTCCGTTTACGATGGGACCGGCCTCGCCTGGTGCCATCCTTCGGAGCTACCCTGCATTCTGGAGACAACTCCCTGGTGCAAATCTTCCACGACCTTCAGGTGTGTCTAGGGTTTAAGGGATGGGTGCTGTGTGATACCCTCTCTGCCTGAGATGGGACCGACCCCGCCTGGTCCCATCCTTTGGAGCTACCCTGCATTCTGGAGACAACTCCCTGGTGCAAATCTTCCACGACCTTCAGGTGTGTCTAGGGTTGATGGGATGGGTGCTGTGTGATACCCTCTCTGCCTGAGATGGGACCGACCCCGCCTGGTCCCATCCTTCGGAGCTACCCTGCATTCTGGAGACAACTCCCTGGTGCAAATCTTCCACGACCTTCAGGTGTGTCTAGGGTTGATGGGATGGGTGCTGTGTGTGACCCTCTCTGCCTGAGATGGGACCGACCCCGCCTGGTCCCATCCTTCGGAGCTACCCTGCATTCTAGAGACAACTCCCTGGTGCAAATCTTCCACGACCTTCAGGTGTGTCTAGGGTTGATGGGATGGGTGCTGTGTGATACCCTCTCTGCCTGAGATGGGACCGACCCCGCCTGGTCCCATCCTTCGGAGCTACCCTGCATTCTGGAGACAACTCCCTGGTGCAAATCTTCCACGATCTTCAGGTGTGTCTAGGGTTGATGGGATGGGTGCTGTGTGATACCCTCTCTGCCTGAGATGGGACCGACCCCGCCTGGTCCCATCCTTCGGAGCTACCCTGCATTCTGGAGACAACTCCCTGGTGCAAATCTTCCACGACCTTCAGGTGTGTCCGAGTTTGATTCTCAATGCACTGTTTGCCTGGTCCCGTTCTGAAGTGCCTAGAAAGCTGTTTCCTCCCCTTCCCTCCCTCCCATCCATGCCAGGATCGCCCCAGCCATCGCACTACGCTAATGGTGGGATGGTGGGCTCGATCCATGGCCTACCGATTTGGGTTCTGAGATGCCTTCATGATATTCATCTGGACCCCCCCCCCTCCCTCCATGCCAGGAGCGCCCCAGCCATCGCACTGCGCTCATGGTGGGGTGGTGGGCTCGATCCATGGCCTATCGGGCTCTCCTCTCCCTCAAGCTGCCTGCCTGCCACGTGGTACGTGCCCGCATGCCCGTATACCCACGTTTTACACTGTGCGTGTGTGTTATGTGGTATGTGATCTTGCTATTACGATTCATGGCCTACTGGGCTCTCCTCTCCCTCAAGCTGCCTGCCTGCCACGTGGTATTTGCCACGATATCATATGTGATTGTGTATGCGGCGTGCCTTAACGATTCAATCGATCTTTTTTTTCATATACATATCTTGTTTAGGATACATCCATGCTGCCTCCTTTGCCACCCCCCCTCACCCTGCCAGGACATGTTGTGCGTTGACTTCCCTCGGGGCGAGTGTCTGATGCACCAGGTCAATGGAGTCAATGGGGTCAACTCAAGCATGTTCTCATCCCCCTTACCCCGCCGTTTTCCCTCACCCTGCCAGGACATGTTGTGGGTTGACTTCCCCCAGAGCGAGTTTCTGATGAACCGGGTCAACAGAGTCAAGGAAGTCGAGGCCGGCCTCTTCCTGCCCAACCACTGTGTATGTGATGCTCCCCGATTCACCTTTAACTCCCTTCCTCTCACCCTGGCAGGACATGCTGTGGGTTTGACCCCCCTTGGGGAGAGCTCCTCATGAACCGGGTCAATGGAGTCAACTTAAACCCCTTCTCATCCCCCCTTCCCCAACCCCCCCTGGCAGGACATCCTGTGGGTTTGACCCCCCTTGGGGAGAGCTCCTCGTGAACCGGGTCAACGAAGTCAAGGAAGTCAAGGCCGGCCTCTTCCTGACCAATGACCAACCACTGTGTATGTGATGCTCCCTGTTTCAACTTTAACTCCCTTCGTCACCTTGGCAGGACATGCTGTGGGTTGACTTCCCCAGGGGCGAGTTCCTGATGAACCGGGTCAACGGAGTCAAGGCCAGTCTCTTCCTGCCATGCCATCCGCTTAGGGGCGTGCTGCAGGTGGAAGGGCGGACAGCAGACACAGCCACAGTGGGGTTTGCCTATCAGGTAGGGTGGGATGGGATGGAGGTGAACTGGGTCAACCCGGGTCAACGGGGTCAAGGTCAGTCTCTTCCTGCCGTGCCATCCGCTGAGGGGAGTGCTGCAGGTGGAAGGGCGGACAGCAGACACAGCCACAGTGGGGTTTGCCTATCAGGTAGGGTGGGATGGGAGGGAGGTGAACTGAGTCAACCAGGTCAACGGGGTCAAGGCCAGTCTCTTCCTGCCATGCCATCCGCTGAGGGGAGTGCTGCAGGTGGAAGGGCGGACAGCAGACACAGCCACAGTGGGGTTTGCCTATCAGGTAGGGTGGGATGGGAGGGAGGTGAACTGAGTCAACCAGGTCAACGGGGTCAAGGCCAGTCTCTTCCTGCCATGCCATCCGCTGAGGGGAGTGCTGCAGGTGGAAGGGCGGACAGCAGACACAGCCACTGTGGGGTTTGCTTATCAGGTAGGAATTGTTATTGTTTCTACCAGTTGGGGGATTGAACGGGAGGGGAGTGGTGGTACTGACTCTGTAGGGTGTGCTGCAGGTGGAAGGGCGGACAGCAGACACGGCCACTGTGGGGTTTGCTTATCAGGTAGGAATTGGAAGGGAGGGGAGTGGTGGGGCTTACTCTGAAGGTAGGAAGGGAGGCGAGTGAATGCTGCTCTGAGGGGCGTGCTGCAGGTGGAAGGGCGGACAGCAGACACGGCCACTGTGGGGTTTTCCTATCAGGTAGGAATTGTTTCTACCATGTGAGAAGAGCAAGGGGAGTGAGTGTGCTTGCTTTGCTCAACCCTGGTCAAGTGCCACACCTCTCCCTGGCCAGCCCGTGCCATCCGCTTAGGGGCGTGCTGCAGGTGGAAGGGCGGACAGCAGAGACTGCCACTGTGGGGTTTGCTTATCAGGTAGGAATTGTTATTGTTTCTACCAGTTGGGGGATTGAACGGGAGGGGAGTGGTGGTGCTTACTCTGTAGGGCATGGTGCAGGTGGAAGGGCGGACAGCAGACACAGCCACTGTGGGGTTTGCCTATCAGGTAGGGTGGGTGGGATGGGAGGAGAATGAGTGTACTTGCTTTTCCAGGGGAGAGTTCTTCTGGGAAAGATTTGTCTACTGTGTGATAAGAGATAAGGGTGTTGTTTTCGTCCACTGTTTGCGTGTGTGACGCCGTCACTCTTCCATGCCTTTCCTTCTCGCTCTCTTTCCCTTCACTTCTCTCTTCTTTCCTTCCCTCTCATTCCCTTCTCACTCTCCCCAGCACCCCTTGGGAACGCATGTGACGCCCTCGTTCTCTCTCGCCGATCGGAGGTGCTTCAGAACTTTTTGAGAGACGTCTCAAAAGTCCTTCCTTTCTCTTCTCTTTCCTTCCCGTCTCACTCTCCCCAGCACCCCTTGGGAACGCGTGTGACGCCCTCATTCTCTCCCCCTTTTCCTCCTCTCCTCCCCTCTCCTTCTCTCCCCCCACAGCACCCCTTCGGAACGCGTGTGACGCCCTCATTCTCCCTCGCCGATCGCGGACTGTCAGTGGAGGTGCTTCAGCCAATCACAGTGCGACAGCTGGGACCCGCTGTCAAGCCAGAAGCCCAAATACGGTACGCTTCGGAGCACACAGGCACGTATTCGGTACACGGGCTGTTTCGGATCAGTTCTTCATAGCCTGTGTAATTTTGCAAGTCTGATTTATTGTGTACTAACATTTCAAAATACTGAAAATGACCTGCACTTTTTTTTGTTTTTCCAACGAAATTCATCTAATATATTTTCATCATTTTTTCTATACTTTTTCTTGGTTTCTGTATCTTCTGTTTCCCCAGGTTCAAGAGCACGATATCGGGCACGAGGCAAGGGTGGGAGATGGAGACAACACGCTTCCTGGGAACCAATGAGATAGTGGGGGGAGCAGCAGAGGCGTCTCAAGGCGGACTGGCAGTCAGTGTGGGGTACAAGGCCGGGGTGGCACCTGTTGCCTTCTTCACCCTCTTTGTAAGCCCATTGCTCCCTTGTTACATGTTACACTCTCAAGAAATATCCAGTCCATTTCTACACAATTAGCGTTTTGCGCTTACGAAATGTTTTTTTTTACTTTTCTCCCCCCCCCCCCCCTTTTTTTTTTACTATCTCTCTGTCCTGGCATGGCAGGGAGGGGGTCGCAGGAGGCGGAAAACAGCAGTGACAGGCAAGGGAGCTGGTTACCAGCTGAGGCTGGAATTTCCACCGTCCAATCTCAGACGAGCAGTCATCTCATGGGATGCCACCCATGGGATAGACTTCTAGTGTCAATGCCTCGGAAAAAATACCGCAGTGACAGTCAATGGAGCTGGTTACCAGCAGCTAAACATCTAAATCAGGTGTTACACAGATTTGCTATGGTGGTATCCAGGTATTTACGGGCATGGCTTACCCACCTCCTACCACCTGCACGTTGTTATATGAAGCATGCCCAACATAAATCTGCTCTTGTGGATCCTTCCCAACCCAACGCACAAGTGGGACCATTTTCCGGTAGTTGGAAAGGCTTTGTATCATAGTACCGTATCGTGCATATTATTTTGTGAATAAGATATGGTACAAGATGATGCAGTATCTGCTTGAAACAGCCTGGTAAAATAAAACTGGTGGTTGCGCATTTGCACATTTGTCTTACAAAACATCTAAACATGTGCAAAGATTTACATCAAATCTCGGCACCAATTTGTTATGTTATCAGGTACATGGGTTCATTCAGACCAGCAGACTCTGTAAAAGGGACGAACACAAGGGGCTTCAGGGATGGAAGGATGAGGGATGAGGGATGAGTGCAATGAGGAACTCACATACGCAAAGGAGGGATGAGTGCAGAGAGGAGGGGTGAGTATAGAGAAAATGAGGGATGGGAATTGGGGGATGAGGGTAACGAAGGGGAAGGGGTAAGAGCTGCAGGGGGAATGAAGGATGAGGGCAGGGGGAAGGGGTAAGGGAATGGGTGGGGAATGGATGAGCGCAGGGGGGGGAGGTGGGGAATGGGAAAGGGATGGCCTCAGGGGAAAAGGGTGAGCAAAGGGGTATCCAGGAGCGCGGAGGGAATGAGGAATAAAAACAAGAGGAATAAGGGGTGAGCGCAGGGGGGAAGAGGGGAGAGCAAAGGGGGAAACGATGGGCGCAGTTGGAGTGAGGGATAAGTGCAGGGGGGGATGGGGGATGAACGGTGGCAGAATGAGAGGTGCGTGCAGGGGGGAAGGCGATCAGCGCAGGGGGGAAGGGGGGAGGAGGGGAATGAGCGCAGGAGGGGGGGGATGAGCGCAGGAGGGGGGGGATGAGCGCAGGAGGGGGGGAATGAGCGCAGGAGGGGGGGAATGAGCGCAGGAGGGGGGGAATGAGCGCAGAGGGAATGGGGAACGGATGAGCGGGAAAATGTGGGGGATGGGAAAGGGATGGGCGCAGGGGAAAAGGGTGAGCACATTGGGTATGAGGGAGCGCAGAGAAAATGATGAATGAACACAAGGGGAATAAGGGGTGAGCGCAGGGCGGAGGAGGGGGAGCACAGGGGGGGGATTATGGGAGCAAATGGGGAATGAGAAGTTATTGCAAGGCGGGTGGGGGATAACAGTGGGGGAATGAGAGGTGAGCGCAAGGGGGGGGGAGAGGGGGGGGAGGGGGTATCAGCGCTGAGTGAAAATGGAAGAGGGCAGGGGGGCGAGGGGTGAGCGAAATGGGGAATGGGGTGAGGGCGAGTGACGGGGAGATGAGGGACGAGCGAAGGCAAGACGGAGTGAGGAGACAAGATTGCTACCATGCAATGGCGAAAGGGGAGAGAGAGACGGTAAAGGAACGGGGGAGGGGGAGGGGAGGAGGCGGGAAGGGGAAGGGAGACTGAACTCACATTCGTGCTCCACTTCACGATACCTCTGATCCGAGTTTAGCAGTGTTACCGTTCATCAAGGAGCGCGTCAGCGGCGATTAATTGGAAGACATTAAAGCCCGCGTCAGCAGCTGACGCGCTTCACACGGACATGGCGTTTCTAGGTTTAGCTGTAAAGCATGCGAGATCGTCAGATCTACTTACGACGCGAAAATCAATCTTAAAACGGAAGTACAAATTGCGTGACCGCTCTAGCATGAGCTCAACGAGTGGGATTTCGGCCTCCGTCGAAAGTCCCTTCGCGAAGTAATGGTTTTACGAGATAGACTTGTCATTCCTAGTATCGAAAATAGTACGCATCTGAAACTACTGCTACTATTCACGTAACGACCAAGGGTGGTAGGATCTGAAGCGGAATCAACCGATAACAAGAGAAGCAAGTGCAGTTCACAGGAGAGGCGAGATTGCTTACTAATCTAAGTTCTAAGATCTGAGACTCCCAAAGACCAGATCTGAGGCAGGAAGCGAGGACAGCAGGAACAACCTCGATAATAGCGAGCGGGTGGTTGGTGTACCCACCCAGACCCCGTTACATTGATTTGCTAGCTTTGCTTGTTTTGATTACCTTGGTTTTACAGTTCCCAATGTCTTCCATTTTTCGTTCGAATTTGCTTCCCCAGCTTTCCTTCCTCTCTCGGTTCTTCATTGTCCTCGGTTTCCCATTCCGATTGGTCCTTGCAGAGTTTTCCATCCAACCAGTTCCATTTCAGCTGCCCAAACTCTGGTTTAGCCGGAGCCGAACTCGTATCAGCAGCAGAAATCTTTAAAAAAAATCCAGCTTCATGCTGTTGCCGTCCCGTAACTCACGCAAAATAATATGTCCCGACTATTTCCTAACCTGCCCGTGTCTCAGAATCTCTTTGTAGGGCTGGCCCAATCTTGTGTCACACTCTGTATAGGAGCAAAGTCACACCCAATACAACGAAACCAAACTAAGCAGGAATGTGTTCAACAAATTAGAAAACTGATAACAGCTACAAGCGGGTATCTGCGCCCCAATTGTTTCATCGCGCCAATCGTTCTGACTACTTCTCAAGATGCATTGACATCACGAGGGCCAATCAATTTAGCAATCTGGCTGTCGGCTGGCGGCGGGGGGCTCACTCTTTGATCCAAATCGTTAACTTTTAGCGGCGCCATCTACCACCCTCGATTCACAACTTTCAAAACCGCGATTCGCACAGGCAGCACCACACCACTCGAGGCACATCCGCAACCACAAATTCTCGCACCAGTTGCTTCCATATTCACCCGTCATTCTGACTCCCTCGGACGCCAAAAGATGCTGGGCTGATGATTTTGGCGGTCTCGCACGGCCGTCGGCGGATTGCACGAGATTGCCGTTCAGAATTAGCGGCGGCATTTTACCATCCTCGATTCACAATCCGCACAACTTTCAGAATTATCGACCGCGAATCGCACAGGCAGCACCACCACATCGCTCGAGGCACATTCACAAAATCTCCCGGCAGTTGCTCCCATCATATCACCCCAGTCATTCTGACTCCCTTAGACGCCAAAAGATGCTCGGCTGATGATTTTGGCGGTCTCGCACGCCATCGGCGAGCGGCACGAGATTTCATCAAGGCCGTTCAGAGTTTACCACCGTCGATCCCCGAGCCCTTCTCAGAGATTTCAACCAAGTGGTTCGCATCATACACACGGCACTACACCACAATCAAACCTTCTCCCATCAGTCAGCTTGAGTAGTCAATATATATATGGACCTTCCTACTTCATTCAAATTGAGGAGCACCGGAAAGCCCGAGTCAGCCCAAGGCATGCAGCAGAGCGTGTGTGCGCTCGCAGCGTCGCGCGTAGGTTCGCAGCATAGGCGCGCAGCACCGCAGCATAGGCGCGCAGCATCGCAGCATAGGCTCGCAGCGCAGAGTCGCAGCGCAGGCTCGCAGCGCAGGCTCGCAGCATAGGCTAGCAGCGCACGCTTTGCTACATTCTTTTGGCTGACTCGTGTGCCTCGATGGTGCTCCTCGCCTCGCCTCCCATCTTCGAACGTGCCTACAAGCCTCAACTTGAAGACTGGTGAAGACTGCCGCAATCTGAAGACCTTCGAAGACTATTTTCACTTGAAGAATTCGAGGCGTCGCAAGCGATCAGGATAAGGCTTTCGTGCTTTTCTGTTTTAGCTATCATCGGCAGGCCTAATCATAATTGTTTCTGTGATGAACAGGAATATCGTCTTCGACTCAATCTCCGGTGCCGCTTTCTCCTTAACGCGCCAACTTCAGAAGACTTGGAGGCTTCACAAGATCAAGACGGCCGCGACAACGTTATGGCGTCGCGATCTACACGCCGTCCGCGCGGCGTCTCGTCGGCTCCTCACGCTGTCTCGTCGGCGTCCCTCCGCCGGCCTCACGCCGTCGCGTGGCGTGTCAACGGCGTGGCGTGTCAACGGCTCCCCGGCGTCTCCACGACAACTCCACGCATGTCGGCGTGGCGTGGCTTCCCGGCACTACCCTGCGTGGCGCGGCTTCACGGCAACTCCCCGGCGTCTTCACGGCGAGGAGAGAGGCGCATCTCACGTCCTCGTCGTCTTGTTCTTCTCTTCCGTTCCACCCGCAGCGACAACGAGTGCGGCCCTGGAGGAGGCGTGAGCGGGACGGGGCAGGGGTTATGGAGCTGGAAGGGTTGCCCCGCCCGACCAGCTCCATTTCCGCCTCCCGCTCTAACCACCTCTAGGGCACCGGCACAAGCCAAGACGGTTCTCGGAGCGAAGACCCAAGCGAGGCGGTTAATTCCTCTCGTCCTCTGTTTCGTCTTTTCAGACCAAGGGCGGAGGAGCACAACGGTCGAGGAGGACGCAAGGTGTTTTCACCTAGTTTTCTTCTCTCTTCTTCCTCCCCAAGGAAGCGGCGAAGGAGCACAAGGCGCGGCAGATCGTGGCTATTAAGGTAATCGTTTGTAAGTCTCTCGAGCTCTGTCGCGCTTTTCGTCGTGCTTTTCGTCGTGCTTTATTTCGTGCTTTTGTCGTGCTTTTGTTTTTTCTTTTAACGCGGTAACGGGTGATGTCATTGTTAGCCTCTCATGGTGCAGGCGCAGGCTCAATAAAGCAACACCGACATGAATGTAAAAACGGTAAGGTTCTTTTCCGTTTTTTGCTGCTTTTATTTCGCACGTTTACTAACTCCTTTCCGTTTCTTCCTTTTTGGTGCAGGTTACGCGAGGGGAGGCCGCGGGTGTTATCATTTTTTCCCTTCTGTCTCTCTCTCTGTCTTGTCTCCTCAGGTCAATGGAGGAGGAGCACAACGGACGGGAGGTCGTGGCTGGAGGAACGAAACCAAGGGTGAGTTTCTCTACCTATGTCGTTTTTTGTCGCGCTTTCTCGTGCTTTTCTTGTCTTTGTTTTTTCCTGTTCTTTCTGTTCTTGTTTTTATCTTGTTTTCATCAGCTTTACTAACGTTTTTTCGTGTTTTAGTGCGCATGTTTCGTGGAGGGGAGGGCGCTGGAGCTATCACTTTTTCCCCTTCTGTCTCTCTCTGTGTCTTGTCTCCTCAGGTCAAGGAGGAGCACGACGGACGGGAGGTCGTGGCTGGAGGAACGAAACCAAGGGTGAGTTTCTCTACCTATGTCGTTTTTGTCGCGCTTTGTCGTGCTTTTCTTGTCTTTGTTTTTCCTGTTATTTCTGTTCTTGTTTTCATCTTGTTTTCATCAGTTTTACTAATGTTTTTTCGTGTTTTAGTGCGCAGGTTTCGTGAAGGGGAGGCCGCTGGAGCCTTCACCGTTTTCTCCCTCTCCTTCCTTTCCAGGCCATGGCGGAGGAGCAGACGAACAGCACGGCACGGCACGGCACGGCACGGCACGGCACGGCACAGCACGGCACTGCTGAAGGGTGAGAGTTGGTAAGGTACGCGGGTGGCGAGTAGGAGCGACGGGGTGGCGAGTAGGAGCGACCACGTGGTACAGGTAGTTAGATTCGACGCGCGCTCGTGGTACTCGTGGTACAGGTTCGAGGGAGGTGGGGGTGGTTGGGTAGTAAGGTGTGCATGCAGATGGGTTTCCCATCTCAGCTTCCGTGGAGCATCACCGACTCGAGGCACCTTCAACCTGACATCTGACATCCGGATATTTGAGGTGGTTCTCTGCCCGGTGCCCGCTAGGAGCAGGGACCCAAGTGGACGGTTGTTGCTTTCGCCCCTGACGCCACGACTCACGTTAGGAGCAGGATCTGCAGTGGACGTCTTCGCGTAGCCGAGTGTGCAGCTGGTTTTCCCTCGCTAGGAGCAGGAACTGCAGTGTGCGTTTCCTCGTTACCACGTGCACAACCAGGTTTTCCCCGCTTGGAGCAAGATTAGCAGTGTTCGGTTTCTCGCTACCCCGCCACACGGGCACACCGGGCTCTCTTGTTGCTAGGAGCTGGAACTGAAGAGCGCGGATCTAGACAGACGCTACAGGATCACGGCATCCACGGCATGGCCGACTTGCAGCACGAGCACACACCTACGCAGGCACCGCATGGCGAGGCGGAAGCACTTGCTGACCCAGACAGGCACTCAGGCACTAGCGCTCGGGAGTATGTAGCGCAGCCCCAAGCAAACACTCTCAAGCGGCCTTGGGTAGGCCCTACGCAGCCACTCCTCCTCGGTCTCCGGCGCCTGAGCTCGGTAGACCGACTTTGCTCGGAGGGGACACCATGCAAACGACACCGCGAGGCACCAGCCGCCCCCATGAGCACCAACGACATGCTCGGTGTACCGCCGCTCTCAGGAACTTCGCAGCGGCTTAGTAATGGGGATGCTCAGCCTCCTTTGGCTGAGGCACCACTCACGGTTGGTGAACAGCGGGAGGCGGCTGTTACCCCACGCACGCCCTCGGTAGACCAGCAAGCATCGCCCAATTGCCCACACGCATCCTCTGGGCTGGTGGATGCACAAGACACCCGAGGGGTAGATGGGCGTGGGCAGGAACCAAGTGATCCGGGGATGGACAGGGCAGTGGCGGCGTGGGAGGCGCAACGCCGGCACTTGCAGGAGCTGCATAATAGGCGGCGGCGCGAGCTTCCACTTGGTGCCACGGCAACAGAGTCGCCCGGCACTCTTGGAGCTTCAGTGGGTCCTAGCAGGGCTCCACTTGGACCGCGCTTGGCACGACGGCAGGAGCTGAGGCGTTTGTTGGTAGCTGGCACGGGCGGTCGGCAAGAGTGGGCGACGGCAGAGCAGGCGGAGTCGACAGCGGGGAGGCAGGAGGTGCAGGGGGCCCTGCTGGCGGATGAGGGCCGGGAGTGCGGGGCAGGTGGGCAGCAGGGGGTGACGGATGCAGGCCTGCCGGAAAAGGTGCTGAGGAGGCAGCCGAGCCGTCTGGCGGAGGGCCAGCTGGGCCTGCCGACAAAGGTCCAGGGGGAGTTACTCGAGGAGGAGCATTGGGAGCGTGGGGAACAGGGACGGAAACCAGGGAGGGAGCAACCGGAAACGCTGTCGGCGATGCAGCAGGGTCTGCCGGTGGCTGCAGGGGAGACTAGAGACATCAATCCCTTCCCGAAGGCACGAACGGGGGCGTCTCTAAAGGGATGGGCTGGAGCTGTGGAACATACTTTTCTCTTTCGGAGCGCGCAAGGACAAGGTGTGCAGCCCGCGAGCACGGGGCAAGAGGGCGTGCGCCGTCGTGGTCGAGGTCGCGGTCGTGGTCGTAGCGGGACTGCTCAACGAGGGCGCCTCGCGGGCCAGCACGAGCAACAGTCGGAAAGGCAGCCAAGTGAGTTGCAGGAGCAGCAGTTTGAAAGGCAACAACAGCGGAGTCAGCAGGGTGGGCTGCCTCCCCGGCAGCATGAGCAGCTGGGCGAAGGTCAGCAGGGATGGCAGCCAGGAGAGCAGCAGAAACTGTGACTTAGGGAGCAGCAGGAACTGCAAATGAGGGAGCAGCAGGGAATGCAGCCAGGAGAGCAGCAGGAACGGCAGCCAGGGGAGCAGCAGAAACGGCAGCCAGGGGAGCAGCAGGACATGCAGATAGGGGAGGAACAGCAGGAAATCCAGATGGGGGAGCAGCAGGCACGGCAGCCAGGAGAGCAGCAGGAAATGCAGATGGGGGAGCAGTTGGAACTGCAGCCTGGGGAGCAGCAGGAGCTGCAGCCAGGGGAGCAGCAGGAAATGCAACGGGGGGAGCAGCAAGAAATGCAGCCAGGAGAGCGGCAGGAAATGCAGTCAGGAGAGCAGCAGGAGCTGCAGCCAGGGGAGCAGCAGGAAATACAACGGGGGGAGCAGCAGGAAATGCATCCAGGAGAGCAGCAGGAAATGCAGCCAGGGGAGCAGCAGGAAATGCAGCCAGGGGAGCAGCAGGAAATGCAGCCAGGGGAGCAGCAGGAAATGCAGCCAGGGGAGCAGCAGGAAATGCAGCCAGGGGAGCAGCAGGAAATGCAGCCAGGGGAGCAGCAAGAACTGAGGCTGGAGGAGCAGCACCCGGGAGAGCAGCAGGGGCAGCAGCTGGGCACCTGGGTGGGTGATACATGGGAAGTCATGGGTGTAGCGAGCCCACTTCGAGTGGAGCAGCAAGAAATGGAGACAGATTTGGTGCCTGTGTCACAGCTCTCGGGCCACAGTGGGGAGCACCAACAAGATCTTTTTGTTCCTCCTGGGGAGCTGCAGATAGGGGAAACGGATCAGACAGGGCAGCAGCTGCGTGAGCTGGGCGCTCAGGCGCAGGGGCCCGTGGACGACCAACTGCCACGAGGCAAGGGCAGGAGGCGACGCGGAGGCCAGGGCAAGCAGCGGTCGGGCAATCAGCAGGATCAGCAGGCAGAGGGCGAGTTGGGGCGGCCGCTTACGAGCCAACGTCCGGGAGGCCAGCTGGTGCGACGGCGGCCACTGTCAGGGGAACAGGGAGTGACTGCAGCACCTGAGGGCGTGCAGCAGGCAGGGGGACAGCAGGGAGTGACTGCAGCACCCCAGGGCGTGCAGCAGGCAGGGGGACGACAGGGAGTGACTGCAGCACCTGAGGGCGTGCAGCAGGCAGGGGGACAGCAGGGAGTGATTGCAGCACCTCAAGGCGTGCAGCAGGCAGCGGGACAGCAGGGAGTGACTGCAGCACCCCAGGGCATGCAGCAAACAGCGGGACAGCAGGGAGTGACTGCAGCACCTGAGGGCGTGCAGCAGGCAGGGGGACAGCAGGGACTGATTGCAGCACCTCAAGGCGTGCAGCAGGCAGCGGGACAGCAGGGAGTGACTGCAGCACCCCAGGGCGTGCAGCAGGCAGCGGGACAGCAGGGGGTGACTGCAGCACCTCAGGGCGTGCAGCACGCAGGGGGGCAGCTGGGGGCGAGGGCAGCACTTCAGGGCGTGCGGCAGCGGCAGCAGCAGCGGCAGAAGCGTCAGCAGCAGCAGCAGCAGCAGCAGCCCCCCCCGATCCCTCCGGAAAGCCCCACACCGGGGGTTGCGGAGAATTCAGCCACTCCTGACACGGCTCCACTTGCTCCAACTTGTGTCCCTTGCGAGTTCTGCTTTCACACATTTCCGCCTGGTGGTGCGGCCTCCCGCCACATAGTTGCATGTAAAGCGGCAGATGCTCAGCGGCGGGCTCAGGCCCTTACTTCCTCCCCGAACCTGAGCGAGGTCTTCGGGGCAGATCCAGTACCTCCGCGGGATATCGGCGAGGAGGTGTGGGGGGCGGTGCCTTCGTGGGACTGGGAGACTTTTTTCAGTATTCATTCTGTGTCGGGAGAGCTTCTTCGTCGGGTCCCGCAGCGGGCGCGACTGGGGGTGCTTGATGCATTGTGCTGCATTCTCAAGAGACTGAAGGCTTCCCCTGGGGATGAGGCGGCGACGCTGATGTTCCTGGCCTTCCCGCGCCTCATTTTGGGAGTCCCCGCAAAGGAGGGTCTTGGACGAAGGGCAGCCATAGTAGGGCGTCTCGGAAAGTTCTGGGCAGGGGAATGGCAACAGCTGTTCGAGGCTGCCTCTGCCGCGTTGACTCCGGCGGCGCGACCTCTTGCCTTCTCCTTACCTGAGCGAGATGCTGATGCCATCCGTTTGGCCCGATGTCGCACGAGGTGCCAAGTGGGGGAATGGAGTCGAGGACTAGCATGCCTTACTGCGGGCGACTTGGCGCAGCCCTCTCAACTAACAGTAGACCGGCTGACAGCAAAGCACCCGGCCAGTGAGGTGCCAGTTCCTGAGTGGGTGGAGCACTTTCGCATAGACGTTTCTCATCTTCCCCACCTAACTGAAGACATCCTCAAGCATGCTATTCATTCCGCAGCGCGAGCCTCAGCACCAGGCCCCTCAGGATGGATGACAGAGCACCTCCGAGACACATTTCTCTCGGAGCCTTCCTATCTCCCGCATCTGTTGGAGGTGTTCAGGCAGTGGATTTCGGGATGCGTTTCTGAGCGGGTGCGGCCCTGGCTTGCAGCCTCGAACTTGGTTGGGTTATCCAAGCCGAACGGGGACGTCCGCCCAGTGGCTATCGGAGAGGTGCTCCCTCGGATTCTGGCGCGTGCGTTATGCGTTCTTCTTCGTCCCGACATGGAGACCTACTTCGCTCCTTGTAACCAACTAGGGGTGGGGACTAAGTCGGGGGTGGAGATTCTGGCGCATGCTTTCCGCTCGGCTGTAGCGGTTCATCCGACGTGGTGCGCGCTGCAGATCGATGTAGCGAATGCATTCAACTCGTTCCATCGGCACGTGATGTTCGACGGCCTCCGCGATTCTCCTTTTGCTGGCCTTATCCCTTTCTTACGCGTCTTTTATGGGGTGCCCAGCGGTCTGTACCTTCGCACAGGCCCCTTTGTCGAGATGCTGGCGTCGGAGCGGGGTTCGCGACAGGGGGATCCATTTGGTCCCTTCCTTTTTGCTTTCACGCAGCAGTTGGTTATGGGGCCTACAATGAAGGATTTCCCTGATCTTCTTTTCTTGAGCTACGCTGATGACACCTACGTTCTTGGCCCGCGGGAGCGGGTGTTGGCGGCGTACGATGTCTTGCGGGAGCGACTGGAGTGGGTGGGCTTGGAGGTGCAATCGCACAAGTGTAGGATGTGGGAAAGAGGGGAGGCGGCAGCGTCTGGGGATATTTCGCTGGGAATGCAGCAGTCGTGGACGGGGTTAACAGTGGTGGGGGTACCTATTGGAGAGGAGGATTGGGAGGTGGCGCGCTTGAGGGAGAGACTTTTGCAGCTGCGATCACCTCTACCTTGGCTTCCTATTTCGAACCACCCCCAGATTGCCTCCCACTTGTTGGCTGTTGCCGTGTCTGCGCGGCCGCTCTTCTTGATTCGCACTGTTCCCCCTCGTCCTGAGGTTCTTGACGCTTTCAGAGATTGGGATGGGGCTTTGGAAGAGTGCTTTGAGCAACTTTTCCCGCCAGACACTTGGGACTTCAGTCCTGATAGGTCGCGCATGGCTCACCTGCAGCTGCACCTCCCGGCTCGTTTGGGCGGGTTTGGCATTCGTTCAGCAGCAACTCTTAGCCCTCTCTCTTACGTCGGTGGGTGGTGCCAGGCTGCGAGTGCTGTTGTCAAGCTGGGAGTAGCGGGCGAGGAGCAGATGTTCAGTGAGTTCTTCCGCACTCCGCCGGCTGGGGATTTACTGGACCCTTGGTTTACCAAGGCCCTTGACCAGCTCCCGCCTGTTGTCAGGCAGGAATTGCCGAGTTTGGGGCTCTGCACTACAAATCCCCCCCTCCAGCTTTTCCCAGCGCAGCAGCGTCGCTTGGCGGTTGAAAGTCTTCAGTCTCTGCGGCGCATGGCCCGCGATGATGCTACCTTGGCCCGTTTGACTTCCCTTCAGGGCCCGGGTTCGGCAGCATGGGTGTCCGCAGTTCCAGCGCATGATGACGCAACTTTCACCCCTGTGGAGTGGGGCATTTCGGCGGCAATCCGTTTGGGCCTTCCCGTCCACCAGCTTCTGGTTGCTGGCAAGTGTGTTTGCGGTGTGGAGTTCAAGGACCTGTCAGATCCGCACCATGCTCTTCGGTGCAAGTACCAGTACGCCCCGTCTCGTGTTCATGATGCAGTGAAGCTCGTTGTTGCTAAGATAGCCAAGGCATCGGGTGGGGTGGTTACGATCGAGGATGACACGCTTCTGCCGGGGAAGAGAGTGGATGTGGCGGTTAAAAAACCAATGGACGGGGAAAAACATGCGCTCGAGGTGAGCGTCGTGGATCCGGTTTCGCTACCGGTGCAGCAGCATGGGCAGTGTGGGCGGACAGTAGGTTTTGCTGCCAAGGAGCGAGAGAAGAGGAAGGCGACGGATTATCAACCTTTTCTGCGGCAACACAGGGGGGTTCGTTTCTTCCCGTTGATTCTTGAGACTTGGGGTTGCTTGGGGGGAAGCTTTCGACAGTGGTTACGGCAGCAGGGGGAGGTTCAAGTAAAGGTGGCTCTTAACAAAGGTGTGGGAAGGGGCAACAGCTCGGGTTTCTCGGAATACTTGGTGGGGTCCTTGACAGCCGCGGTAGGGGTAGCTTTGCAGAAGGCACAGGCTCGGGTGATTCTTTTGCGGGCGGCATACACGTTGGGTCAGTCCGAGGCGGAGTGGGTGGAGCGAGGGGGTGGGGAGCAGGAGTTTGGAGAGGGAGCACCATGGGTGGACGTGCCCTACTTGGTCGACATGCGGCTGTAGATGTCTTAGGAAGCAATACTTTGTTTCGGGTTTTGGCGATGGTCTTTTGATGTTTGAGGTAGTAAGACACTTCTAGGAAGGGTTTATGCACGTCTGTATGCTTGTTGAAATGTAACGAAGCTGATTACTGCCTTGATTGTAATCTAATATAAGTATAGTTTTGTTACATTGATTTTGTATGATAATGGTTTCTTTGAGGAGACTTGATTTCGTAGTCACCAAAGAGGAATATTGTAGAGCAGCAGTGAGGAAATAATCCACTACAACCCAAGAAATCCTGCCCGGGGAAACGCTCTCTGTCAAAAACAAAATTCCCGCTGTTTGGAGCTTTTCGGGTCGCACTGGGGACAGTGTCAGTCGAACCAAATCGTGCAGTTCAGTCCTGCATCCCGCCAAACCGTCTTGCGGTACGGTTCTCTGCCATTTTTGCGTCGAACTGTACAGTGATGTGCGGTTTGATGCTCCATGATCGCATGTTCACTGAAGCTCTCGTCCGTGTTACCAGCTCTTCATGGTTTCGTTGATTAAAAACACGGTCGCAAACGGTTTCGCAAGCAGCAGAAAGCACACTTCTCGAGGTGTATGTGCGGAAATACAAATTCGCCACTAGGAATAAAATTATAATTCAACTCCAAGCCCTCTCTTTCTCATATCGCGTACGTTCTAGCCACAGAGAAGTTAAAGCGACGGTGCACATTTGCCACCCAAAACCCAGAACCCTGGCGAACTGTTACTGCGGATGGAAAGTGTCCGCACGAAATCCTGGTTTTCGCCAGCCAGCACTTTCGCGCTGGCAAGCCTGGTTAAAAAAAAAAACTTCTGAACCCAACACTGCCAAAAGTTGCCCGTCGCTTTAAAGAGACTCCAGTCTAGTTCTACCACCCATCTCGATATTATGAAGTCGGGATTTAGGCTGACGAACTGCGTCACAGGCAGGACCGCTCTGATTTGACCGACATTATTCAGTAGCTTTTTTGTTCGGAATGTACCCTTAAGTATGGCGTATCTTTTCCCGTCTCAAGTCGTTTCGATTCGCGCATTGAGAGCTGTGCAGCCTGATGGTGGTCGCGAGTGGCCTCTTAGAAACTTGAAAAATCCTCTCAGATCTCTGAACCTACCTCCATCGAAAGCCGTTCCCAGGATTCGAACGCGTGACCACAGCCTGACGATAAGGTGTGATGCTGGAAAACCCTCCAGACCAGCAGATACATCAACGGCTGAGATCGCGTTTGTGGACGTCGAGCAGTCGCTGCCTATTGAGACAGGGATTGAGACGCGTAAAGTGGGGGAAGAGGAGGGGGAGAGCAATGGCGGCGAAGGGGAGAGCAACGTGAGGCCAGTAAGGGGCGAAGAGCCGGGGGATAGGGGGAGTGGGGATAAGAGGAGCGGAAGGAGAGCAGGGAAAACGAGCAGAGGGGGGGGGAGTTGCGAAGAAGAGGAGGCAGTGGCAATCATTGCGAGAGTGCTAAGAGGGAAATTTGGGCCTCAGATTGTGAGAGAGGCGGAGGATGGAGGCGGAAGCAGCGAGGACGAAAAGGAGATTAAGGAGGCAGGGGAGGAAGAGGAGGTAGAGGAGGCAGAGAGAGTGAAAGAGGAGGAAAGGGTAGCGGTCAGTGAAATGGAGGACGGCGAGGGGAAGGGGGACGACATAAAGGCAGAATTGAGCGAGGAGGACTTGGGCACCACGTCTTTTCCCACACCTGCAATGCCACTCAAGGGAGCACGTGCAACCTCTCTCTCCTCCCTCCTCTCCCTCTACCGCTTCTTCTCCTCCCACCTCGGCATCTCCTCCCCTTCCACGGTCGCTTCCCTCCTCGCCTCCCACCCTGCCCTCCTGCGTTCCGATCCAGCCAGTGACCTGCTGCCACGTGTCCGGCTATTGCAGTCGTATGGCATATCCCAGGCCACGATTGTCCACGTCACCATCACGAATGCGTCTGGGCTCCGAAGCTCCCTTCCGCAAATTCAGGGGACGATTGAGTTTATTCTGGCTCGGGGCGTGCGCCGAAGCAAGCTAGGCATGGTGATCCGGGGTTCGCCGTACCTCATCCGCTCGCATGCTCGTTCAACGAACCTGGACATTTTGGTGGAGGCAGCAGGGATTCCTGAGGAGAAGCTGGGTGTGATTATAGAGAGGTGCCCGAATATCTTATGTCGAAGCGAAGAATCCATACAGGATCAGATTAAGCTGTTGTCAGACTACTTGTCAGATGGATCTGAAGAGGAGGAGACAGAAGGAGATACCACCAGCAGCACAGGGCACCTGAAGCAACACCTGAAAAAACACCTGAATCGGCAACGTCTGGACAAAAAGATCCTCCTGGCGAGGCTTCTCCTGAACTACCCACGAATCCTCCTCTCCTCTTCCGACCGTATCTCTACCAACCTCAGCCTCCTCCAGTCCTTCACTCCCCCTGACAGCCCCTCCATTGCCATCCCTGTTCTCCGCCATGCTCCTTCCATCCTAAATCTCGGTTCAGAGAATCTCTTAGCTAAGCTCCAGTTCTTTGTGGAGCTTGTGGGGGAGAAGGCAGCAGGGAGGGTGGTGCGGAGCCATCCGCTGGTTCTGACTCTTTCCAAGGAGAATCTGGAGGGGAAGCTGGCGGTTCTGAGCGGTTTAATTGGGCCGGAGAACGCTGCACTTGCAGTGGCGCGATTCCCCCTGCTGCTGACTTCCGGGGAAGAGACCATGAAGCAGAACTTTGGAGAGCTTTTGAGGGAGTTTCAGGAGGCGTTGGAAAGGGGAGGAGGGGATGAGGGTGGGGTTGAGGGACTGGAGGCAGGTGGGATTGGTGAAGGGAAGGAGGGGGATGGAGAGTATAGCTCTCAAAATGGAAAACAAGAAGGTACTTCGGGCGTGGGTGAAGGTTCTGTGAATGGAGTGGAGGAGAGAGCACGTAATCTGGTGATAAATCTGGCCTTGAAGTCCCCGCAATGCATTTATTACAGCTGGGAAGTGAACATGAGGCACAAGGTGGAGTACTTAAAGCGGGAAATGGGGCTCTCTATAATGGAGGTGCTTGCCTTCCCTCCATTCCTGGGGTTTAACCTGGATCGGCGAATCAAGATGCGACATGCGGCGCTGCTGCGGCTGGGCTATGAGATCGTGCCCTATAAGTTGCTGGCTGTTCAGAAGCTCAGCAGCAATCGGAAAGGGGCTGTGGACAAAGATGAGGTGAGGGGAAGGCGGGAGGAACATGTAGACGGGGAGGGGAAGGAGGGTCGGGAAGATGTGGGGAATGGGGAGGATGTGTGGCAAGAAGAGGGTGGGTTTCTGGTAAGACCATCTCAAGGCAACGACGAGCCAAGAGGAAGAGGGTTCGAGAGCCAAGGCGTGTCACAGCAACAGCAGGCAAAGAGGCTGGTGTGTTTGTCTCAGTTCCTTAGTTGTACTGATAAGCGCTTCGAGGAGAAGTTCATGACCGGAAAATAGAGGGTACAAATCATTTTCTATTGTTGCAATTGATAGGTTATTGCAAGTGAAATCTCTTTACAGTAACAATTGTGTTTTGCTGGGTAAAACTCCATAAATGGGTAGGAATCCGAAACGGCACGAAGCAGTTGAGGTGACAGCGAACACACACGATTCTTCGCAAGTGTAGCAACCAGTCGTCGCAAGTGTAACGAAAGCACTGGAAACTCCGCATGCGACATTGTGGCGTCGCAATGCTCTCGTGAAAAGGAGATGCATTGATTCGCGAGCCAGCGTTATTCCAGTCCGGCAATTCCAGTGCTGATCTGCGATCAGAAAACCATCACCCCGTTCCATTCGTCCCAGCTATTTTCTGCTCTTTTATCGCTGATTCTTACCAAAGCACTTTCTTTGTTAGTTTTTCCTCGGTTTGAATTCTAAAATCTGCTGCTAGAGAGCGAGACGATTGAATATGCATGGTGACGAAAGGATTCGGAAAAGCGTTAGTTTCTGGCAGTCACTGCGAAGATTCGGGAATCCGGGAATCACTACTGATGGTTCGACTTAGGACAACAACAGGCGTGTAAGTAGTTCATGTATTTCATCCGCTTCGTTACATCCGCCGGCTATTCGATATGGCGTACCGTACCAGAACGTCACGGCCACCCATCGCGTGGATTAACAGATTAAGATCTTCATTAAGATACATCAGACAGTCTTCTACGCCTCGTGATAAGTCGTTTTCAGGAAAACCAGGACTGGCACCCACAGCTCCTATTCCTTCCATGCCGAGACTCTACCGGTTTGGACAAAACCGACACCAACCTGCGGAGAACACATTCACCAGGATAACTCCTGACCGGAGCTTCACTATAAGCTGTCCCGCTGGATCGTTGGCCAGAGCAGCCAAGGCTCTCAAGGCGGAAAGCGCGAGCGTGCGATGCGACGTAACTGCTGATTCGCCTGAAAATCTTCCAGACGCGGAAAGCGCGAACGTGCGATTCGATCCGCGCTTCGATGGCAAGCCAGTACTAGCGGCTGGGACGGAGGCTCAGTTGCGTGCAGATGGAAGAGAGGAGGGAGAAAGTGAGGGAAGAGAGTCAGAGAAGGGCGAGAGTAGAGGGGGAAGAGAGGAGGTGGATGGCAGAGGAGCGCGTACGAGACGAGAGACTGGAGCAAGGGAAGTGCAGGGAAAGGTTGATGGAGGCGGGTGGAAGCGTGGAGAGAGGGGAGGATGCAAGGAGACAGAGGAGGAGGAAAAGGCAGTGGCTGTGATTGCTGGAGTGTTGAGAGAGAGATTCGGGCCCCAGATTGTGACAGAGGAGGAGCATGAGGGGTCTACTAACGAAAGGATTGCGGATGAGGAGAAGAAGGCCAAGGGACGACAAGAGGAGGAGGAGGAAGATTGGGATGAGGAAGCAGAGGGCTCAGAAGTAGAGGAGGAAGAGGATGGGGAAGGGAACGAGGGGGGAGACGCAGCAGCAGAAGCAAGTGAGGAGGTCGGATTACCCACCACATCTCCCCCCACACGTCCTCCTCCTCCACGCAACAGGCGGCGGGTCGTATCTCCCTCCTCCCTCCTCTCCCTCTACCGCTTCTTCTCCTCCCACCTCGGCATCTCCTCCCCTTCCACTGTCACTTCCCTCCTCGTCTCTTACCCTTCGCTCCTTCGGTCTGATCCCACCAATGACTTGCTGCCACGTGTCCAGCTTCTCCAGTCGTATGGCGTATCCCGTGCTGACATCTCAGACATCACGATGAAACAATCCTCCTGGCTCCGAGCCTCCCTTCCCCAGGTTCGGGATATTCTTGACTTTCTCTTGGCTCGGGGCATACTCCGAACCAAGCTAGGTGCGGTGCTTCGGAAGTCTCCATATCTCATTCGTGCACGAGCTCGTTCAACGAACCTGGACATTTTGGTGGAAAGAGCAGGGGTTCCTGTGGACAAGCTGCCTGTGATTATAGCAAGAGGGCCAGATATTCTATATTCGCGTGAGGAAGTCATAAGAAGTCGCCTCGAGCTACTATCAGCGTATTTTACCAATGGATGCGAAGGAGGAAACGTCAGCGGCGGGCACCTGAAGCAACACCCGAATAGGCAGGAGGACAATGACAGAAATCACCTGAAAAAACTCCTGGTGAGGTACCCAGCTATCCTCCTCAATCCTCATGAGCGCATCCCTGAAATCCTCAGCCTCCTCCAGTCCTTCACTCCCCCTGACAGCCCCTCCGTTGCCGTCCCGATTCTCAGCCAGGCCCCCTCTCTCGTCCACCTCAGCTCTCAGACTCTTATATCTAAGCTCCAGTACTTAGAGGAAGTGGTGGGGAAGAAGGCAGCAGGGAGCGTGGTGCGCAGCTATTCGTCGATTCTTATTCTATCGGTAGAGAACCTGCAAGGCAAGGTGGCGTTGTTGGGCGATCTGATTGGGCAAGAGAACGCTGTGCTTGCTGTGGCTCGGTTTCCTAGGCTGCTGTCATCTAGTGGGGAGAACCTTAAGAAGGGTTTCGAAGAACTCGTGCGAGAAGTGGAAGCGGCAATGGAGGAGAGTGGAGGAGAGGAGAATGGGAGGCATATGCTCCAGGAAGGTGCACGGAAGCTAGCAATAGGAGTGAGCGGACAAGCATACAAGAGCATTGCTGGTGCCACGATAGCTCATGAGATGGTGGTGAATATGGTGCTGAAGTATCCAGCGATTATCTGCTTCAGTTGGGAGAGGAACACAAGGCACAAGGTGGAATACTTAAAGCGGGACATGGGGCTCCCTTTAACGGAGGTCCTTGCGTTCCCTTACTTCCTTGGGTACAGCTTGGATCGGCGAATCAGGCCACGACATCTGGCGCTGCTGAGCAAGGGCTATGTGTTGGTGCCACATGAGGTAGCTCTGCCGAATAATAGGGGAGAAAGAGGAGAAGTGGGAGGGAACTTGGAAGTTGATAGCAGGAGGAGGGCAGAAGAGAAGGATGCAGAAGATGGGGAGGATGAGGGTGAGAGTGATGAGTTTGGGGTGAGGAAGAAGCATGAGTATGGAACTGCATTGGATTCTACCCAAGACTGCTATGCTAATGCTGCGTTGGGGAGAATAGGGGCTGTGGTCCAAGAAGGCGTGAATCAGCAGCAGGAAAGGAAGGCGGTGGTATGTTTGATTCAGTTGCTTGGATGCACAGACAAGGAATTCGAACAGAGATTCAAAGTCGAGCTCGCACCATTCATGCCGGAAACTCGTCCCTAGTCGATTTTTTTGAAAAATTTTAGCCAGAAACTCAATTGGAGTAGAAGAGGAGTTGGGAAGGGGAGGAGGTGACTGGGAAATAATGGAAATGTTGGAATGGTGAAGGGAGGGAGTGGGATTGTTTTGGAACACATACACTCTAGATCCCACCCAAGTTGAAACTATCTTCCTTATGTGCTTGCTTCGTCAATTTCAGTAAACGCGTACAAATTTGAAACGGCACGAACGGATTGGACAGGCGATCGCACACTGCACGACTCATCGCAAGTGTAGCAACCTGTCGTCACTTGCATACGATTGGACTAGCGAAGGCACACGAAACTCCGCTTGCGACATTTCAGCGTCGGAATGGGTGTATGAATTGATTTGCCAGCCAGTTTTATCGCAGCTCGGTATTCCCAGTGCCAGCAGCGAGTGTCGCCTCAATCCTGTGAACGCGATATGGGACCAGAAAAGTATCCTTCCTGTCCTGTTCCATTCGCCGCTGCCATTTTCTAAACCAGGACACTTTCTCTGTTGTCTCTTCTAGGATCTGCTCGAACTGGAGTATCCATGTATACGAAACGCTTCTTTAGCTCGTTAGTTTTCCATCAGTCACTGCAACGATTAGAAAATCGCTACCGATAATCCGTAATCGGACAAGCACCACTGCGGAGTAACTCGCTGATCCTTTTTTCATCCTTTTGGTTACATCCATCGGCTATTCAACATGGCGTATCCTGCATCTAGGTCACGGCCATCCATGACGTGGATTGACAGATTAGGTTTTACGCTAAGATACATGACGCATTCTTCTTCGCCTCGTTCCAAGTCATTTTCAAAGATATCTGGAATGGCATCAACAGCTGTTATTCCTTCCCCGCCGAGCCTCTACCTGTTTGGGCTAAGTCGACACCAACCTGCGGAAAACGCATTCACCAGGATTCGAACCCCTGACCGGAGCTTCAATATAAGCTGTTCCGTTGGTTCGTTGGCCAGAGCAGGAGTGGTTCACGAGGCGGAGAGCGCGACTCTGCGATTCGAACCGAGCTTCGACGACGAGCCAGTACTGCCGGTTGGGTCGGAGGCTCGGTTGCGTGCAGGAGGAAGAGATGAGGGAGAAAGTGAGGGAGGAAAATCAGAGAAGAGAGGGAGTAGAGTGACAAGAATAAGGGAAGTGGAGGGAAAGGTTGCGGGAGGCGGGTGGAAGCGTGGAGAGAGGGGAGGATGCAAGGAGACAGAGGAGGAGGAAAAGGCAGTGGCTGTGATTGCCGGAGTGTTAAGAGAGAAATTCGGGCCCCAGATTGTGACAGAGGAGGAGTACGAGGGGTCTACAAACGAAAGGATTACGGAAGAGGAGGACGCTAAGGGACGACAGGGAGAGGAAGAGGTGGGGTATGGGGATGAGGAAAGAGGGGGCGTAGAAGCTGAGGGCGAAGAGGGTGAGGGATGGAAGGAGGGGGAAGACTCAGAACCAGAAGCAGAATTGGAAGCAGAAGCAGAAGCAAGTGAGGAGGACGCACCACCCACCACATCTCCTCCCAAACGGCATCCTCCTCCATACTATGGCCCGCGGGTCGTATCCCTCTCCTCCCTCCTCTCCCTCTACCGCTTCTTCTCCTCCCACCTCGGCATCTCCTCCCCTTCCACTGTCGCTTCCCTCCTCGTCTCTTACCCTCAGCTCCTTCGGTCTGATCCCACCAATGACTTTCTGCCACGTGTCCAGCTTCTCCAATCGTATGGCATATCCAGTGCTGACATCTCAACCATCACCATGAGAACCGCTTCCTGGCTCCGATGCTCCCTTCCCCAAGTTCAGGAAATGCTTGACTTCCTATTGGCTCGGGGTGTACGCCGTACGAGGCTAGGTCCGGTGCTCCGAAAATCTCGAAAACTCATTAGCGTGCGGGCTCGTTCAACGAACCTGGACATTCTGGTGGAGAGAGCAGGGGTTCCTGTGGACAAGCTGGGTGTGATTATAGACAGAGCCCCAGATATTCTATCCGTGAGGGAGGAGACCATACGAAGTCGCCTTGAGGAAGTATCAGCGTACTTCACCAAATCCGGAGAAGGAAGCGTCAACAGTGGGCGCCTGAGGCAATACCCGAATAGGCAGCACAAGGACAAGAATGACCTGAGCGGACTCCTGGTGCAGTATCCAGGAATCCTTCTCCGGCCTCCCGAGCGCATTGCCAGCAACCTCCGCCTCCTCCAGTCATTCACTCCCCCTGGCACCCCTTCCATTGCCATCCCCGTTCTTCGTCGGGCCCCCACTCTCGTCCACCGCAGCTCGCAAAATCTCTTACCTAAGCTCCAGTTCTTTGTGGAGCTCGTGGGGAAGAAGGCAGCGGGGAGTGTGGTGCGCAGCTTTCCAATGATTCTTTTTCTATCCGTAGAGAACGTGCAAGGGAAGGTGGCATTGCTGAGCGATTTAATTGGCCGAGAGAACGCTGTGCTTGCAGTGGCTCGGTTTCCTAGGATTCTGGGATCTAATGAGGAGAACCTTAAGAAGGGCTTTAAAGAACTCGTGCGAGAAGTGGAAGCGGAAATGGAGGATAGTGGAGGAGAGGACATGAGGAGGCAAATTCTCGAGGAAGATGCAAGGAAGCTAGCAGGGGGAGGGAGTGGACAAGCATTCAAGAGCATTGCTGGTGCCACGATAGTTTATGAGATGGTGGCGAATCTGGTGGTTAAATTCCCCACATCTATATGCTGCAGCTGGGAGGAGAACATGAGGCACAAGGTGGAATACTTAAAGCGGGACATGGGGCTCTCTATAAAGGAGGTGCTTGCGTTTCCCAAGTTCCTTGGGTACAGTTTGGATCGGCGAATCAGACCGCGACATGTGGCGGTGCTGAGCAAGGGCTATGTGTTGGTACCACATGAGGTAGCGCTGCCGAAGAACAGTGGAGGGGGAGAAGTGGGAATGAACTTGGACATTGGTAGCAGGAGGAGGGCAGAAGAGAAGGAAGCAGAAGATGGGGAGGATGAGGGTGAGAGAGATGAGTTTGGGGTGACGAGGAAGCATGAGTATGGAACTGCCTTGGGTTCTACCCAAGACAGCTATGCTGCGCTGGAGAGGAAGGGGGCTGTGGGCCAACAAGGCGTGAACCAGCAGCAGGAAGGGAAGGCGGTGGTGTGCTTGATTCAGTTTCTTGGATGCACGGACAAGGAATTCGAACACAGATTCAAAGTTGAGCTCGCACCATTCATGCCAGAAACTCGTCCCTAGTCGGGTTTATTGAAGCATTATAGAAAATGCCAGAAACTCAATTGGGGTAAGAGAGCAGTTGGGAAGGGGAGAAGGTGACTGGGAAATAATAGAAATGTTGGAATGGTGAAGGGAGGGAAGTGGGATTGTTATGGAACACATACACTCTAGATCCCACCCAAGGTGAAACTGGAGTGTTTGCTTCATCAATTCCAGTAAACGGGTACAAATTCGAAACGGCACGAACGGACTTTGATAGGGGAACGCACACGAAACTTCGCAAGTGTACCAACCTGTCGTCGCCAAGATACAAATGGGCTAGCGAAATCCCACGAATCTCCGCTTGCGACTTTTCATGTCGCAATGCTTTCGTCAAAGGTGAATGAATACATTCGCCAACCAAGACGATCTCAGCTCGGTAATCCCAGCGCCAGCAGCGAGCGAGGCCAGAAAAGTATCCATCCTGGTGCAATCGTTTCTGCTGTGATTCCATCGTTTCTCTCTGTTGCTAGAATCTGCGATTAGGGCGGTGTAACAAAACGAAGGCGATCTCGCCTTCCTCGATTTCGCCAACTCAGCTCCTTGTGATCCGAACCAGAATTCGGAACACACCCTAAGTGCATTTCGGGAATTCAATGTTGGAACTCCAACATTGAAATGTGCGACCCGACTTTCTGAGTTTCCAACCGTGGGAACAACTCCAGAGAGCACTCTACTGCTCGACACAACACGGCCGAGAATTCCAACAGCGCAGCAACGTACTTGACAGCACAAGCAAGCATAGTTACCTTCCAACGGAGCTTGTGGTCATCATTATCAACGACAACATGAACGACAACAAGACAAATAATCTCTGCCTGTGTCTTTAGTGAATTCCTAGACTTTGCTAATTGGTTCTAGGATATGACAACAAGGCTAGTATCTTGTGTACATAATCATAGTGACTATGCCTTGCTGTTCTTAGCTCTTGGAATAATAATGGCGACCTGAGCGACCAGCTCGAGGCGCCCATGCTAGTATCCTAGTATATTAGGATGCATCTCTGAAATGTATGCCATCATATGATCTCTTGTAAAGCTATCTTACTACTTTCATCCTGAAATTCTCCTAAGAGCACTTCCTACTACTACTACTCTGCCCAAACAGCTTAGTGGCTGTTTCATTTGGTATCCGAGCTATCTTCGATCCTCTTTTTCTTGAGAACAGCGTCATGACGACTAGTAAGGTACCTTCTCGTGATGAATGGGCCACATACTTGCAAACGTACCGTGCCCAAATTGTTGCTGAAGTTAGAGAGAGCTTGCAAGCAGAGATGCAAGCTAGTGTAGCTGCAGCTGGAGTGGCGGCAGCAAACTCGAGCCCTGCTGCACCGCCAGACGGAAATCAGCGCGCTAGACCCGCCCTTCCTGATCTTTTCTTTCCCGGGAGAAACCAACCAGTCGTGAGCCGTTGGCTCTTTCTTGTTGAGCAATTCCTGCTCCTTAGTCACATACTACCTGCCGAGTGGACTGCTTTCACCGGCACCCTTCTTCGTGGATCTGCTATCACCTGGTGGCAATCCGTGCATGCGACCATCCAATCATGGGATCAATTCAAGCTTATCTTCACTGCAACCTTCCAACCGGTGAACCCGAACATCCGAGCACGAGACGCCTTGGCTGCTCTGAAGCAACTCAAATCTGTTCAAGATTACGCTTCTCGCTTCCGTGACATCGCTCAAGAGATCCCGGACCTTTCTGATGCTGAACGGATGGATCGTTTCAAGCGCGGGCTGAAAACAAACGTGCGCATGGAGGTTGAGCTGAGGGACTGCTCTACGCTCGAGGAAATCATACGCGTGGCTGAACGGTATGATTCTGTTCATTACGCATACAACAAGCCTCGCTTTCCTCGTAGCCCGTTCCTCCCGTTTGCTCCCTCCTACCAGCCCTCTACAACAACGGACTCCAATCTTCAAGAATCTGCTCCTATGGACCTGGACCTGATGGAGAAGAGGAAGAGAAACCCGAGGCCAGCCATCGTGTGCTACAAGTGCGGCAAGAAAGGGCACGTGTGGAAGGTCTGCCGCCAACGCACCAATCAGCCTCCCATCCTTCCAACGCCGGGAAACTCAAGTCGCCAGTAAACTCGGGGCAACTTTCTGGTGACTATGCCTGCCCCACCATCTCTTCCCTTGAAAGTCGTAATCCCTCTGAACCTCTTCTTCTTTCCATGCTGATTCGTGGTCAGAGAGTGAAAGCTCTAGTTGACAGTGGTGCCTCTTCTAACTTCATCTCCTCCTCTCTACTCTCCAAGCTTTCTCTTCCAACTCAACCTGATTCCATAGCTCAAACAGTGCTGATGGCGAACGGAACCTCGATTTCATGTGGACAAGTACCATTCCCTGTTTCATGTACAATCGGACCTTACCGAGACAAGATTCAGTTTCAGCAAGCATCTCTCGGAGACCATGAAGTGATTCTTGGACGTGACTGGCTTTCCTTAAAAAACCCCAAGATTGATTGGACTCTTGGAACCATCACCATCTCTCACTCTGGAAGAGACATCACCTTACCTACCTTCTCCTCCTCCTCCTCTACCCCCACTTGCTGCAACCTCCTCTCAAAACGGCAACTAAAAAAATCCCTCAAGGACCCAAGCTCTCAATTCTTCCTCTGTTTTTTGAATCAAATTTCAGAAACTCCTATTCTCCCTTCCCCTCCCAAGGCTGCTGAAATCCCTTCTGAAATTCAACAGGTTGTCAATGAGTTCAAAGACATCTTCCCTACGGATCTTCCCTCTTCACTTCCTCCGAAGCGTACCATCGATCACCGCATCATCTTACAACCCGGTGCTGAACCTACCGTTCGTGCTACGTACCGGATGAGTGCTGCCGAGCTGAAAGAAGTCCAGAAGCAGTTGGAGGAACTCCTTGAGAAGGGCTTCATCCGCGTCAGCTCCTCTCCCTATGCAGCACCGATTCTCTTCGTCAAAAAGAAAGATGGCAGCATGCGCATGTGCGTTGACTACCGTGCGCTCAACAAAATCACCGTCAAGAATCGCTACCCGCTACCTCGAGTGGAAGAACTCTTTGATCAACTTGGCGAGGCCACAATTTTCAGCAAGCTGGACCTACGAAGCGGCTACCATCAAGTGCGTGTCGCTGACGAAGACATCGAGAAAACCGCCTTTCCAACACGGTATGGGCATTTCGAGTTTCTCGTGCTTCCTTTCGGACTAACGAACGCCCCTGCCACCTTCATGTCCTTGATGCACAGTGTCTTTCGGGATTTCTTGGACCGGTTTGTCATCTTCTTCATCGATGACATTCTGATTTATAGCAAATCCTTGAAGGAACACGCCGAGCATCTAAGGCAAGTCTTCACACGGCTTCGTGAGCATCGTCTCTTCGCCAAACAGAGCAAGTGTGAGTTTGCCAAGCCCTCGATTCCTTTCTTGGGCCACATCATCTCACACAACCAGCTTGCTATGGACCCTTCCAAAGTCCAAGCCATCAGAGAATGGAAGGAGCCAACCTCTATCAAGGAAGTGCAAGCCTTCCTTGGTCTTGCCAACTACTACCGCAAGTTCATTCGACACTTTGCTGCCATCACCTCTCCCTTATCCAACCTCATTCGCAAGAGTGAACCATTCCATTGGGACTCTGACCAGCAAACTGCCTTCAATGCTCTCAAGTGTGCACTAACCTCTTCTCCTACTCTAGCCCTACCCAACCCCTCCCTTCCCTACGTGATATGGACAGATGCGTCTCAGGTTGCAACGGGTGCAATCCTTTGTCAAGATCAAGGGCATGGCCTTCAGCCTATCGCCTTCGAGTCCCGGAAACTCAAACCTGCCGAGTGCAACTATGCAACTCACGATCGCGAGGCGCTGGCCATCGTCCATGCAATCAAGAAGTGGCGCTGCTACGTTCACATGCAGCCCGTCACTGTTCTTACCGATCACTGCACCCTGCAATACCTGAAGACGCAGCCCCATCTCACCCCGAGGCAGGCCCGATGGATGGAGTACCTGGAACAGTACGTACCGGAGCTGAAAATCGAATACCGCGCTGGCCGCCTCAACCCTGCTGATTCTTTGACCCGGCCTCCTCAACCTCAGCTCACCACCATCGGAAGCGTCACATGGGACGAAAGCTTCATCAAGAAATTTACCAAAGGGTATCGTCGTGACCGTTTCTATCTCTACTCTGCCGCTGATGATAAATCTGTCTTCTACGAATCCCCCTTTTGGTATAAGGCAGATTCCCGAGTCATCTGCGTCCCCGCAGAGCGCAAGCTTCGTCATCTCCTGTTACGCGAGCATCATGACCAGAATGGGCACTTCGGAGTGGACAAAATGCTTGCAACCATCTCTTCCAACTTCTTCTGGCCCAAGCTCCCTCGAGACGTCCGCTCCTACGTACGCAGCTGCCACACATGCCAGTGCAACAAGGCTCGCAACGCAGCACCCTACGGCCTGCTACACCCCTTGGAAATCCCTCAGCTCCCATGGACTCATGTGACACTCGACTTCATCACAGATTTGCCTCGCACCTCCTCCCATCACAACGCTATCCTCACCGTGGTAGACAAACTCAGCAAGATGGCACACTTCCTCCCTACCTCCACCACCGCTACAGCTGAGAACGTTGCTGATCTCTTCTTCAACGAGGTGGTACGTCTCCATGGCATTCCTTCCGTACTAATCAGTGACCGTGACTCTCGGTTTGTTGGCAGATTTTGGCAGTCCCTTTTCAACAAATTGGGCACCAAGATTCGTCTCTCCACTGCCTACCATCCTCAGTCCGATGGGCAGACCGAGAGGATGAATCGAACCCTTGAAGATGCCCTGCGTGCATGTGTGAGTGCACGACAAAACGATTGGGACCAGCACCTGCCATCAATCGAATTCTCCTACAACAACACGGTGAACCTCGCCATGGGACAAACCCCTTTCTTCCTCGCTACAGTGCAGTAGCCCCGCACACCAGCTTCTCTCGTACGCAGCAGTGACACCAAACCAGCAGCCGACTTCCTCTC